ATATTATATTATATTATATTATATTATATTATATTATATTATATATTCACACACATTAATTTTCTTTTCGGCCTAGTCCCTTTATTAATATGGGTTCTCCACTTAAAATCTAATAATTTTTTTTTCTTTCTCTGTATAATTTTTTAAATTTTTTACATTATTTAATTAATATTTACTTATTTATTTAATTATTATTTACTATATATATATATATATATATATATATATTTGTGTGTGTGTGATGTTTAACCTTATTATTTATGTACTTATTTAGTGTATAATCATTTCTTGGTTAGTGAATTGTGTCAGTGCATGACCTTTATGACATTTTATGCATATCTATATGTATTAATATTATTTATATTGTATTGACAGTGTCTGACCTAAGATGGACTTAATAAAGCAAAAAAGAAAAACAGTTTATAATGATAATGTTTTCCACTTACCGGTCACTGAGATGTAGGTGTTAGCGGGAGTGTTGGGAACCCGAGTGTCTGGTTTGCCGCTCCGCACCGACACCTCCTGTAGTCCACCTGATGGTTCAAATTAATTCTGACTGTAATTGTTTTGATATTTGAGAAGAAAAACTCTATTATTCTGAACTCTTACCTATTTTAGCTGGATTGAGCTCTACATTTGTCTCCTGCACCATAGTGAGGACTCCCTCAGACTGAAACAAAGATGATAATGAACATGATGGATCGTTGTTTAAATTAAGGATCTCTCTCTCTATATATGTATGTGTGTGTGTATATATATATATATATATATATATATATATATATATTTTTTTTTTTTTTTTTTTGGTTAGAAGCAGAAGCGGTAGGTTGGGAATCGCCATTTACTGTAAAACGTTTTCTCCTGGTTTGTGGCAGCGAGGGAGAAAGGGAAGTTTGCTGTAATGTTATTCGGGGTACTTTTATTTGAGCAGGTAAGTTAGAATTATTTCCCCGCAAGTTAGAAAAAGAGTATTTCAAACAAACAGCAAAAGTCATTTTTTGAGTTCACAGTAATTTGTTCTTACTTTAGAAGTTAATGGCGGTTATTTTTTATTATGTTCAACAGATAAAGACAACTCAAAACTCACATGGAACCTCTTGAGTGTGAGTAAACAGTGAGTAAGTGTTATTTTTTAGGTGAACTATCCCCTTAACTCTTTCAGAAGGAAAGTTCACACTCACCACCACCTTCAGGATCTTTTTGACTCCGTCACTGTAAACAGAGTCGAACGCAGCCGCTTTCACCTCGATCCAGTGATTTCCCAGCTCCAGGGGAATAATGACGTGCGGGATGGTCCTGGACGACATGGACTCCACCTCCACCTCAGTCTGGTAGGAGCCTTTATTGCTGGCGGAGCTGCAGATGTGCTTCGTTTCTTTGAACTCCAGCCGTGCCTGAAAGACCAACAGATTAAACTCCGCCACACTTTAACTGAGGGGTTTGGCTCTAAATGCCTGCTAGAGCTGAACGATTAAATGTTAAATATCAACATCTCTATTCGAACACCAAAGAGAAAGAGAGAAAAGTCAGTCATAACACTGACAGACAATGAATAAACTAATTTCATAGATCCGAATCAATAAATTTGTAAAAACTGTATATACATTTAATAAATGTATGATAAATAATTGGACATAGTTGTTGATTAAATAGTTTTTAACTATTAAACAAATTCCAGAAAAATGTACACAGAAAAAAAAATAGTTTCATTACAAATGAAAAAATGCGAAAAAATTAAACATATTTTATTAAAACTGAAACAATTAAAACTTGATGCAATAATGATGATTTGATCAGTTACATTTTGACCCTAATATAAATTAAAAAAAATAATAATTTGTGAAGAAATAAACATTTTTATTTATAAATGAGCTCAAAAAGTTACTTGATGCAATCAATGAAGTTTGTATCGCTTTCATTTCTTCACAAATGATTATTTTTATTAATATTAGGGTCAAAATTGTATGTAATTTGTGAAAAGATAAAACATAATTCAATACAAATAAACTCAAAACATTTCTGACTGATTCTAATAAAATACATTTGTGGAAAAATTAAGGGAAATTGTAAAAAAAAAATATTATAAATGAGTTAAAAAATTAACTTGATGTAATAAATGAAGAGCGTCACATTTCTGACTTTAATACTAAAAAATCATTTGTGAAAAAAATGTGTGCAATTTGTGAAAAGCTTTAACATATTTCAATAAAAATGAGCTCAAAAAGTAACTTGATGCAATAAATTCCGATTTTCTCAGTTACTTCTTTTGACCCTAAAATTAATAAAAAATAATAATTTGTGGAAAAAATAAACATTTTTAATTGTAAATGAGCTCAAAAGATAACTTGATCCAATAAATTAGGTTTGTAATGCTTTAATTTTTTTACAAATTATTATTTTTAATAATATTAGGGTCAAAAATGTATGTAATTTGTGTAAAAAAAGATAATTCAATACAAATGAGCTCAAAAAGTAACTTGATGCAATCAATATAGAAAGTTTCAGTCACATTTCTGACTCTAATACTAATAAATTAATAAATTAATTTGTGACAATTAAGGGAATTTCATAAAAAATGAGCTGAAAAGTAACGCGAAGCAAATAAAGATTGTAGGACTTACATTTTTTTCACAAATGATTATTTTCTAATATTAGGGTCAAAAATGTACGTAATTTGTAAAAAACTTTAACATATTTCAGTACAAATAAGTTTGAAAAGTAACTTAATAATAAATATTAAATAAATACAATAAATAAAGATTGTTTCAGTCACATTTCTCAACACATTGTTAAAAAAACAAACAAATCCGTTAAAAAATTCATGGAATAAAAAATGTTTAAAAAAAAGGAGCTAATGAGTTTATGAGCCTGATGAGTTTTTTTAATAGAAACGGAGCATATGTGCTAATTCCCCATGCGTTTACCTTAATCTTCTTCTTGGTGTAGTTGTGAAGGATGGCCCGGACCTGCAGTTGTTCATTGCGCACGGCTGAAAACGGCACCTTCAGGTCAATGAAGAACATCTTATACACGATCATCTCATGTGGATCTGCCACACAAATACCTGCAGACCAACAGACAGCGTTACATGAGGATCAACATCTAAACCTGTACTACACAAGTCTATAACATTCACACTTCAATACCATGTGTTTTGGACAGGCTGACAGCAAAGATTTGCCAGGTAGTGATGGATTCCTTCAGGTAGATTCGGCTTTTTGTGACAGATGTTGTTGCACTGCGACAGAAAGAAAATGAAAAAAATTATAAAAGCAGAAATATTATTGACATTTTTGTACAATTATTATAATTATCATTATTTTTTTGGAGATTAGTGCAAAGAGGGATTGTTTAGCAAGTGTTTTCTACAGTACGTATGCAAAATGTGTCAAAAACAGAAAGGACGTTTGTTTTGTTGTAATAAATATATACTACTTAAAGAAGTTAATTAACTAAGATTAAAACAAATTAATAAAAAAAACGTAGAAAATAAAAATGCTAAAATTATACTTTTTAAAATAAATACAGGCATTAAAAAATGACACAAATAATAATAAATATAAATTAGATATTTTATGCAATGTATATTATAGAACAAACAAAACAACCAACATATTTAAAAACACAAATTAATAAAAACCATACAGAAATTATTATTTTTAATAAAACTATACAGAGAGTATTTTTGGGTAAAGCATGAGCATAATACACTTAAAAATTATGACTTTTCTCTGCTTTCTGACGTTTTAATTTAGCGTCTGTTTTTGTGTTAGTAGTGTTCAATTTTACGGGTGCTTTCACACCTAGACTTTTCTATCAGAACCTGTCTTGTTTCCCCAGTTAGTGCGGTTCAGTTGGCATATCTAAAACCAGCAATCGCGCTCAAATCCACACCAAAACAATCAGTCCAAAATCACCTGAATGAGGTGGTCTCAGCTTGATTGAAACGAACTCTGGAGCGGATCGATTGCAATGAGAAAGCAAAACGATTCGAGCCAGGCTATATCCCTGTGCATCATTGACATGTCATAGGCATATATGCGGCTACATGACGAGAGAATTATGAGTAGGGTGGGAGGTCATTCCTATCAGTAAATGTGCAGTTCATGTCAAATACGAAAGTGAAAGCATGCTGAAATAATAATGAAAGCTGTTTATCCGTCAGGAAAACTGACCGAACTGCAGTCTTAGTTTATCTGTTATTTCTTTCTATAATGTAAAGCCTATAATGCGTAAGCCAACTGCTATGCATGAGAAAGTCTTACCTCTGCTCTATATTTAGGGATGACGTCTGAGGGTGTCACCATTCAAAATAAAAAGTGCAGCTTTTCACTTACAATGTCTTATTGCTCATCGTCATGAATTTTAAATAAAGTTTACTCGCACCTGACTTGTTTTAGCAATTTTGGTTCATTTAGAAACTTTGCCGTGTGAAAGCGAACCGCACCAAGAACAAAGAGCAACAATGAAACAATTTTATTCCCTGTTTTTGGAACAAATGAATCGATTCACAGGTGTGAAAGCACCCTTAGATATTTCTGGGGTTATTTTTTGATTCAATTTTAATGAATGTTAGTTATTAGTTCCTAATGTTAGTTTGCTTTTTCTTCATTATAAACCGTAAAATTTATTATTTCTATTTATTATTTAATTTATTTTAAGTTTTAATGCTTGCATTTATTAAATACTTTTATACTCTGCATACTTTTTAAGTGTATAATATAGGAAAAATAGACAATTTTACACACTGTTTAGATAAAAAATATATATATATATATTTCTAATATATTAATTCACATCACTTCTGCTTAAAAAAAAAATAAAAATCACCTTGCCTCAACACTGTGCCTCAAACTTACCATAATCTCCTATTAGACGAACAGACAGGCAGAATCTCCTCTGACCACAGCCAGCTCTCAGGAAACTGTGTGCGTGAGGTGATTTCTTCAAAACTCTCATAATAGTCGCTCTCCTCACCTGTGTGGGTTAACAGAGACTCATTTTATAAAAAATAAACAGTGAAAAATCAGTGTAAAAATGAAAGCTTCATAAAATAAATGTAAAAAAAATACATATAATTTAAATTGTAAGGTATTTTAGTTAAATACAGTATGAATTTTACTAAAATACATATTTATTTTAACATACAAACAGCTCTTAAATAAAACTGGATGTAGTGTGACCACAAAATAAATTACAATTTTATCTTAAATAAATAGTTTGCTTATTTTATTTCCATCTTCTATTCATTGTGCACCCAAAGTCCAAACACATGCGCTATAGGTGAACTGAATTAACAACAATAGCCGTAGTGCATGAGTGTGTATGTGATTGTGAGAGTGTATGGGTGTTTCCCAGTACTGGGTTGCAGCTAGAAGTGCATCCGCTGCATAAAACATATACTGGAGTAGTTGCCGGTTACCGACCCCTGATAAATAAGGGACTAAGCTGAAGGAAAATGAATGACTGAATGCATTGTGTAAGGAGTGTTAGCGAACGTAAATATTCAACACATACTGCGAGCCAGAATCATCTCCTCCTCTCCGGCCTCCAGACTTCGAGAAACCACATCATTGCAGCAGTGCAGAAAGGCCCTCACACACTCGACGCCGTCTGACACATACGTGGCTCTTCGTTCACACGTGTAGCCCAGTTTGTTATCCCTCATGCCGTCCACACAGCACTTCCGCAGATCTCCAGAGTACTGACCCGCTGACAAAACAACACAATATTCATCTTTATATTCATCCACAAATCACTTAATTTTAGGGCTGCACAATATATCGGAAAAATAATGGTTATCGCGATTATAGGATTGACTTTATTCTACAAAGTGCGCTTGTTTTACAACTTTGATTGTTTACAAATAGAAATGACTAGCAGTAATGAACGGCAGAAAACGGTCAAACTACTTGCTCTTCGAACAAGTGTGTTCATGATTATACATAAATAGTAGAAGAGGGGTTTACAAACTTGGTCCTGGAGGGCCGGTGTTCTGCAGATTTTAGCTCCAACTTGCCTCAGCACACCTCCGAGGATGATTCTAGAAAGCCTAGTAAGAGCTCGATTAGCTAGTCCAGGTGTGTCTGATTGGTGTTGAAGCTAAAATCTGCATCATGCAATCATATAATAAGCAATGGTGGGGCAGTGGGTAGCATGATTGCCTCACAACAAGAAGGTCACTGGTTTGAGCTCCAACTGGGTCAGTTGGCATTTCTGTGTGGAGTTTGCATGTTCTCCCCTGGGTTCCCTCCGGGTGCTCCGGTTTCCCCCTCAGTCTCAGGCTGTAGTGTATGAGTGTGATTGAGAGTATGGGTGTTTCTCAGTGCTGGGCTTGAAAGGCATCCGCTGTGTAAAACATATGCTGTATAAGTTGGCAATTCATTCCACTGTGGCGACCCCTGATTAAAAAAGGGACTAAGCCAAAACGAGAATGAATGAATGAATGAAGATCAATTTGCCTCATCAATCAGCAGAATGAGCTGTTTTTAATGTCTGAAAAAAAATCAACAAAAGTGAATGAGGCCGAAAGTCTTGAGCCAAAAAGATTTCAGAAGTTGCGTCCGCTCATACGTGAAGAATAAGGTCACTTTTTGCCATCACATCACTCACATTCATGAATTCTCTTGTGGTGCATTATGGCATAGCATAAGGTCCATCAGATGCACACTTCAGAATCTGGCCAAAAGTTGTAGGTCACTTCTCGCCAACCGTTTCTCCAATACTATGTATTCAGTCATACTACTCAACTCACTTACTGTTTTTAACATATTATATAGTTTGGAAGTAGGGTTGTAACAATATACCGGTATGACGGTCTACCACGATTTGAACGTGCACGATTATCATACCATGAACAATTGCATATCAACGGTTTTAACCCTTTAAGACCGAGACAGCTGCCCGCGGCTAAAAATAAGTATTGCTCTTAAATGTTTAATAACTTTTGATTCTGATTTATACAATTCAAAGATTGGCATAAAGAAGAGAATCTCAGCTTTCCAGTGCTGTATCACATAACATTCGCGGACTTTCAGAGGCTCCGGAATCAGTGCGGTTACGTCATCAAAATTTGACAACGCTGATTTGACAAAGAAACGCTCGTCACTGTGTCTCCGGACAAACCAGACATGATACATTGATGCATTGTCCCTCCTCCATGCCCAGATTGGTTCAAACTCGCTATATCACAACCAATAAGCATAGGTTTCGCTTTTGTTTGTGGACCAACATGAGCTTTTTGAACAACACGGAATGAGAGATAGGCATACATTTATGCGGCTAAATAAAACGCAGAAAAAAAGTTTTGCATGAAATAATTTTCATACTAAGTACTTTTGCATGCACAGCAGCACAGAAACGTGACAAAACAGTGACACAGCAAAGACGAACTGCTGCTCTTGCTGTTTTCAAAAGACGCAAATGAAGGTGCAGCTGTTTGTCTGCATTGCAGACAACCAAATCCAAATCCATATTCACAGACAACCATATCCATGCTGGCACATAAAACCTAAGGATGTTCCATATTGAATCTAGTTTCGTTATGTAACTATTTATAGTATAGTAAATATTTATATCTATTTTTTTACTGAGGATTTGCACCATGTTTATTTGGACTTTGACACATTATTTATTATTTTCTTATTTTTTTATTTGTTCATTGTACAAGTGGACACATTCTCTCACCTCAGCGGTCAAGATTAAGTCCTGAAAATCTCAACATGCTTACATTTCTTCATCACAACCTAGACTGAACAAAACAACGCTTTAAATACATGTTTACAGCCATAAACTTGGTATTGCACTTTTGGTCTCCCAATTATCCTGCTTATAAGGAAGGACAGTTTAAGTTTATTTTTGTCTAATCTTAAAAGACCTTGCTTGTTTTTTCCTTCTAATTTAATTTATTAAAATGGGAGATTTTTCAGTTTATTTTCATAAAAGACTTCTATAGTTCTATTAAAATGGTTCTTTCAAAAGTTTGTTGAAATAAAACCTTTGTTCAGTCAGAAAACGTGTTCTTATTCTTTTCAGGGTCTTTGCTATGAGAATTACTATTTAATACCGTACACCGCGAAACCGTCAAACCGTGGTATTGTTTTAGACGATTATCATACCGTAAAAAATTCATACCGTTACAACCCTATTTGGAAGTATGTGATTTTAGAAGCAGATATTGACATTATTTTTTTATTAGCTTGTATATGAGCATTACAAACAAATAAATAAATAAATAAATAAATAAACAAACAAACAAATATATATATATATATATATATATATAGTGTTTTACAAGTCAGTTAAATTGTAAGAAATATTATCGTTATCGCAAAACACTCAATTTAAATATCACATATTTATAAAAACAAAATATAAAAACAAAAAAGCTGCTCACCCAATATAGTGGTGATTTTCTGAAGACTCTCAGCTCTTCTTCTTCTCTTTGAAGGGATGACACACTCGGGCACTAGAGCATATTTACAAATCAACATGAGCTTTAACAGAGCAGCATTCTCACAGTGTTTTCTATTATATGAACCTTCTTTCTTTTAGTTTAGTTGGAAACAAATAGAAAATCAAACTGCTAAGATCAATATTATAAGCCCCCTTTTTTCTGATTGGCTGCAGAACAGCTCACTGTTGTCCAACGACTTTACTAATTAACTTCACTTTCCTTAACCTAGTTAAGTTAAATGTCACTTTAAGCTGAATACTAGTATCTTGCAAAATAACTAGTCTAATGTTACGTGCTGTCATCATGGCAAAGAAAACCATAGAAATTAGTCATAAGAAATTCGCTAAAATTATGTATAAAAGTGTGAAAATCTCTGTTAAACATCACCTCAGACATAAAAGTGCACAGGAGTAAAAGGCAAATAATTTAGTTTTCAACTGTAAGCTGTTTTTAGACTAAATAGAAAGTGTTGAGTTCTGAAACTCAAGCAATGATATCTTATAAGTCAAAAAATGATGGGAATTGTGATTTCTGAGTTCACGACCCCTTTAAGGGGTGATCAGTAACGTCACGTGACCTCTGACTTGTGGTTTTATCAGTGTTTATATCCTCTACCTGTTCTGCTCTCAGTTCCTCCAGCAGTGTGGGACTCAAACATCAGACCTGCGTCAATGAACACCCCCATACTGTCTCTTCCTCCTCCTGCTGTGCAGCCGGTGTCGTGCTTCTCCACAATATCCCAGATCTAGAGCAACAAAGAGGCCATTTATAAACCAAGCACCAAAAACACTCAAAAGGTATGTTTCCATCTGTATAATTTTATGCGCAATTTGGAGTATCGCATAAAAAATGCTTAACAGAGACATCAGGATGTGCATAAAAACTTCTGTATGATTAAATTCGGTGGGATTAATTGCACATAAACTATGACAGAAACAAATTTACCAGATCAATTCCAGCATGCACATCAGTAAAGTCATGTGATGTAGTTTTTGACAGATGATGATCATATATAAATGAGTGTTTCAGGGAGTTTGCAGTTTCATGTTTCCAGCTTTCCATTGTTGCAGATCTGAAATGTTGTTTTGCTGATTGTGAAAGATCTCAGCCAACAGTCCGTCGTCACAGTGCTTCAGTATTAATCTTCTTTTATTATTATTCACTCTAGAACTGTCTTGAGCATCTGTCTGTGCTCCCAAAGAGCATCTCACGCCTCCAAAAGCCGCCGCATTCACTGCGTTCATTGCATTTTGTCTTCATCTTCTGGAGCACAACTTGTTTATTAAAGAAAAAACACCACAGTGGCTTCTCCTACTGCCCTAATCTACATTTCTCTGCCTGAAATTTGCTCCAGTTTATCAGGAAATGGTGACTTTGTTCTCTTTTGTTTCTCACTGGATGGAAACTCTGCTTTATTCACAAATGTATTAAGCAATACTCCATGTTTCCATACATAAGTTTAATTCACAACTTTGAATGGAAACACAGCTAATGGTTGTTAATCAGTTAAACTCTGCTGCTATTTGGGGATTTCCGCCTGGATTTTGCCTACCCAAATTTAAAAGCTTCCCAAATCCACATGCAGAGGTGTAAATGCACAAATTTTGTATCATTTTAAAGAAAACCCTTTGAATTTCCATAAAACACTATTGAAAGTGTTTAAAATAACTGTATATGTTGTCTGTGTTATAACACAGACAACATATACAGTTATTTTAAACACTTGCGGTGCGCTTTTTGTATTTTTTTTTTAATAAACTCAAATCTGAAAGTGCACCTTTTAGGTTCAGTGTGGTCTAGCGTGCTGTAATGAAATTTGGTGGTTCCTGCACATGTCTGTAATCATAGGAAAAAAATAAAAATGTCTCTACCATAATCTATGCAAAAGTTATTGTATTCCAACTGATGAGAGGTGCTGTACAAGCCACAGAGACCAATCCTTGTTTACATATTTCACTATTCTTTTGTTTGATCAAACATAATTCACTGTGTTTGGACCACATCAGACATATAAAAGGATCACAAAAACAGAGGAGAATGGCCCTGAAGGGCACAGCATAAGGTCAGAGATGACAGCTGTCTGTGCTATCTGGGGCTGCTTATTGATCATGAATGTATTGTTTACATTTCTGCGCCATGGAAACACCGCGATTCATTCAACAACTGTTTGGCATATGAATATAATTCAGTAAAAAGACTGCTAGAACTGTATGAGCACCGGCAAGAGCTTTCATTTGAGCTATAACTTGTACATGTGTCATATAAAAAATATGAAAATGAACCAATGTAAAATACCCAGCTCGGGTATCCAAAATACTGTGTATTTAAGTGTAAATAACCTTTATACAGTAGAATAAAAACCAAAGTGATGCATATGTGCATAAAATATAGATTCTACACTTTCAAACGACACCACTTACGGGGGTCTGGTGCAACGCTAGCCCTTTAAATCTGAAAGCGAAAGTCGATGACGTCACGGACCCGGTGCAGAGTTTAAGTGGTTTAAGGTACAGAGGATTTTTCACCTTTGTCTGAGTGAGTCTGTTCTGGTTGAGTCCATGCACAGCTTTATCCACCGCCACTAGACCCACTTTGGCTCCAGGATCTCCAGTTATCAGCAAACTGAACTCTTCTCCTGGCTGGTAGATCGGCCGAGGCTCCTTCACCTGGACCTTTAGCTGAAAAACAAAAGATCTATTGGATCTCAATAGCACCTGTGCAGAGACCAACACTGGTATCTCTACACTGGGATCTCCATAGAAATGCAGCACAGTCCGCTCATATTGAATCATATGAATATTTGTATCACTTAATCAATAATTATAAATAGAGAAATGATCATAAATTGTAAATTCTGGCCACATGCAATCTAACTCTCTGCACAACAGCCTTTTTTCAATAATTTAAAACCTTCATGTCCCTGAAAAAACTGCAATTTAGCAATGTTTACTTCTATCTTGTGGATATTCCTCAGCGTTTTAGTCACTGGTGATGGTGTTATAGTGTGTAAGTGTCTGCTTTAATCTTTGATGTCGGTTTGCTTTGCTTAGATTAATATTTGCTGGTGGGGAAAATATTTTTGTTCACTTCTATCATTTATACGAAGACTTTGCATATCAATTTATACTTTAATTTTACTTAACCTGCAAATTAGAATAGAAACTGTATAAAAAGCACACAAACGTACTAGCAGGTGAATGATGCTTCCATTTGGCACAACATTTTTTAAAAACTCCAAAAATTGACTACCCTTTCATTATGCTAGTGGCTGTTTTTGCCCCATTGACTTACATTATAATGACATTTTTTGATTGCAAAGCCATGGCAGCATATTATCATGCATTCTTGATTGTTGCTGGTTTTCCCTGTTGGAAAGAGGTAACATTTGCAATTTTTACTGTTGATGGTATTAATAGAAGTCAATGGGGCTAAAACAGCCACTAACATAACGAAAGGGTAGTCAATTTGAACAATACACAAGGGTTAAAGAAAGCACAATAATGTGTTATGTTGCTTTTGCGTTACTTTTTTTTTAATCAGGGCTTGCTTTGCTTGTTAGTAATTATATCATATATTCTTTTTTGAAATTTGTAAGGTTTCTTTTACACTAGAAGTGAATTTTGAAGGGATTAATAAATAAGGAGTAATAATACATGGTTTACTAACCGTTCCCATGCATGTGTCCTTCACGTCAACCCAGACTGAATCAGACACCACCTCAGACGAGCCCACATGGTAATAAGCCACGAAGCGGAAGGACGGCACCATCTCTTTGGTCACAGGTAGAGACAGAGTGACGAGAGCTTGGCCTTGCCTCTTAAACCGGTCTGCTTGAACAATCTGACCCTTACTTAAGATCTGAAAATGCAAATAAAATACATTTTTCATTGACATGCATGCAACACTTTGTTTGATTTAAATCTAGTACAGCAAGACCATTTCCATTATAATCTGCTGGTTCAATTAATCTAAAACATAATTAACTTCTGTTTGGTAAATATTTGAGAAGTGATTTTATAATATAATATTGTGATAATATTGTTATAATATTGTTATTCTGTCTATTTATGGGTTGCCATCTTTTTCCATTTTTTCACATCTTCAGCATCTGAAGCCACTAAAACAGGGTTCCTTTAGTTAGCGTTAGTTATTGTATTTACCAGGGCTCAACAATAAGGACTGCCCGGTGGCCCAGGGCCAGCATGAGAGACACTTGGGACAGTAGACCAGATCATTACTGGCCCGATTGGGACAGTGCTGCCTTGTCACTAACATTTAATTTGTCTGTGACTATTTGTCAATTGCGTGCATTTTAAGTTTGTGCTTTTAAATCTTTAAATGCTACCTTCTCTGTAATGTCGTTAACAACATATTGCTTTCTGATTCGTTTAATCTGATTGATTTGACCATGCTATTTTTATTTATTTTTTTGTAACCTGGTAACAACCAATACAGCGTAGAAACAGCAACATGGCGGCAACACCAAATTAAAAGGCTAAACGAAAATATCTGTCTCTAACGTGTTGGAAGTAGACATTTACATGAAAAAAACACGACAAAATAATAATGAAGTGATGTTATGCATAGTTTGCCGTCAGTTTGACAAGTCAGCCACCTTTTTTAAAATAATTTCAAACTGCAATACAATGCCTCCACATTTTCCATACTGCTCTTTTTGTTTGCATAACACTTATATTTACAATTGTTTTTTTAAGTATTGAAATTCTAGATTTACAGACTTTATTTTTGACACATTGTTTAAAATATGTGTTTTAAAAATAGCTATTAAGTTCCCTTTTTTTTGGTGGGGAAGTAAAAATCTAAACCACTTGCCCGATCGGACCAGTAGAAAAAATCCTTAGCGTTGAACCCTGTTTACTAATGATCGATACATTTATTACAGCATTTTTTTTTGGTATTAATGTAAATAAAGTCCTTTATTGTTAGATCTTGTTGTTAACTAATGTTTACCAAGCACAACTTTGTATTTTCATAATCATTCATTCATTCTCTTGTCGGCTTAGTCCCTTTATTAATCCGGGGTCACCACAGTGTAATAACCCACCAACTTATCCAGCAAGTTTTTACGCAGCGGATGCCCTTCCAGCTGCAACCCATCTCTGGGAAACATCCACACACACGTTCACACACACACTCATACACTACGGACAATTTAGCCTTCCCAATTCCCCTGTACCGCATGTCTTTGGACTGTGAGGGAAACCGGAGCACCCGGAGGAAACCCACAGGAACGCAGGGAGAACATGCAAACTCCACACAGAAACGCCAACTGAGCCGAGGCTTGACCCAGCGACCTTCTTGCTGTGAGGCGACAGCACTACCTACAGCGACACTGCTTTGCCTATTTTCATAGTACATTAGTCAATTCAGAACTTATTAAAACTGATTTACACTTTACGCTACTGTTTATTCTTAAATATTGTTAGTAATTACAATAACTAACATTATTCAGTGGGGCTGTTGAATGCTTAATTCTGACTGGCTCATCGTGAACATGCTAAGGTGTGTCTGTATTTTCAGATAAAGGCTTTGGATTGAGATGTGGAAGAATCTAGTGCTACACACAGGAGCAAAGACCTGACAATACAACATCTCAACAGTGGCTTTAGTATACTGCAGTATAAGCAGAGTATACGTATAACAGCCATAGTATATGCAGAATAATGGACTATGGTCTGTTGAATTAAATTATGGGTAAATAATGCACACCCGAGCTTACGACCACATCACTGTACCTCATGGAACCTTATTGTAAAGTGTAGTATTGGTAGCATGTTGCAGACTAACACTGCTCTGATTGTTCTAAAATAAGTCTATCATATACCATGTAGGTGAAATCTTGATCTCTGACTCCTGGACTTTTCCCCAGGTTCAGATTGACTTTCATTTGATCGCCGATCTCAAACTCTGCAGCGTCGATGCCGATGTGCAGGTAGTTCTGGGAGCTGCCTTTGGTCTTGTAGGCCTGAGGTACCATCTTCTTCAGTGCCTGCTGGTCATCGTCAAATTTGGGATCTTTGGTTTGTACCTGGAAGTGGACAGATTGATGCTATTATAAGCCTAAAAACAGAAAACATCAACAGAAACAGTGTGCGTTTGAGGCTGGTTTGTGTTGAACACCAGCTGAAACTACATAAGGGGCTGTTTTTCCTTTCCACTGCACTACTTTTCAATTGTTTTCCAATGTAAACGTGTTTTTAGAAGCGCCGTGCACACGACTACCAAATTTTCAGATACTGTGTCAAGTTAAAAGATCTTCAACTTTCAACAGCGCAGCTCATCATTGTCAGGTCCAAAAGCAATGCACCAATCAGAAGAGTTAGGAAGCGGGACAACAATTGCAAGCTGTTTCTGTTTATAGTAGAAAGTCATGATAACTCTTCTATTTACCATTATATCATGGTGTAGGAGGCACTCATTGTGGCCTTGTCCAGATATTTTGAGTTGTATGATATATCTTCAAGTGCTTCTATTATTGTTTTCCCATTTCCAATGGTCTTTATTAAAACTCAATCCTGAGCGCTGCATCTCGCATTTCCAGAATCAAAGACGCATTTGCTGTCAATGAGCCCTAAGACTGGCAAAGCATCTTAGACTGGTTAAAGAGGAACTATTTCATTCTACTAATCCTGAGACACATTAAACTCTGTAAAAAATCAACATCAGTTCAGTTGAGATGTAAGGTCTTACAGTGATCTCCAGAGCAGAAGATCCTTCAATTGAATTGACGGTAAGCTTCGCAATGCCATTGGATTTTGTTTGACCTTTGACTCCTCCGGGATTGACCAACACTTCCACATTTTCAGCAGGCATCTGGTTAGGGTCTGTTATGTAAACCTAAATGAGTGATAAAAAGATAAACAGTCAGTAAGTACACCAACCCCATGTACGCCAACAACACAGGCTTTAAATTTATGACTGATTAGATGAAATGTTTAAAATACTTTTTTGCAAAGTACCTAGAATCAACACATGAATTCCCCAATAGCTAAAAAATAAATTGTATATTTAGGATTTATTTTAGTGGTGCTATAGTAAATTAAGAGTTTAAGAGGATATTGTTTACTCTACTATCTGACAAAGGTCTTGTCGCCTATCCAAGTTTAAGGAACAACAAATAATAACTTGCCTTCTAGTTGATCTTTTGGTGTCAGAAGTGTCTTATATGAAAGGCAAAGGCCTCTAAATGACGCTTATTTGAGCACAGTAAAATATGGTCATGCCTTGATTTTGAATGATTTCATTAGGACAGTAAGGTCTGACTTTGCTCAGACAAAAGTCTTGTCACCGAACAAAAATAATGTCCCGTATAGAGTACAAAGTCCTGCTGCAGTGGAGACAGAATGAATATTGTGTCTGACTCCATCATGAGCTTGCAGACTGCATCCATACATCTCTGCTAATCACTTATTAATAAATTCATCTGGAATGGCAAAGAAAGCATTCCTGCAGGACTCCCAGATTTCATCAAGAGTCTTTTGAATTCATCTTCAATGCCTCCTCCTTCATCTTACCCCAGACATGCTCAATAATGTTCATGTCTGGTGACTGGGCTGGCCAATTCTGGAGCACTCTTTGCTTTCAGGAGCTTTGATGTGGAGGCTGAAGTATGAGAAGGAGTGCTATCCTGCAGGAGAATTTGCCCTCTGTTGATGTTGCCATCCACTCTGCAGATCTCTTGCATGCCCTCATACTGAATGTAACCCCAAACCATGATTTTTCCTTCACCAAACTTATTCACCAAAAGTATTTGTGATAATTGGGATGCAGTTTAACGGATGATTTATCGGAAAAAAAACTACCTTCTGCCACTTTTCCAAATGATGAACTAGATGCTCTTACAACGGGGATCGATGACAAGACTTTTGTCAGGTAGTGTAGTATTGGTTAAGTCTGCACGTCTAATTAATTGTACATTACACAGTTATTTTATTCATTTCATTTGGTTTTAACTGCATTTAGTGTGCCGTTTGCTTGGAAAATGTTGTTGGTTTAATTTTATTATTTTGTTAAAATGAGCTGAAACAACACAATTCTTGATATTTATTTTGGGATAACTTAATAGTTTTATGTTTAATCCACCTAAATTTGTAAAAACTAATAAGTTAACTTAATTCCTTCATGTTGTCCCAACAACAAGTTTTACATTGTACAATACAAGTTGTATACACATAATACAAATAAAGAAATTAAATTAAATTAAACTCAATTCAAAAATGTGAAGTGTAAAGTTCCTTCAGTGAAGTGCGTAATAAGTGAATCATGGCAGAAATGTCAGGTCAGTTTGATTATTTTCACCAATTGTTTTATGAATACAGATGACCTATTTAAAAGAAACGTTTAATACCGAGACACTGAAGGGCATTCCTGGTTTGAAGAACTGTGGTGTTTTCTGGAAATTGATGGTGTATGGAGACGTCACAATCTGTATGCCTCTCCTCTGAGCTTCTACTAATTCACTGCCTGAAACACACCCAAAACACTGATTAATGAAATTAAATATATACTGTAAAACATCAACTAAAAGTTTATTTGTGTATAAATTATTATGTATAAAAAGGAATTAATAGTGTTTAAACACTAAAAAATAAATAAATAGCATTTTTATAACAAAATTCCTGGTTTATATATTGTGAAACGTGGTTTTAAAAATGCATGAATTACAGTAAATTTGCACTGCATCTATAATAACTCTTACCAGAGTCTGTCAGAACACTGACTGAAATGTAGATCGATCGTCCAACCAGTTGGCTGATGTCCGGGAAGGTCTGGAGTATGGTCTGCTTGGTCAGCTTGGCATTACCTTCTCCATCTGATATCTGCAGGTAATGTAAACATCAACATGAGCTTGCATCAATTTAAAGGAATTTACACTTTTTTTTTTTGGAAAAAAAAATCTAATTTTACAGCTCCTCTAGAGTTAAAGAGTTAAGTTTTACCATTTATTCATTCATTAAGCTGACTTCAGGATTTGGTGGATAAACTTTTAGCTTAGCTTAGCATAAATCTTTGAATCATATTAGACCATTAGCGTCTTACTCAAAAAAAAAAAAAAAGTTTAGATCCTTTTCTTATTTAAAGCTTGACTCTTCTGTAGTTACATCATGTACATATTACATTCTTCATCTGATATCTGCAGATTATGTAAACATCATCATCAGTTTGCTTTAATTTAAAGGAAACGCCACTTTTTTGGATAAAGGCTCATTTTACAGCTCCTCTTGAGTTAACAGTTCAGTTTTACCATTCATGAATCCATTTAGCCGACTTCCGGGTTTGGTGGAAGCACTTTTAGCTTAGCTTAGCATAGATCATTGAATCGGATTAGACCATTAGCATCTCACTCAAAAAAAAAGAAAAAAGATAAATAGTTTAGATCCTTTTCTTATTTAAAGCTTGACTCTTCTGTAGTTAAATCATGTACATATTACATTCTTCATCTGATATCTGCAGATTATGTAAACATCATCATCAGTTTGCTTTAATTTAAAGGAAACTCCACTTTTTTTGGATAAAGCCTCATTTTACAGCTCCTCTAGAGTTAAACAGCTGAGTTTTAACATTTATGAATCCTTTCAGCCGATCTCCAGGTCTGGCAGGAGCACTTTTAGCTTAGCTTAGCATAAATCATTAAATCGGATTAGACCATTAGCATCTCACTCATAAATGTTAAAAAGAGAGAGTTTAGATTATTTTCCTGTTTAAAGCTTTACTCTTCTATAGTTACATCATGTACTAAGTCTGACATAAAATCAAAAGTTACTATTTTCAAAGCTAATATGGGTAACTATTAAGTAACCATGTTAAGTATTAAGTAACTATACTCTCATTCTGGCGTAATAATCAAGGAACTTTGACTGCAGTAGCACAAAGATATTACATCTTACACTCTACAGCGTCAAACTAGTCTAAACTCTAAACTCTTATTTGAAATTTTTAAATGAGATGCTAATGGTCTAATTGGATTCAATGACCTATGCTAAGCTAAGCTAAAAATGCGCCCACCAGACCCTGAGATCAGCTGAGTGGATTCAAAAAAGGTAAAACTCCACTGTTTAGTTCTAGGGGAGCTGTAAAATGAGCCTACTTATATAAAAGTGGAGTGTTTCTTTAAGAGCTCACCTGAACTCTTTGAAGAGAAGAGGGAATGCTGGTTTTCCTGTCATCTTCCATCACTCCAAACACCACAAACGCATGTCCGTTCACATTGTTTCCATGCAGGTATCTAGAAAAGCAGATTTAATTTGTGATGTCTTCGTTAAGCAGGTATATCATGTAAATATATAAAGAAACAGACTTCAGGAGTAACACTGAAGTACAGAGCAATAAACCATTCTGAAGTAGATCAAATGACATGAAAATACATATAATGGTCTTACCTGGCTTCGATGCTAACCGTCAGACTGTCATCTTTCACACTGAAGAATGACTTACTGGGTGATAATGTCACTTCATAAGTGGGAAGAACTATAAAAATAAAGCCACAAAACAACAATGAAGACCAAACAGATGTTCATATTCATGCATTCAGAAGTAAAAGGACCAAGACTACACTGAAAAGGTTGTGCAGTAAAAAATGTTCATAAAATATATGTAAATTAAGTCATTTTGTTCAATTTATGCTTCTGAATTGCATTATGAGAGCTTAATATCTTCTCCAACGTGTTGAAAAGATTCAAAAAATGACTTTTAATTACATTTTTAAGTTATTTTAATATTAAGTTTTATATATAAATCTAGTATTTTAAAACTAGGTGATATATTGTCTCGATGGCGACGCGATGGCGCAGTAAGTAGTGCTGTCGCCTCACAGCAAGAAGGTTGCTGGTTTGAGCCTCGGCTGGCTCAGTTGGCGTTTCTGTGTGGAGTTTGCATGTTCTCCCTGCATTCCCATGGGTTTCCTCCGGGTGGTCCGATTTCCCCCACAAGTCCAAACACATGCGGTACAGGTGAATTGGGTGAGCTTAATTGTCCGTAGTGTATGAGTGTGTGTGGATGTTTCCCAGAGATGGGTTGCGGCTGGAAGAGCATCCGCTGCATAAAAACGTGCTGGATAAGTTGGCGGTTCATTCCCCTGTGGCGACCCCGGATTAATAACGGGCCTAAGCCAAAAAGAAAATTAATGAATATTGTCTGGAATGGTCTTGTAAATTATGGTTCAGAAACATGGTAATAAACTGCCAGTACTTGTTATTTTACAGACTTGCATTGTCAATAAACTCTGTTATATTCACATTTGAAGTACAAACATTACTAAATCCTAAAATGCACACAGAGAAAATAATTACTAAAAGTCACCTAAAATTAAAATTAAATAATAAGATTAGAATATGAATAAAAATAATAATTTTACATAAAAAAATAACAATTACTATAACTAGTAACTATTAAAAATAGCACCAGTCAGTTCAAGTGCTGCTGTAATTCATGCTAAACCCCCCTTGCAACTACATACATGTATTGTCTATATATATATTGTATATATATTTGTATGTATGTATATGCTAAATAAACACATTTTTAGAGTTATCCAATGATCTTGTGCATATCATTCATTCATTCATTCATTCATTCATTTTCTAGTCGGCAGAGTCCCTTTATTAATCTGGGGCTGAATGCTTGTCCTGGGGTGAATGCCATATTCTGATTGGCTGATGAAAGTGTTTGGGTATTGTCAGATAAACGCACAGCTAAAGTAGTTCCGGCAGGCTGTGAGAGCATTACAGCTCCATATCACTACGCTGAATGATTCGAGTTATTTCACAGCTACAACAGTCAGAATTCACATCAAAACACAACAGAAGGGTTTGGAGGAGACGTGGAAGAAACTAGTGCAACACACAGGAGCAGTTTGAGGACAAAAACCTGACAAATAAAGTCTCAAATACAACATCTGACTGATTTAGATGTGGAAACCAGTGTATAAGTGGAATAATTTATAAGAAAATAATAGAAAATAATGCACACCTGAGCTTTTACAACCAATCTACCTCGTGACCACATCACCACCTCAGGTGTGCATTATTAACTCATTCATTTTCATTTCGCATTAGTCCCTTTATTAATCCTGGGTCGCCACAGTGGAATGAACCGCCAACTTATCCAGCACGTTTTTACGCAGCGGATGCCCTTCCAGCTGCAACCCATCTCTGGGAAAATCCTGTGCATATATCTGTATATATGTTATATTATAGTTGTCATATTCAAGCACTGTGGCCTCACAGCAAGTAGGTCGCTGGTTTGAGTCCCGGTCGGACCAGTTGGCATTTCTGTGTGGAGTTTGCATGTTCTCCCCATGTTGGTGTGGGTTTCCTCCGGGAGCTCCGGTTTCCTTCAAAGTCCAAAGACATGCGCTATAGGTGAATTGAGTGTGTGTTAATGAGTGTGTTTGAGTGTTTCAAAGTACTGGGTTGTGGCTGAAAGGGCATCCGCTGCATAAAACATATACTGGATAAGTTGGAGGTTCATTACACTGTGACAACCCTTGATAAATAAAGGGACTAAGCCAAAGGAAAAGGAATATTGAACAAAAGCAGACAGACGTAAGTCACCCACCATAATCTTTGACTTCAAAGTCGGCCGTGTAGTTTTTTTGTGGTGTGTTTGTGAATCTTGTGACCACCTTCCAGATGCCAGGACTAAAAGCACAAGCACATCAGTAACATCAAAACTGAAAACTAAAATCATCATGTCATGTTTTCAGCATAAACACACCTGGCAGGCTGAGGTACCATGTATTTTCCTGATCTAATCCCTTGCTTTGGAAATATGGTTTCTCTCATGGTTGTGATGCCTTGAGGATCCTTTAAAAAAAACATTCACATATAGTCATAAACATGCTGTTCAAAAAAGTTTTTAATAAAGCTAATTTACAAGAACCAGAACAGCAAAAAGGTCTAGAAATATTAATGTTTAGAAAGGTTTTAGTGCATTATTTTTGTAAAATCCCCATTATGTCCAGTGTTGTTGTTTTCAATTGTTTTACTAAGATATATTCAAGTATGGCAACACAGTGACTTATTGGTTAGCACTGTCGCCTCACAGCAAGAAGGTTGCTGGTTTGAGTCTCGGCTGGGCCAGTTGTCATTTCTGTGTGGAGTTTGCATGTTCTCCACTTGCATGTTCTTGCATGCTGGCGTGGTTTTCCTCGGGGTGCTCCGGTTTCCCCAATAATCCAAACCTATGCGCTAAAGGTGAATTGGATAAACTAAATTGGCCATAGTGTATGAGTGTAAACGTGAGAGTGTTTGGGTGTTTCCCAGTATCGGGTTGCAGATGGAGGGGCATCTGCTGTTTAAAAAACATGTGCTAGATAAATTGGCGGTTCATTCCACTGTGGCGACCCCTGATGAATAAAAGGACGAAGGAATTTTAATGAACGAATGAATTATATTTAATTTAATCCATTGGACTTTTGGAATTCTGGATTCTGATTGGCTGGAAAGTGTGCAGTGAGCTGTTGAATTATTAGGAAATAATGTACATCTAGAAATAACATTGCTTTTTATCAAAGTTTTATAGCATTTTCTGGTAAAATTACCATTATTTTTACCATAATTGTTTGATTTTTTTTTTTTTTTACAAAGACATGTTTAGTTATATTAATGTATTCCATGTGTCGGATGAAGTGTGCCGTAAGTAAGGAATAACTGATGATGAGTCATTGAATAATTAGAAAATAAAGCACATCTAGAAATATCAATGTTTAGCAAAGTTTCAATGCATTTTTGAAAGATTATTTTTCCACTGTTAACGCACTGTAAAATAAAATCTTACTGCTTTAAATTGCTTAGTTGAATCAAATGAAATGTTCTAGTCATATCTACTTAAATTAGTCAAACTGACTAAAAATATTATTTAAACGTATTAAAAAGAGGTAAAGTAACATAAAACATTTGGTGTCGACTTTTTGTTTGAAATTATTTCACAAAGACATGTTCAGTTTTAATTTATTCCAAGGGTCAGATGGAATTCTTAATTCTAATTGGCTGGAAATAGTGCAGTAAGTAAGGAATAACTGATAATGAGACGTTGAATTATTAGAAAATAAATGAATAAACAAACACATGAAGAAATATCATTGTTCAGGAAGTTTTAGTGCATTTTTGTAAGATGATCATTATTTCCACTGTGAAAATAATGATAATCTTACAAAAAAAAGCAATAAAACTTTCCTTAATTTTATTTAAACCGAGAAATAAATTCAATGACCGAATATATATTTGTAAAATAATTTCAAACATGTTGAAACATGACACAAACTGGATTATCCCTACTAATACTACTAATACTTCCCTTCTTAGACTTTACAGACCTGAAACTTGTCTATAGCACTTATTCATTGTTGCTCTTGGTTGTGTAAATTGCTTCCTTGTCCTCATTTGTAAGTCGCTTTGGATAAAAGCGTCTGCTAAATGACTAAATGTAAATGTAAATGTAAAACAGAAAGACAGACTTCCCATAATGTCACTGTCTAGGAAGGTTTAAGTGGATTTTAGTAAGATTACCATGATTTCCACTGATACTCCAGCATTTTCAAGTGGCTTCAGACCAGATGTCAGTGAAAAGATCCTGTATTGAACTGCATAAAAAAATTATTATGACATATGGTTACTTTTTCAACCGCAAATAGTTTATTTTGTGCTTTTTAACATAATATCTAATGCAGCTTATAATGTTTAGGCATATACTTCATTCCTACCGTTGCTACCAGGCGTGTAGATGGGCTTGTCAGTCTGTACAAATATATATCCAGACTGAAACGACAGCATGACCACTTTCTCCAGAGTGTGAGTTGGAAATTGAGCTTGCAGATACACATACTGCTTCTCCAGAGGATCATCAGAGAAATAGTCGCGATCACTGGGAATCTGCACAACACTAATTAATAATGAAATATCCTCTCCATGCTTTAACACATTGAAATTGTAACTAAAATAGCTGATTGTTCAAATATGAAGTTTGCCCTTTAAAAATCACACACAATCTCTTGCATAACAACAAAGTGTGTCAAAGTGGCATCACCTTTATATCTGCGAGGATCTGGAAATTGTTTTCGTCGGTCAGTGTTACTGTTTTCGACAGGATCTCCAAGTTCTTCCTCGGGTGGTTCTTTACAGAGATCTTCACGATTAAGCTTCCTCCAGAGTAATCCTGCGCCTCCACAAACACATTCTCTGATGAACCCACTCTCAGCAGATTAGGAGCCGACAGCACATATCTGAGGAAATCAAATCATTGTCATATTTTACATTAAAAAGGTGACCTACTACTGTATATCGTTTCATTATAAGATGTAAAATAAGTCTCTGAGTGTGTGTGTGTGTGTGAAGTTTCAGCTCAAAACAGCACATAAATAATGTTTTATAACACTCTGAAACGGACCCTTTTAGGCTTTGATCCTAATTGTGGTGTTTTGGTGACTGTCGCTTTAAATTCAAATGAGATTCTGCTCTTTTAAAAAAGAGGGCGGAGCTACAAATGCCTATGCCATCTACTCTCTTGAGGGGGTAGAAAAAAGGGGCTGAGCGATTTACTTCCAGAAGGAAGTTGACATTGAGGGGCATGTAAATAGAGCTGTAAAGCTTAACTTCTTGATTTTAGGTGAAAAATTGAATCTGTTGGAGACGTCCAACAGATTAATAGGTATCAAAAAAGTCCAAGGGGGTGGGGGGCGATCAGCAAAATGGGGAAGTCTTACAGTAAAGTGAGAAAATATGATACATTGGTGTTTTAGAATATTCAGACGCTGCGTCGAAAACTGCATACTTCCATACTGTATAGTTTGCTAAAATCAGAATGCGAGCCGAGAAGTATGTCACTTCAGAAGTCAAAAATCACTATATTTACAATATATACAATTGTACATAAGATGTAGTCTAAAAAAAAAATGTATATATATATATATATATATATATATATATATATATATATATATGTATATATATATATATATATATATGGGCAATTCCATGCAAATTCCATGCAAATGTCAACCTTGCCATAAAAAAATAATTTAGTTTTCACCAAAATAGACAAACCATTTCTACATTTTTTGTGTTAACAAGTATTTTACAATACTGTAAAAATACTCGTAAATGTGTCTGTCAGTATTTCAAACTATTATATTTAATTTGCCAAAATCACACAAGTGGCTATTTCACAGCTGTCACATCCATAACGCAAATGTGTCACATCCATAACGACACTTTTTCTTCATAAATGCAAAAATGTCAAATAAAATAAAATCAATCATTATAATTCTATAGTGAGCCGATTCATACCTGTTTGATGAGCATTGTTTCTTTTGGGTTAATTGTGCAGTTTAACTGTCAGAATTTCTAAATAATCTGTTGTCCATTGCAAATTCGCAAACTTTTTTTGTCACATCCATAACGCATGTTTATTTTTCTAATTTAGAATATAAAACATGTTTACATATTGATATTTTTCTGCTACCATAACTCTGTGGTGAGCTATTTTGGAAAATATAAACAGAAGTTTCGATACAATGTCAACATATACTTTCTGTGTGAAATTCTGTGTGAGTTTTTACTGCAAATGTCACATCCATAACGCGGGAATTGCTCATATATATATATATATATATATATACATACATAAAAAGTAGTCTAAAAATGTGTTGATGACAAAATGGCGGCTTTAGTAAGTCCCAATTCCATTCCTACTGAATAGAACGTTCTTTTCTGACGGTCGAGTAGTACGTTTAAATTCAAATGCAGTACCTACTGAGTAGTAGGCGGTTTTGGACGCAGCCAGAATGATGAAGCAATTATGATATGAGGATGGTTAGGAGGCCATGATGGACAGAGGCCAGTGGGCAAATTTGGCCAGGAAGTCAGGGTTAAACCCCTAGGCCGAGTCCAAAACCGCCTACTACTCAGTAGGTACTGCATTTCAATTTAAACGTACTACTCAGTAGTTAGAAAAGTACTTTCTATACAGTATGAATGTGAAAAGTATGAATGGAATTCGGACGTACTACATCTGCCATTTTGACATAGTCATGTGACGTAGCTACGCAATTTGCATCAATTTACTCCCATTCATAAATTCGCTCGCGGGGCATCATGGGATAGCGTAGCATGCATAGAATGCGCACTCCAGAATCTCGCCGGAAGTAGTAAGTCATCCGGGTACTTCTCGCATACTGTTTTTCAAACTCTATGAATTCGGACATACTACTCGGCTCACATACTGATTTTAGCGTACTATATAGTATGGAAGTATGCGGTTTCGGACACAGCCCTACTCTTTTTCAAAGGACATCTTTTAACGACCACAGAGAGTCGGGACCTCGGTTTAACATCTCATCTGAAATTCAATCCGAATTTACACATTTCGGTAGACTAATAACACAACACCCAAACACTGCAGTGCTTTTTCATACTATGGAGGTAAGTGGTTGCAGGTATCCAGTTTTTTTCATGTCCTTCTTTTGTGTTAAAAAAAAAAAGACAAACGGGTTTGGAACAAGTGAATGATGATAGAATTTTAAGTTTTGGTCGAACTATCTCTTTAACTCTTTTGAATATGTCAAGCTGCTGTGAATAACCCATTATATTGCTTTTTAGTGAATATTAAATTACTGAAAGAGCTGCACTTTTAGTATTTTCATAGGTTTATTTTAAAAGTAACAAAAGTAATTAGTAATCTGATTACTTTTTACATAATGTAATTAGTAATGTAAACAGATTATAATTTTTGAGTAGTAATCAGTAATTTTTAACCGATTACTTTTTTAAAAGTAACCCAACACTGCGTGTAACATTATAACCAAGTTAACCAGCGTATCCACATCACTACCATAAAAAGTAATGTCTGTGACTGGATTTGTATATGTGACAAGTCCTAGTGACATCTATTAACATTAATACAATTTCATTCAAACTTATTAAAAACTAAAAATACTCACAGTGGGTCACACAGTGTGAGGAGCGCTGAAGACAGAAGAACAGCAGAGAGAAACAGCAGCTTCACCTCCATCTTTTCAGTCCATCTGTGTATGTGTGTGTGTGTGTTTGTTCATGTGTGCACAGCTGATTTAAAACCCCTCCTGTTTTCTCGCCGACCAAAACGTCACATTATGCATAATATAAATAACATTAAGCCAATGATAAAGCGTCCAGCAGTTAACGTATGTATCCAGATAGACCTATCCAATGTGACTAACGTACACAACGAATGTTTTTCGTTTCATTTCTTCCCTAAAGGCGGATATATATCCCAAAACTTACACCAGAAGACAGACATCCACACATGCTAGAGATAAACACTCCTATCACACGATAACCGTGATGTTTTTATACAATAGACAATCATAAACACTCTGAATAACATTTCAGCTGATTAACGGCAAAAACACTTGACAGCCAATCAAAACTCTCCCTGCTTTAAAGCGCGCGCAGGTGTAATTTGAAATAACCGTCCTTTAGTGTATTTGCTAGTCTGGTTGAAGCTATTGTATATGAAGGAATCCTATATTTATAACGCAAGTCTTTGTGAGGGACTTTAAACAGAAAAGGAGTCTTCTTGAGCAGTCTGTGGTAAAGAACAGAGTTCACTGCTGTGGGGTTTCCAGTAAATGACCTACATAAACAAATGCAACCTTTGGTAAGTACGCCCATCTATTGATTAATCAGGGAATTTTTTCAGCTAGTTGTGTTTACGCTGATGTCAAAAGTCCTTTTCATTTATTTATTTTAAAAAAAAGAATATATTATAATATTATAATAATATATTAGAGTTGCAATCCGAATAATTAAACCCCCTTTTAATTGTATTTCTTTTTTTAATATTTCCCAAATGATGTTTAACAGAGCAAGGAAATTTTCACAGTATGTCTAAAAAAATGTTCTTCTGGACAAAGTATTATTTGTTTTATTTCGGCTAAAATGAAAGCAGTTTTAAAAAAAATTTAATACCATTTTAAGGTTTAAAATTATTAGCCCCCTTAAGCTATAGATTTTTTGATAGGTTAACTAGGCAGGATAGGGTAATCCGGCAAGTTGTATAATGATGGTTTTTTCTGTAGACTAATTAACCTTGTTGAGCCTTTAAATGTCACTTAAATCTGTATAGATGTGCTTTGCAAAATATCTAATAAAGTATTATTAACTGTCATCATGGCAAAGATAAAATAAATCAGTTATTAGAAATGAGTTATTAAAACTATTATGTTTAGAAATGTGTTGGAAAAAATCTCTCTGTTAAACAGAAATTGGGGGGAAAATAAACAGGGGGGCTAATAATTCAGGGGGGCTAATAATTCTGATTTCAACTGTATATATTAATAATAAATAATATGTTATAATAACATAATATTATAATAGAACATATTTTGATTGATTAAAAAAACAGACTCTCTAAAATATAATTCTTCCAGCATCTATGCAGACTCACAAGCTTTCTAAATACTGGAATCTCTTTAACCGGTAACATAAATGCATATGGTCTAACTATATTTAAGTGCTACAGTATATTATGTTTGCTTGTATATAGTCCTATAGTTGGGTTTGGAACTGTGGAAAATTTTTATTTTAGTTTCCATAAGTACTGAAGTTGTTTTATTGATAACTCCTTAAATAAGTACAGTACATCATAAGTACTATAGCTCACTCATCTTTGTAACATGATGAAAGCTTTAAGGTTCCAGACATTATAAAAAAAGAAATACAGTTAATATACCATAATCATCCAACAGAAATCTGGAAAAAAAATAAGACAACACAGTAGACATTTTGTGTTGCAACTTTTATTTGACTAGTGGTTTCACATGATTACATTTTAGTTGACAGGTACTAGGTTAACCCTTGTTATGTCCAAAATTTAGGTTTGATACTAATGTTGTGGGTCATATTTCTGATGTGAAAGAGTATGCCATCACCACACTTGAAATTACTTCGGATAAAAGCATCTGCCAAATGCATAAGTGTAAATGAAAACACACTAATGACTGTTTGTGTTAAACTGATGTAAACTACACTGTACTTAAATTAAATTGATTATATGCCTTCAAACATAAAGTTAGCTGGCCAAATTGAACATCACAAACTTTATGGACATTCAGCATGCCTGTTTTACAAAACAGAGCATCCAAATTGTTTTATGCTTATTCACGACCCTACATTTAAATAACCAATATTTCCAACAACTCAAAATCTAACATGGCTTCTGGAACATAATAAAAGGATGAAACCAATTTAACTGTGCAAACTGAATGTACTTATTGCCAATAATTGCTAACAAAGCCAGAAATACATTAGAAGTAAAAGCAAAGAAATGGCTGTAATGCGGTTATAGATTAACAAAGTCATTTCAGCTCAGAAACAGGTTTATGTGGAGCAGCCAACTCTTTCAAGCTTGTTGGCGAGTGAGGAAATGCCGATATACTTTTTCCTATACTTTGGCGTCTGGCCCTCTGTATCTGTCGGCCAGTATTCAATCCAAGTGTCTTCACCCAAGTGGTACCGCAGCCTAAGAAGAGTAGGAATACGCTTCATTAGGAGAATCCATAAAAGATATTAGCCATTTGACAATTTAGGTTCAAAAAGTAAATGTGCCACTAAGTGGGTTTCCATCAGCCTTCGTTTTCATTATTTGTTTCTCATGCGATACTTCAAAATGCGCAAGTTTCTAAAAAAATCTATTTTCTAATAGAGAGTTTTATGCTCACTTTACGTAAACTCTATTGTAGCAAACATTACAACTACCATACATATAGTGGCAAAAATTTTCTTAGGGGTGGCCATTTGAGGCCACACAAAATCTTAGGGTGGTACACAAACATTATGAATTCAGTGAAATGTTTTTTTTTCTTCTGGTAAATGAAATAATGTGGCTTTAATTAATTAAATTAATTACTCTTAAAATATTGAAATTTATTCCTCGAAATAAATTTTGCAAGTAAATTTGCAAACCAAATAAAAATCAATATTTTTGGTTTAAAAACACAAACAAATGAGCAATCTGAACACACAAGACATTACACACACTCACTATACAGACCCTATAATAGATTTTATCTATATTCCTTTTTGAGCCACAATATCATTAATACAGCTTCCTCTATTGATGTATCTTTTTGCTAAATACATCCACAATATCATTGAGATTTTTGGCCCTCTCAAGTAAACCGGCAAAAAAATGAAGGTGCTAAATAAACTAAACTCTGAAAAGCTGATTTCAAAATGCATTTATTTATTTTGGGGGATTTTTGTTTTTCAATCAGATAAAAAAATATATATATATTGAAAAAAAAAATTCTTAATAAAAAATTATTAATAATTTAATCATAATAATTAAGAAGAACTTATAAAGTACAATCTCATGCACTCAAAGTCGCATTTCGTTTCAACTAATTATGTTTAGTTTAAAACTTCATCCTTAATTAAAAAAAAAAAAAAAAGTAACGTGAACTTGAAATTGTTGTGGTAAAGTCAGTGTATCTGTTGTGGCGGAATGTCAGCACTTAATCTCCGAAATGCAGCCAGAATAGCCTAACAGTCAAACATCTAGTTAGCGCATGCTTAAAGAGGGAGGGGTAGTGAATCAGCAACGTCGGTGGGGCCAATCAATCCACAATAATTTTAGTGACTGAATTATATTTATTTATTAAAATATTGTGATTTTATGTAAGAAAATTTAAAATAATATCTACAACTAAACCATACTAGGGTGGCCACAGGGGTGACCAGAGTTTCCATAGCGCTGGCCATGGCCACCTTTGGCCACCCCTTGGGGGCGCCCCTGCATACATAACTTACCATTATGACTGCCTTGCTTACTGTTGGTTGCTAGGTTACCAATACTACAGTCATCCACTCTTACAAGTTAATAGAAATGCACCCAATTTGCATTTGGAATTTTTCTTCCTTTCCAAACTTTTAATAGATTCACTTCATGTTAAGATGGAAACCCAGATGTACTTTGTAATAACTGGAGTGCCAAGATCAGACAATTCCAAAATAAAGGTAAAATTAAAATTATCCTCCAGCTGTCATACTTTCCGCCAATCCTGGGAAGGGTTTTGGTCTGGCCCATGATCAGGTACGTCTTGCCCTTTTCAAATTTCAGGAACTCTCTGCAGTTTGGATGAGCCAAGAACGACCTGATTTTCCCAAACGCATCGTGATCGGTGCCTACAAACATGAAACAAGCATTTACGGATGAAGACAATGCATTGGAGAAAGTCACTGATGAAGAATCATAATAAACTATCTCAGGTCTAGTTTGTCAATACTAGGGCTGCGCAATATAGAAATATTGCAGATGTGCATAAAGGATTACAGTGTGCAATAAATGAATGGTTTAAGACGTTAAGAGATTTGGAAGAATGTTTGAAACGTTAGTCACTAGCCTCTTTCACACAGTGATAACGGAATATCTGGAAAATTTACGGAACGACTTTACCGGTAGATTCAAAAAAGCGCTGTTCACACAGGCGAGGACGTTACGTAATTTTTTGGGAAAAGACCATTCATACATCCACTCCAAAATACCGGTAAATTCTGACATCATTAACCAGAAATGACCTCTAAACGGCTGCGCTTGTATTTGTAAACATTTGACTACATCACAAATACCGATCCATCCACAGAGTTTGTAAACAACTCTGATGAAAACATATAGAAAGACACTTTTGCATGTCGAGATGTACATGTATGTGTATGCTGGCGCTCACGGGCTGTTTCACGGGCACACGCAAAGCTTGAAGGTAAACAAACAACGGCTTATCATAAGCATCTCATCGATGATTATTTACACAGCTGGCATTAAGATGAACATATAAACGTTATTTGACTAGCTAGCAGCTAAATGTGTCTGGGAAAATATTCAAAGATTTTTATTCTCATAAACCGCACGGACGTGAATGCACCTGACTGTTCTGATTGGTTAAAGTAGACATCTCACGTAAACACGTTCTAGACGTGCACGCGCTCTTTCAGGCAATCTTCCCTCAGGGCTCACACAGCGCAGCATTCCGGCAAATTACCGGTAATGTTACAACTTCTCTTTCTGGAAAATATCCAGAACGAATTTACGGGTATTTTCAAAAAGGGCCTGTTCAGACATACAGACCTTTTCGGAAAATTCGGAAAGGTCTGTATGTGTGAAAGGGGCTATTGACATCCATAGTATTAGTTTTTCCTACTGTGGAAGTAAATGGTGTTTCTAACATTCTTCAAAATATCTTTCTTAAAAGTTAAAGGGGTGGGAGAGCATAAATAATGTTTTTTGGTGACTTCTGTGAAGTTTGGTTATGCTTTGGTAATAAAAAAATTTCCATAATTGCATATTGACTTTGTGTTTTTTACCATCCTATAGCATTTTTCTTCAATAAATCGCACAGGAGTAGGAATGTTTCAGTATAAAAGTTAGCTTATGCCAAAAATGAGAATATCAAATGGTTTAAGCATATTTCCATAATATGTTACACAAAAAGAACAAAACTGTAACTTGCTGATATATTGGCGATAGGTCCCCAAAAATGTAATATAGGAGAAAATATGTGGACAGAAATCACCACTGACAAAGAAAATCTGAAAAAGAACTTCTTGGAAAATCTTACCTTCCTTCAGCACATGCTCTATGTTCATGCTATAAATGTCTGCGTGCAGAGAGAAGCTCGTGTCCACCACCCTGGTTTTATAGACTACAACACAAATGCATTACTTGATTATATACAAAACAAAAAAACAGGTGAGAACTACGGACAAAGTCCTGAGATACAACCAGATCAAACAAACATTCTTTGATGATACTATATTTTATACAAACACAAAGTATTCTGGGTGTTTACCGTACTCCACTTGATTTTCACAGGCTTTTTCATCCCGCAGGTCTTCGTCAATGTGTTCATTCCTTTGCAAACTGCACTTCTCTGTTAGGATATTTCAAATGTTTACCACTTTTACATGTCTCAACATGATTTTTCAGGTTTATTGAAAATGTGCTTCAGCCTACATTTTAGCGAAACGTTTTGTTGTACATTTCAGATGACAAATCCACCAGAGGGCGCAGTCAACATTATTGTGAGTCTGAAATGCATTGCTTAGGGTACATTGTGCTGTACATTTCATATACACTTTCTTGTACACATCTAGGAGAGAGCAGCAATTGTAGAGATCAGCTAGCAAACCATTGAGCTAAACCCAATCAATGCAGATGTAGGAGAAACGTGTACTGTGACCATGTAGTTTTATCTTGATTTTACATTATGTCAAAATGAGCTACATGCAAAAAGTTGGCCAATTTGCAGTTAGATAGCATCGGGAAACGCATTTGTGTCGCCTGTGTTCACACCAGACGCGGAAGGAGCGTCAAGCGCGAGTGATTTACATGTTAAGTCAATGCAAACGTGCAAATAGACATCCTGCGGTGCGATACGCGTGAAGCGAATGGCACGATATGCGCAAATTGAACGTTTTGCGCGTTTGAACTTTGAAGCGGATATTTGGGCCGCGTTAACCAATCAAGCTTGCTCTTGTGGGGGCATGTTCATGATGTAGCACCTGTTGGTATCCCGAGGTAAATCCTCCAGCTGACACCGACAACAGTTCATCTACCCGGGCTCAGCTCAGTCAGAAGCTGCACTGAAAGCCTCCATCATCCAGGTTCAGTTTCTGGAGGAGTTTGAGCTCACAGAGCTGGGTGCACCTCTGAAAGGATCTAGCAGACACGAGTCTAAATGTATCAACACTGTTTTTCAGCCTTCATAAAGCACATAAACACCGTTATTTTCTTAATAAGATCCATGTTAGCAATTTAGCATTGAAGCTAGAGTCACCAGGCAGACAGAAGCCCTGCCCATCATGCAAATCCACGTCTGTTCTGAAGTGAATTTGACGCTCGAATGAAGCGGATTTGATGCAGGTGAGGTTTGAAGCACGAATGAAGCAAGTAAACTCAAATGTTCACATGGCTATTTACGTGCGAATATTGGGATTTATCCGCTTGTTCCGCATCTGGTGTTAACACAGCATGACAAACAGTAGACAGCTTTAAGCAGTTTTGTGGTATTTATTTGATGATGTGCAAGAACTGTAGCAAAATATTTATTTACACATCAATAAATGGTACCTGTAAATATCAATTTTTAAAAAGGAACAAAAGTTATTGCCCTCTAGTGTTTATCATACCACACAAACGCCCCCAAAAATGCACTTCAGTATACATTTGACTGCAGTTTGTAGGTAAAAGGTCGAAGCACATTTTTGGTGCTTTTTGCTTAATTTTGACTTGATTTTGAAAGGTGCCAATTTATTAAATGGAACAAAACTCTGTAGAAACAATAAATAAATTGATTAATCATTTGCACTTTTTATGAGCTCAAAAACTGGGGCTGACGGTTCAGAATTTAAGCTGGTAATTTCTTTGTCAGTGCCATGCTCAAAAAGTGGTCAGAGAATCATAAATAGTGCATTAGCATTATTGAGCGCCATGCAATCGCCTAAAAAGCCAATTATTTTTATTATATATAAAAGTCGATATATATATATATATATATATATATATATATATATATATATATATATATATATATATATATATATATATATATATATATATATATATATATATATATATATATATATATATATATATATATATATATATATATATATATATATATATATATATATACACACATACATACATACATACATACATACACACACACACATCTATCTTTATATATATATATATATATATATTTATATATATATATATACATACACACATATATACACACATATATACACACACATATATATATATATATATATATACATACATACATATATATATAGATATACATACATATAAATATAGTATTTTTATTATGAGAAAGTAAATAAATGAGAGTACCTTCAGCACACTGGCACAGCTCATCACTGCACAGTCTGTTCAGCGCACCTCCTGTCTTAAAAGGATGGTAGAACTTCACACAGCGCTTATCTGTCAAAATATTACAGTGCAGAAGATCAGTATATGCCCAAAACAGTGAGCTTACATGGTCAAATAGAATAATGTGTTTTAGAGCTGCAAAATTAATCGAAAAAAAAAGATCACAATCTCGATTCGACCCCCTAGACGATTTTAATACAGCATTTCTACGATTCTGTCAATCATATTTTCAAGTTCAGGAGAAAAGCAAAGGCGGCCGCTCAAGTCTTCACACTGTTTTACATATGTTGCTCACACCTCCAAATGATGTTAAAAAAATCACATACAGTATTTATAAGATATAATTCACCCAAAATTGTCATTTCTGTCTTCTTGTAATGATGTATTCGAGGCCGTGATATCACTGTTGTGAGCTGCTGACTGTGAGCTGTTACCAGAGAGGGGGTGGGCGTGTGCCCTTCTTGATGATAGACGCGTGCGTCTACTTAAGTAGGCAGAACCTGCATATGCTGTGAATAACAGGTAATAAAGTTGTGAATAACCTTCAGTTTGTGGCACAGAGTGATCTTTTGGGAGCCACGCAGAAAGTATGAACAGCACTTAGCAGTGAAAATGAAACCGAAAGCACACACATTTTAAATAATCAAATCAAATTTTAGAGTGAAGATTACCACAAGCATTTAATGTTTTTTTCATAACAAACACAGTGTTGTGCATAAAACACTTTCAAACACTTTAAAACACTTTCTAACAGGATTAGACGATGATGTAATCTCACATTCGAAGAGCTCTAATCTATAGACCTTTTTATGCATGGAGGGCGCCATAGCGACCAGCGTCTTCCGGTAGAATGCTAAAAACTTCCGTTTACAGCGTGTACAACTGGTAATTTGCGCTCGAAAAAATCGGTTTCAATAACGTTTTTAATGGATAACAGAGTGTTTTGGTAAAACACAACTTAGAAATGTGTCTGTTAAAGCCGTTATAATCTGTCACATGTGGTTCAAGCGCATCAGAAATACGAGAAAAACGTTCTCCTAGTTCACGTGTCTGCCGTCAGAAATACAGTGTGTGTGTGCGTTCCCGGCCTGTCAGCTGTTAGCTCCCCACATAGCAAAATTTCTCTGGCCCACACAATCAGGTCTTGCTTGGCCCACATGCCGCAGTGAATTACGGTACATGACTGGACCAAATCTGGCTTCCAGACAAGGGCCAAGCATGGACCATATCTGGGCCAAGTCTCAGCCAAGTAATTAACTCATAACTGGGCCTGAACTGGGCCAGATAGGTTGGTGTGTCACGATTGCAATGAAATTGATAAACCCATGGAGTGATGCGCTTTAGGCACACTACGGGCACGCTTTTTCTCAAAGTGACCTGATTGGTAGAATTTTTTTTCTTTACTCAAAATTGATTTTAGTGTATTTTAAATGTGGGTCAAGACTGGCCAAACTCACATGGCCCACTTATCAAATTTTTAAATCTGGGCCAAATACTACATTTTTCATCTGGCCCAAATCTTGTGTGCCGCCTTAAAGACGGTGCCACCTCTGCCAAACCCGGGCCATGTTTGGCCCACATGCTGTATGCCAGTGCCGGATGAATGCCTGCTGTGTCAGCTTTATGCCAAATCTGGAAGTTCTTCGCATTCTCCTTGAGCATACACGCAAAGCATAATGGGTAATTTTGCGTACCAAGAAAAAGGTCTATAAAAAAATTGACATATGAATCTGACAATCAACTTTGACCCTTGTGACATTGATGATAAAGCCCAGGGGGAAGAAGGCAGAAGACCATGTGTAACCACGCATGCTCATTTATTATTGTTTCTTGTGTTATAATGTCAATTCATTCCTATTTCTATATTAAAATAAGTAAATATCCTGACAGTTTAGCTCCAGTATGCATTGGAGCCAGTGGAACACCGTTATGTGTTAGTTTCCTGATTGGATGAAATTTTAGTCTTGGTTTGAGCTACTTGAAATCATGTCTGCTAGTGTAGGAGACCCCTGTTCTAGATGAAAGTTGTTTATGGGTGTGTTTGACAGGAGATTGGGCACCTGGAGTGTTGTATTCATATATAGTGATGCCGACCGGCTGCAACATTCCCACTTCATTAATCTTCTGCATCCTGAAGACAAGCCTTTCCTTCTCTTTATTAGAAACCTGGAGGCACATTAAAGCAGAAAGTCTAATTATGAAAAGCACTCAGTGGAGAAGCAATGGCAATCACCTGCTCTTTATATTGTGGTTTTACCCGATCAATGTAGATGATAAGAGATCCTCGCTCTGACAGCTCCTTGTTCAGCTCAAAGCTCTGAATGTAGCGGTCCTTACCAGTGGATAACTGGTGGTCAAATCAGGAGAAATAGGTGTAACATCAAAGTTCATGTATAAAAATGTCCATTATAGGAATTTAAAAGGGGATTTTTCATCCCAACCTAATTTCATCAGGTAGGACATGTTCCTGGATGAACATCTATGTTGATCCTGGAACAACATTTCAATCAGCCAATCAGAATTAAGGGATATGTTTACAGTTTAGGTTAGGTTTATGCTCATCTACAGTACACGAGTGTTATCCAACTATTATTCTCCTCTGATTTTGGGAATAATTTACAGTTATGGTTGGGTTTATGGGTAGGGAATTGGTATGAAATTTATTTCCCAACAAAAAAAAGATGTTCCAGGATCAACATAGATGTTAATCCAAGATCACACCATACTTGGCAAAACCATGACGTGCAGATCGTTCACCCAAAACTGAAAATTCTGAAAACCTGTTTGACTTCCACAATGTTTGAAACTTGATTCCATTGATTTCCATAGTATTTTTTCTTCTTCTGTAGGAATGTCAATGGCTGCCGGTTTCCAACATTCTTCAAGTTATCTTCTTTTGTTTTCAGAAGTAACTCATGAAGGTTTGGAACTACTTGAGGGTGAGTAAACTTAATATTTGACACACTAACACGTTTGTTTTTGTGAATTGTGGGGACATTACACAGGTTTCCATTGTTTTTATACTGTACAAACTGTATTTTAAATTGCCCACCCTATTTTTAAACCCCACCCTACCCCTCAACTCAACCCGCACAGGAAACTGTGTAGGTTTACTCTCTGAAGCCAAATAATTCTGTTTGATTGATAAAATATCTGACAAATGAAGACACCAACAATGTCCTCATATTTCACCACCTTCTTGTACTATCGGTGTCTAACCTATGTCATTATACAGATTTGTGTCCTGATAATCACATAAACACACACACACACACACACACACACACACACACACACACACACACACTCTCTCTCTCTCTCTCTCTTAAATGATCTAAAATATTAAAGACTACCACTTAAAGTCCACCTGAAATCAAAATATACAATGTTTGTTTTGCAAGCTCACATTGTTATTCTTAAGGTGAATAATTAATCCGTGAAACTTAGTCCGCAGAAAAAATAAAAATGAGCGTTTGTTTTGGTAATCTTCAATGAAATTCTGACTATTGGCTTCAATCTGAGGGTTTCCATAGAATCTGCATATTAATACCCTCACTCTTACTGTTAGTTTGCTGTGTGAAAATGATGTGCAAAAGAAAGCCCCGCCTCCTACTCAATATTTCAATTGTATTTCAAAAGTTTCAATTGTAAGTACATCAACATATAAATGTCTCCGAACGTTCCAGCTCATGTGGACTTTAAATAAGCAAACTAAACAACCAAAAATCAAGGTAACTTATTTGATTAATTTTATGAATTTGTAATTATGCTAACCTTGAAATTGTATGACAAGTAGGTAGGTTTAAATTGTTCGGCATAGGAACATCAAGTATTGTTGGTGACAATGAGGGCATATATTAAATAAGTTATGAGAAAGACTTCATGGCTGTAATTACGACAAGTGCTAGGTTTAGTCTTTTAAAAAGTCTTTTCGATGCTAAATATTTTCAGGGAACTTGTGGATATACAGTTGAAGTCAGAATTATTCGCCCCCCCCCCTTTATTTTTTTATCTTTTATTAATATTTCCCAAATTATGTTTAACAGAGCAAGGAAATTTTCACAGTATGTCTGATAATATTTTTTCTTCAGGAGAAAGTCTTATTTGCTTTATTTCGGCTAGAATAAAAGCAGTTTTTAATTTTTTTAAATACCATTTTATAGACAAAATTATTAGCCCCTTTAGGCTTTTTTTTTCTTCTATAGTCTACAGAACAAACCATCGTTATACAATAACTTGCCTAATTACCCTAACCTGCCTAGTTAACCTAATTAACCTAGTTAAGCCTTTAAATGTCACTTTAAGCTGTATAGAAGTGTCTTGAAACAGACCTATAAATATTGTAATTTCAGGGGCGCTAATAATTCTGACTTCAACTGCCAATCATTGACATATTTTTAAACATTATTATTTATGATTTTACAAATCAACTTTCATCAATACGGTTTCTTTACCTTTACAAGGTCACGTTCATCCACTTTAAACCCCGTCAGCAGGCTGATGTCTAAAATTGTCATAGTTGAGCTTCTTTTTTGGTCCTTGAAACTGCATTAAATTAGAGAATTAAAATGACAGAAAATGATTAAAATTATGGGGGGTTTCCGGGAGAAATAATAAAACGGGAGGGTGGCGGGAGATTGTTTTGAGATATGAGAGACTCCGGGTAAAAACCAGGAATGCTGTTAGGTTTTCCCATACTACTAATACCGACACTGACATCAATCATCATTGTAAATATTTATATTTGCTGATTTTGTAGTTCACCACTATACCTCACATCTTCTCTTGGCAAAATGATCCCATGTAAAACAACATTTAATACATTCTCCTTGCTTAATAATTTAAAATTATTGCTAAACATTTGAACATTTATATGGTGCATTTTTGGATATTTGAGAAAAAAAGACCACAGATCAAAAAAGGCCAAACTATGAATTTCTTGTGGATCTTGTTTCAAGTTAAAATATTAATACTCACATATACTCAATGGTGAGCTTGTAAGTTTCAGGGACTCCTTCATAGGACATCACACATAGAAAAATAAGGTCAAAAAAAGGTCTAATCTTATATTATGGTTTGCATTATATTTAGGTTGTCATGATATGAATCGCACCGCCAGGCTCTTTCTCCATCTGCACGCTGAGGTCAAATGCAGTACAGTCGTTTTCGTTCTCTTCAGGCAGAGCATAATACACAGAAAAGACCTGAGAGAAGGAGACAGAGCTCATTAACACAGAACAACATACTGATGAAGACTTTAGGAGCGTTTATTGAACACTCACCGACAGCATGGCCACCCCAGATCCCTGAGCTGTGATGTTGAAGCTCTTCGTGATGTCAAACTGTGGCAATCAGACCATGAAGAAAACACTTTTAAGATGGCTTTAACACAAAGATGTGAATCAGATGTATTTAGTGTTTAAATGTTCACTGGAACATTGCAATTGTGCATACATGTATGAGTGTTTGTGCATGCAGACACTTATAAATGAATGGACAAACATTCAGAAAATGCATGCACAATTAGTCATACACACATACACTAAATGCATACACTTATAAACAAATGCACAAACATTCATAAATGCTCAAACACTCAAATACATGCTCAAACACTCATAAATGCATGCACAATCACTCATAAATGTATGCACAAACACTCATAGATGCATACACTCAAACAAATGCACGATCAAAAGAATGCATAAACATTAATAAACAAAAACACTAATGAATGCATGCTCAAACACTTACATGCATGTATAAATACCCATAAATGCATGCAAGCACTTATACATACATGCACAAACACTTAAAAAGCATGCAAAAATCACTCGAAAGAATGCACAAACACAAATGTATGAACAAACACTTAAAAGCATGCACAATCACTCAAATACATGAATAAATACCCATATGCATGCAAACACTTATAAATGCATGCACAAACACAGACATGCATGAACAAACACATAAAAGCATGCACAATCATTCAAAAACATGCATAAATACCCATAAATGCATGCACAAACACTTATAAATGCAAGTACAAACATGCAAACGCTCAAATAGCCATGAATGCATGCAAAATCACTCGAATGCATACACTCAAACGAATGCAAAAACATTCAGAAATGCGTAAAAATGCATGCAAGCACTCGTAAAAAAAGATGCACAATCACTCAAATACATACACTCATTAATTAATGTACAAACATTGAGCGTGCATTTGAATGGTTGAGCATTTCTGAAACACTCAAATACATGTTCAACCACTCAAATGCATGCTCAAACACTTATAAAAGCATGCACAATCATTTATAAATGCATGCACAAACTCTCATAAAAGCATGCACAATCAATTATAATTGCATGCACAATGACTCACATACATGCATAAATACCCATAAATGCATGCAAACACTTACAAATGCATGCACAAACATTCATAAAAGCATGCACAGTCACTCAAATGCAAGAACACTCAAATGCATTCACAATAATGACTCGCATTCATAAATAGCCATACATGCATGCACAAACTCAAAAGCCTGCAAAAACATTCAAATGCAAGACCAAACACACAATCAAAAGCATCCACAATCACTCACATTCATTCATAAATGCATGCACAAACACTTATAAATGCATGCATAAACATGCAAACACTTAAATAGCCATAAATACATGCACAAATGTTCATTCATTCAGTATCTCAGCACCTTGTCTGTGCGTGCAACTGGCAGATTAGACTGCCTTATGGAGATCTTGGTTTTCTCTGATCTCTCCTGCACAGCGAGGTCTAGGTTCAGAAAAATGTCTTCCTTCTTGACCTGAATGCGATACTCAGCCACGGCTTGGAAGACAATGATGGTGGCCTGAACAGACAGGTAACATCAACAACAAAATAGTTTGGGAACATGCAAATGTTGAAGCAGTTTTAACTCGACATGTCATCTTTAAACACAATGCTCATGTGCAAGTACTGCAAAAGACGTGAGTGTAATGGATATGCACATCCATCATCAGCATGTTCACATTGAACAACAATGGACAGTAGCTCATTTTAACATGGAAAAATGCACCCCCCTTTAAGTTTTTCGTCAACTTTTATTAGTTTTGACCATGTGACCATTCTCAGTCCACCCACCTACTCATTTGTTTTTCACTTGATGAAATACCTGAGTAGTGCCATAGCCTCCATAGCGTGTTTGTTGCTTTCCCAGCCAGCGCACCACCTGCCCGGCGCTCTCGAAATCCTTAGCTGCCACCAGCGCAAGCGCTGCGTAACCCGTGGCCTCCAGAGAGTGATGCTGCGACCCGGGAACTTGCCAATACACACCATCTAAAATAAACATGGGATGCCACTACATTTGTTTGTTGATGTTAATATGCTTCACAATTAAATATACAGGTGAAGTCAGAATTATTCGCCCCCCTTTGAATTTTTTTTTTTTAATATTTCCCAAATGATGTTTAACAGAGCAAGGAAATTTTCACAGTATGTCTGATAATATTTTTTCTTCTAGAGAAAGTATTTTGTTTTAATTTCGGCTAGAATGAAAGCAGTTTAAAATTTTTAAACATCATTTTAAAGACAAAATGATTAGCCCCTTTAAGCTATATGTTTTTTCGATAGTCTACAGAACAAACCATCATTATACAGTAACTTGCCTAATTAACCTAGTAAAGCCTTTAAAATGTCACTTTAAGCTGTGTAAAAGTGTTTTGAAGATAATTAGTCTTATTTTATTCACTGTCATCATGACAAAGAGTTATAAGAAATTAGTTATTACTCTAACTACTGTGATTAGAAATGTGCTGAAAAAAAATCTTCTTTTAGTTAAACAGAAAATGGGGAAAAATAAACAGGGGGGCTAATAATTCTGACTTCAACTGTATGTAACGCTAAATCAAACTACTGGAAAACTTATCACACACAAAAACTTTTGTTTATTTTAGATACAGTGGGCTGTTGAATACTTGATTCTGATTGGCTGGTGATTATTTTAAGGTATGCATTTTATTTTTATTTAAACTGCAGTCAAATGTTTATAAAAACCCACCGAGCATTAAAAAACACTAATAGATGAAAACTAAATAAACACTAAAACTTTGAATTAATTTTGTCAAAAGAAACATTTGCATATTGGAAAGTAGGTATGGCTTCTATAATGTCTCATTAGTAGGTCCACACGGAATCTGCACGTGCAGAATTCCGCAGATTTTCAGCCCATCATTAATTCTGTTTATTTGAGTAAATGTGTGTAATATCTATATTTATTCCGTTTTTTTAATTAATTACAGTAATATTATTGACTGCGTCTGGCCCTACTCATCAGCTGTTTCCAACCACCTATTTTTGTTTGCATTTTAGATTTGTTCTTAAAAAAAACGTTTGATGGAAAGTTTCATTTTGAAAATGCGCAAAAAAAAACATCCAGCACATGTTTTATGCAGCAGATGCCCTTCCAGCTGCAACCCATCCCTGGGAAACACCCATACACTCATTCACACACATACACTATGGACAGTTTTAGCTTACCCAAATCAGCTGTACCACATGTCTTTGGACTTGTGGGGGAAACCGGAGCACCCGGAGGAAACCCATGCGAACGCGAGAACATGCAAACTCCACACATAAATGCCAACTGACCCAGCCATGCCTTGAACCAGCGACCTTTTTGCTGTGAGGTGACAGCACTACCTACTGAGTCACCGCGTTGCTCTCATTTCAATGAAATAAATCAAATCAGTGTAGTGATATGGAGCTGTAATGCACTCAAAACCTGCTGGAACTACTTTAACTGTGTTTATCTGAAAATAATGGCACACCTTAGAATGCTCATCAGCCATTCAGAATTAAGCATTCAACAGCCCTGTGGTATGCATTTGTATAATTACCCATTCAATAGCCTTCTCATACAACTAACTTAAAAAAATACACAAACTAGATCCCTTTTCTGTTTATGTGCTACTATTAAATCCTGAACTCAGGACTTTAATGTTACCACTACTGTAATGTTGCTGACCTTTGCTTTCAGTGGAGTGGCTCCTCAGAATGACTTTATTCAGTTTTCCAGCATGAGCCAAAGCATAGGAGCTGATCGCGACAGCATAAGGGCTGGTGAGAGTGTGAATTCTGAGCGTCAGGTAACCCACAGCTTTATTCATACTGCTCCGAAGATTCTAGCATTGACAAAGAGACTGACGTGAGCTCCTGACAGACGCCTCATACTGCTGATGGAGAAAAACACACTCTTACTTGAACATATTGAGCACAGATCTGACTTCCTTCCTGCATGGCGATCAGGACGAACGCAGTCAGAGAGGCGTCCGCATCCTTCCCTCGCACATTACCCTGCAGATAGCATGCAAATCAAACAATAATATGCTTTATAGTGATATAACAAGAATACTGTGAAGCTTCACATGTACAGCTATGGAAAGGGTCCACTTGACATATCAGTTTCTCTGGATTTCAAGTTGCATGTACTGCATATTTAGAGCAAAACGTCATTTCAAGATTTGAGGGTGCTTTCACACCTGTGAATCGATTCAGTTGTTCTGAAACAGAGATTACAATTGTTACAGTGTTACTCTTTGCTCTTGGAGCGGTTCGCTTTCACACTGCAAAGTTTCTAATCGGACTAAAAGAGTTAAAACAAGTCACGTGTGAGTAAACTCTGCTTACATTGGTCAGAGTGTCAGGGTTTATTTTGCAGCGTCCCGCTCAGCTGTCAGGAGAGGTGGTGGTTTGGTGGTGATTGACAGGGTGCGCGCGCGACGTGTCTGAGGAGAGATGCGGTGGGGAGGGGTGAGAAGGGTGCGCGACGATGCCTAATTGAGGACCGGGAGGGAGACGCAAGATTACCGGGAGATCATCACTCGTTTAAGGGCATCCGGAGACTTGCAAAACTTCCCGCCCTACTAATAATTCTCTCTTCATATAGCCGTAAGCCTATTACATATGCATAAAACACTGTGATATAACCGCGCTCGGATCGGATCGCTTTCTTACTGCAATCGAACCGCTCCAGGGTTCGTTTCAATCGAGCCGAGACCACCTCATTCAAGCGATCTCGGAGCGATTACTTTGGCGCGGATCAGAGCACTATTGCCCTGTTCACATATGCCAAATGAACCGGGCTAACCGGGCAAACGAGATACGTTCCGAAACAAAAGTGTAGGTGTGAAAGCACCCTGAATGTCACATTTATAACACTGTTTATAACGGTCCAAACTGTGACAGCATGTCATAGCTACACAGGATGAGACAAGATTCCAGCAACATAATAGGACAGAAATATTTAAATACTACAATCATTCAATTAAATATGAGCCACTTCACTCTCAATGAACTAGTAAGAGTTATAATCTAATCCATGCCCATTAAACCCGAATAACTTTATTAAAAGTACATAAATTGAGTAGTGATGCTTATGGTTTGGTTTTGTTGGAGTCACTGGCATTCATTTTCATTATTCGTTTGCTAATTATTTTATTTTTAAGACCTGAGGTGAACTATCTGCTGCTTTCTTAAGTAGTAAAGCAATAAATGTCACTTAAAATGGTATTAAACTATATTACTCACACTGGAAGCATTTAACACTGAATAAAGCCCATAATCAGTGCCTGAGATGATCATTGTCATTGTAGTTTATGCTGTTTGTTTTGCTGCAATGTCGCAGAAATAGACACGCTTTCTAAAAGAGAAATTCTGTGCATCGCCTTTGCAAATATTTACGACAACAACTCCTTTTAACATGAAAGACACCTTTTAGCACATACCACGGTGCCATTTATAGTTGAGCCATTATGTAATGTTAATTAATTAATGTATGTATTTATGTATGTATTTATTTATTTATTTATTTTTATCTGAATAGTTAAGAAATTAATTAATTAATTAATTGATTTATATTAAATGTGTTAATTAATGAATTATAATTAATTAAGGAGGCTGCGATAACAGGACATAATACAATAATTTTAGAAAGAAAAAAATATATACATTTATAATGTATTTATATTGTGTTTTAAAAGGAACCAAGATCTGGTAGAATAAACTTTAATCAAAGCAAATTTTTCCGTCCTTATATAAGCAAAAGTGAACTCTGGCCCTTAATGCGTTCGCACCCTGCACTTTGCACATGGATCGTCAAAATAGAGCCCTTTATTTTGATGGTCCATTTGAGTATTAGTAGACTGTCTGCTTAATATCTGTTGATACTGCTCCTTCAACAGACATTTAACTGACTATGAGAAACTTTGCAAGTACATGTCAACTTACACTAACCTCAACCTAACAGTCTACTTATAATCTAATGAGAATTAGTTGCAATGTAACTTAAATTTAACAAACAGACCATCAAAATAAAGTGTGACCTTTCAAAGTTCTCATTAAGTTCACATTGGTTTGATATAGGGGCAACATTTGGGAAGTCACTGGACTGGAGTTGGTGGTTGGTAGATTGTAAAATTTTAAAGGGGAATTTTATAAAAGACAAATCAGAAAGGCATCCTACGATCATCTCGCTGTGGTATACGGGGACATCTTCTTTAAATGTGCCGTCTGCCCGCTGTTTCTGTGTGGCCAACCACCTGAGGCCGTCGCAGATCACTTTCTCCTCAATGGTGATCAGGTCATAGGCCATCGCAAACACCTTCGCCGCATACGCCGTCAGCCTGTAAGCAGATGCAAAAGAGAAAGCCAGCTTAAGGCACAACAACCACCAACAAAAAGACAACTCGACAGTCTTTATTTTTCAATGATTATTTTACCATGTTGATCCTGGTTGATTGGCCCAGACAGCATATGATCCCTCAGGATTACGGTAGACCAGCTGCTGCTGATAACCTTCACAAAAACAACAAATCAATGGTTCAGGTCAACAGGGAAAACACTAAAGGTGATTTTGAGTGTGGTTTACTGACCGGTTTTGATGTGGCCAATGGCTTCATTTCGGCGGTCGATGCCCACAGACTCCCACTGTTTGGTGTTGTCCAGATAATGAGTGGCAATGACTGGTAAAGTCATTAAGATCATGTTCTGCTCTCCACATCCGTGAGGAAGGACAATGAGTTCACCCATGAAATGTCCGCTGATGGCCTGCTCGACTGTGCGTGTAATCTCTTCACCTGCAAATAGGGAAGAAGTGCATTAAGGGACTGATATTTAAGCAAATATTTTGCAAATATATATATAGATATTTTTACCAATCACTGAGATCAGTGTGGAAGCAGGTGTGTTGGGAACTTTTCGGCGTGGAATGTCGCTCCTCATTGCGATGATCTGCGTGCCATCTGTGCGATCAAGAGGGAAAGCAAAGTTTAAAAGGCATGTCATGCAAACATTTAAACTTACAATCCATCATGTGTTTGTAAGGAAGCTGCACCTGGGTGTTTTGAAGGGTTGATCTCAATAATGCTCTCCTTGACTTCAGTTAGCACTCCTTCAGGCTGAAAGAAAGACAGATGCTAATGGAAATTGGTGCATGGGTTGCAAATCGGGTGATTTTTCTGGGAATCTGTCCTCAGTCACTTCACCTAAGTTTTCATCCAAATATTGAGATGGACAACTCACCACCACCTTCAGGCTCTTTCTTATTGCGTCTTTGCGATTGGAGCTGTAAGCTTCAACTTCGATCCACTGCTCATCCGCATCCATGGGAATAATAATAAGAGGAACGGCTCTGGAGGACATGAGGTCGACAGAAACCCTCAGCCTGCCGGTCTTTTTTTTGCCAGCGCTGCTGCAGATGCCCTCCGATGTCTTAAACCTAACATTTACCTGCTATGAAGACAAAAGAAGATCTTCAGCACAGTCCCGATCACTGTACAACTTAAAGCCTGTCATCATGTGAAAAAATCTGAAAAACACACGCTTCAGTCGACAAAACGGAGCAAAAATATCTCATTTGGGGCATGCAGACACTTGTTTAATCAATCAATCAATCAATCAATCAATCAATCAATCAATCAATCAATCAATCTATCTATCTATCTATCTATCTATCTATCTATCTATCTATCTATCTATCTGTCTGTCTATCTATCTATCTATCTATCTATCTATCTATCTATTATCTTTCTATCTATCTATCTATCTATCTATCTATCTATCTATCTATCTATCTATCTATCTATTTATCTATCTATCTATCTATCTATCTATCTATCTATCTATCTATCTATCTATCATCTATCTATCTATCTATCTATCTATCTATCTATCTATCTATCTATCTTTCTATCTATCTATCTATTTATCTATCTATCATCTATCTATCTATCTATCTATCTATCTATCTATCTATCTATCTATCTATCTATCTATTATCTATCTATCTATCTATCTATCATCTATCTATCTATCTATCTATCTATCTATCTATCTATCTATCTATCTATCTATCTATCTATCTATTTATCTCTATCTATCTATCTATCTATCTATCTATCTATCTATCTATCTATTATCTTTCTATCTATCTATCTATCTATCTATCTATCTATCTATCTATCTATCTATCTATCTATCTATCTATCTGTCTATCTATCTATCTATCTATCTATCTATCTATCTATCTATCTATCTATCTATTATCTTTCCATCTATCATCTATCTATCTATCTATCTATCTATCAATCTATCTATCTATCTATCTATCTATCTATCTATCTATCTATCTATCTATCTATCTATCTATCTATCTATCTATCTATCTGTAACAAAGGTTCTTTGCGTGGGAAGAAGAAGACAGGGTCGGCGTTGAGGTAAATAACAGATTTCTTTATTTTAATAATGTGATCACTGTAAAGGCCAGCTCCCACTGTGTGGCCGTCGCTCAGCTCTCTCTCTCTCCCGACTGTTCCTCCCGTTCTCCTTAAGACGGGTGTCTCTCCGGTCCAATCACTAGAATAAACAGGTGTTGCTTATTATTTCGGATTGGCCTGCTGATTAGCCGCCGGGCTCTGAGCATGCTCTCCCCCTTTATTGGGTATTCGATCATGCTTACCTCTCCACATACCCCCACCGCCCGCCTCAGGCCGGGGAGCCGTCCGGCCTGCAGCCCTCCCCCCCCCCGCCCTGGAGAGGAAGTCGGCTACAGCCATCTGCGCCCCCGGTCTGTGGATCACCTTGAATTTAAAAGGCTGTAATGCTAGATACCAACGGGTGATCCGCGCGTTGGTATCCTTCATACGGTGGAGCCACTGGAGAGGAGCATGATATGAACAGAGGACGAATTCCCTACCCAGGAGGTAATAGCGAAGAGTAAGAACGGCCCACCTGATCGCCAAACATTCCTTCTCTATGGTGCTGTACTTAGCCTCACTTTTACTTAGCTTGCGGCTAATGTACAGCACCGGCCGCTCCACTCCTGCCACCTCCTGGGAGAGAACCGCCCCCAGACCCCGATCGGACGCGTCCGTCTGTAAAATAAAGGGGAGAGCAAAATCAGGAGCGTGCAATAGCGGCCCCCCACAAAGTATAGATTTTACCTTTGAGAAGGCCTGTTGGCACTGCTCCGACCATTGGACGGTATCCGGTCCCTCCTTTTTAGTGAGATCAGTCAATGGGCTGACAAGGGCCGAATAATTAGGGACAAACCGCCTATAATATCCTGCCAGTCCCAAAAACTGTCTCACCTCCTTTTTGGTCTTGGGTCTCGGACAGGTTGCAATGGCTGCAGTCTTATCAATTTGGGGCTGCACCTGCCCGTGACCTAAGTGGAAGCCCAGATACCTTACCTCCACTCGCCCAATTGCGCACTTCCGTGGGTTGGCCGTGAGCCCGGCCCGTCTCAGCGCTGACAATACCGCCCTCAGATGTTGCATATGCCGCTGCCAATCATTACTGTAAATGATGATGTCATCTAAATAAGCAGCGGCATATGCTGCGTGAGGGCCGAGTATTTTGTCCATCAGGCGCTGGAACGTCGCCGGCGCCCCGAACAGCCCGAACGGAAGCGTCACAAATTGGTGCAATCCAAACGGCGTAGTGAAGGCTGTTTTTTCGCGGGATATTGGAGATAAGGGGATCTGCCAATAGCCCTTCGTTAAATCCAATGTCGAGTAATATCGAGCAGCACCTAACCGGTCGAGCAACTCGTCAATACGCGGCATTGGATAAGCGTCGAATTTCGACACAGCATTCACCTTGCGATAATCCACACAGAACCGGACCGAGCCGTCCGTCTTAGGTACCAAGACAATCGGGCTGGCCCAGTCGCTGTGGGATTCTTCTACTACTCCCATTTTCAGCATATTATTCAATTCTTCCTGAATCACTTTTTTCTTGTGTTCAGGCAGGCGATACGGCCGGGTCCTAACGACCACGCCCGGTTCGGTCTCGATATGGTGCTGAATCAGGTTGGTACGACCGGGCAGGGGCGAAAACACGTCAGAGTATTCACGTTGGAGGTGCCGGATGTCGAGGAGCTGGCTCGCTGAGAGATGATCGCCCCCGGTGACCAGAGCGCTCGGCCGTTCACGGCCGGAGCTCTCCGGCCCCAGGTCATCCTCGTTAGTAACAAGCGTAGCCAGCGCCACGTCCTCCGGCTCCCTCCACTGCTTAAGCAGATTAATATGATAAATCTGACGCGAGTCAGCCCTGTCCAAACGAACCACCTCGTAATCGAGATCACTGACTCGTCGTGTGACCACAAACGGCCCTTGCCACTTGGCGAGTAATTTAGAGCTGGAAGTGGGTAGCAGTACAAGTACTTTATCTCCCTGTGAAAATTTACGGAGTTTAGTGCCCTTATCATATCGCCGGCGTTGGTCATCCTGAGCCTTAAGCAAATTCTCTGTAGAGAGCCGCCCCAGTGTGTGGAGTTTTGCTCTAAGGTCCAGGATATATTGAATTTCATTTTTACTTTTAGAAGGCTCGTCCTCCCAAGCCTCTCTAACAACATCCAAAACCCCTCTGGGCTGTCTGCCGTAGAGAAGCTCGAAGGGGGAAAACCCCGTGGAGGCTTGGGGAACCTCCCGCACAGCGAATAATAAGGGCTCCAACCACTTATCCCAATTTTTCGCGTCCTCGTGAACGAATTTACGGATCATTGATTTAAGCGTGCGATTAAATCTTTCCACCAGCCCGTCTGTTTGTGGGTGATAGACGCTGGTGCGAATAGATTTAATGCCCAATAATCCGTAAAGCTCGCGCATCGTGCGTGACATGAACGCGGTGCCTTGATCAGTGAGAATCTCCTTGGGGATTCCCACACGGGAGATGAGGCGAAACAGCGCCTCCGCAACGCTCTTTGCTGAGATATTACGGAGCGCGACTGCTTCCGGGTAGCGGGTTGCATAATCCACCAGAACTAATGCAAACCGATGCCCGCGTGCGGATCGCTCTAATGGCCCGATGAGATCCATACCAATTCTCTCGAAGGGGATCTCCATAATTGGTAAAGGGCGCAACGGCGCTTTTGGGGTGGCCGGCGGATTTACCAGCTGACATTCACTGCACGCAGCGCACCATCTGCTGACATCACCGTGAATGCCCGGCCAAAAGAATCGGGTCATGAGGCGATTTAGTGTGGCCGCCTGACCTAAATGTCCGGCCATAGGATTAGAATGAGCCGCCTGAAAAAGCATTTCCCGGCGGCTCTTTGGTACTAATAGCTGGGTTGTATCTTCTTTTGTCTGAGTGTCTTGGGTCACTCGATACACCCTATCATTAATAACCGCAAAATACGGATAGGAGAGGGGTCGATCAGGCTGGAGGATTTTCCCATCAATAACTTGCACTCTTTCGAGTGCATGTTTTAGTGTATCATCACGCGACTGCTCCAGGGGAAAGTCTTTACACCGGGAAATTCCCAGCCCTTCCCCTGAGTCAGCGCGTGACGTCACTGTTTGGGATTCCCCCAGCTGAGCGACACGTCCCCTATCTGGCGATTTCTTCTTCCAAGAAACACCCGCACATAAAACTCCCAATAATCTATTAAATCCAGGCCAATTAGTTCCCAGAATTAGCGGGTGTTTGAGGTGCGGGTTAACCGCTACCTCCACTCTATGCTTTTTCCCCCGAAATTGAATATCTATTGCCGTTAGCGGATAGTGAATTACATCCCCGTGTACACACCTTACCCTTACCGTGCGGCTCATATCCAAAGCCGGGTCTTGAAGCAAGCTTTGGTGGATGGAGGTCTGATTACACCCCGAATCCACCAAAGCTTGATATGTACCCCCTTTTATACTCACAGGTATCCGGTATAGCCCGTCGCGACCGGGGGCGACTGCTGGCACATCGGGCAGGCGGACCAATGCACCCACCTCCATCACGGAGCAGTTCTCTGGTGCATGATCCGCCCCCCCGCAATGCCAACATGCCGGCCCAGACCTTCCCGTTATACCCCCGAGGGCAGCAGGACCAACTGATTGGGCCGGAGAGAGACCCGTCATCGCTGTAGGCCCGCCCATGCCACGTGCCTCCCTGTCTCTATCCCGATAGGTGCCCCAGCGATGCGTGCTGCGCTGGGGCTCCGGGCCTGGGATCCGCCTCCTGGGAGTCGGTATGGGCGGTCCCCTCGATCTGGGCCTGGGGATAGGAGGAGAGAGAGAAAGAGGAGGGACAGGGGGAGAGAGAGAGAGAGAGAGAGAGGTTAGTTCGCCGACCCTGGACCTCGCTACCAGGTGATCCTCCGCCAGCTGGATGGCCGTTTCCAGATCGTCTGGTCGGTGGCACTGGACCCACTCCGATGTTCGGGAGGGAAGGCGGGCGATGAACTGTTCCAGTACCACAGCGTCGACGATCTGATCGATGGTCCGGTCATCCTGCACCAGCCATCTGCGGCAGGCGTCACGGAGCTGCTGGGCGAATATAAAGGGCCGACCGCTCTCCTCCAGCTTCAGCGACCGGAAGCGCTGGCGTTGTTCCTCCGGATTGCGGCCGGCCCGCTGAAGTATGGCTCGTTTCAGGTGCGCATAATTCAGGAGATCCTCGGCCGGTAGCTGCTGTGCGGCGGTCTGGGCTTCGCCCGACAGCAGCGGGATGACTCTCACCGGCCAATCGGCCCGGGGCCACCCACACGCTCCTGCCATCTTCTCAAACAGGTCTAAGAAGACTTCCGGGTCATCTTGTGGCCCCATTTTGTGTAGTGTGATGGGAGGGTGGGTGGCTGATGTTGCTCCGGGCTGGATCCCCTGCTTCAGCATGCTCCGGACGAGCTCGCGGTCCTCGCGCTGGGCCTCCACAAGGACCTTAAAGCGCTCCTCCTGCTCGGCTCGTATGTCCAGGATCTCTTGGTGTTGTTCACGGTGGAGGACCGCGAGCGCCTGGATCACTTCTGCAAACGGACTGGTTGACGGAGTGGTCATCTTAGCGGCGAGGTCTCTTCTTCTTCCCCGGATTTCGGCACCACTGTAACAAAGGTTCTTTGCGTGGGAAGAAGAAGACAGGGTCGGCGTTGAGGTAAATAACAGATTTCTTTATTTTAATAATGTGATCACTGTAAAGGCCAGCTCCCACTGTGTGGCCGTCGCTCAGCTCTCTCTCTCTCCCGACTGTTCCTCCCGTTCTCCTTAAGACGGGTGTCTCTCCGGTCCAATCACTAGAATAAACAGGTGTTGCTTATTATTTCGGATTGGCCTGCTGATTAGCCGCCGGGCTCTGAGCATGCTCTCCCCCTTTATTGGGTATTCGATCATGCTTACCTCTCCACACTATCTATTATCTTTCTATCTATCATCTATCTATCTATCTATCTATCTTTCTATCTATCTATCTATCTATCTATCTATCTATCTATCTATCTATCTATCTATCTATCTATCTATCTATCTATCTATCTATCTATCTTTCTGTCTGTCTGTCTGTCTGTCTGTCTGTCTGTCTATCTATCTATCTATCTATCTATCTATCTATCATTAAATCCATCAATTTATCATCCAATTAATCTCTCTCTATTGTTCAATCAATCAATCCACCAATATTTCTATCTATCTATCTATCTATCTATCTATCTATCTATCTATCTATCTATCTATCTATGTTCAATCTATCTATTGTTCAATGAATCTAGTTCAATATATTGGTTAATCAATCAATCAATCTATTTATTGTTCAAATCAATCAATCAATCGTTCAATCAGTCTATCTGTCATTTAATCAATCGTTTAATCAGTCTATCCTTCAATCCATCCATCCATCCATCTATCTATCATGGTGGATAGTCTTAAAAACTTCCAATTCAGTTGCCTATGGGAGAAAAAAACTAACAATAAGTGATCAAGCTACTTGCTATACAAACAAGTGTGTTTATTAATATACATAATACATTACAAAATAATATCCGTTTACTACATCATCAGCATTACAATCTGTTTATTGGGTTTACAAATCGAATGGAAGATTCCGTTAGTTTTGTGCCCACTTGTATGTTAAGAATAAAAAATATATAGATCTTCATAACTAGTAGACTTACGGTCACCAAGTGAAATGACTTGCCTTAAAGGGTCTTCGCCATAAACGTACCTGCAGCTTCTGATTGCTGTAATTGTGAATAATAGCCTTTATTTCCACTTGCTCATTCCGCACCACTGAATAAGGCATCTTCAGATCGATGAAAAAATCCTTCTTGACCACGATGTCATAAGGATTTGCCACACATATTCCTGACGAGAAAAAGGGTTAAAGTTAAAACACAACAAATAGTAATAAATGACAGTAGATAAATGGTAGGTGTGACTTTTTTACCAAGGGTTTTGGACAGGCCGATGGCTGAGATCTGCCAGGTCGTAATGGAGTCCTTCAGGTAGATTCCAGTTCGTAAAGTAGACGTTTCAGTGCTAGACACAATAGTATGCGTACTTATACTACAATACATTACAGTATTCACTACATATTTTTGCAACTAAATTAATAATGTGGATCCCCCATGTTTCAGCCTATTAAAGTTATGGTTTCAATATTTACAGTCAGTAATGAACATTATGTCTTTTGACCTTCCTGTTAAATGTGTTTGTAAACTGTTTCACTGACCACTGCTGGTTTGGCAGGCAGGCTGGTAGAGTGATCTCTTCCCAGAGCCAGCTTTCCGGAAACTGTGTGCGTACAATCAGATCATCCATGTCCTCGTCAAAATCATCGTCCTCGCCTCAACAACAAACAAACTACTTTAGATTATGCATTATTTTCTGAACTGCATTTAACAAGCAGACATTATGTATAACATAGAGCATTAAAAATAAGTATTGAACAAGTCATGTTTTTTCCTGGGAATAATATTTCTTGAGGAGCTGTTGACATGAAATTTACCAAGATTTTGGTAAAAACCCAAGCAATATGAACATCAACATGAAAAGTGAGTTGTGTAATAAAGGGATGACAGAAGTAGAAAGTACTGAACTACTGAAATGTATTGAATACTTTATATAAAATGCTTTTTTAAATGCTGGCAGCTTAAATATGCCTCTCATATGGAGAGTGAAGTCACATGCTTTTCTCAGATGTGAGTTTTTCACAGACTTCAACAGTGTTGACCAAATCTTGATGGTTCAGAGGGTCTCATTTATCAAATCTAAGCTGTGTTTTGTATTTTCTATTAGATTCGAGTCAGCTGATTGGCTGGGCCATTCTAGAGCTTGATTTTAAGACTCTCCTTGGCTGTGTTTTGGATCATTGTCTTGCTGAAATGTCCACCCTGGTTTCATCTCCATCCTCCTACTAATGTAGATGTTGGACTGAAGCAGCTGAAGAACTACTGAGAGATTTCAGCTGCTGTCCGGGCTTTCACTGCTGAACTACACCTCTCTTTCTTCATAAGCTTAAAATGAAATGACACATTGAAAATGAATTATTACTAGGGATGTAACAATATTGTAAATACCGTCATACCGCAATATTATTTTTTTTCAATATTACCGTAGGCGCATGACTCAATAAAACTATATTTCTGAGAAAAGTTTGCTTAGGCGAATAAAGCGAACGGGAGGTAGCGGGAACTACATTTCCATCAGCCTAGGCGTGGCCATCATCCTTTGCGGTCTGTTGTCGCTACAGATCCAGTCATGGAGTGTGCTGCTAGTAGCGGGGAAGAAAAAGAGCTGGAAATGATCGAACCTAAAGCGGGTTTTAAATCGGATGTGTGGAAGCATTTCGGTTTCTTTCTAAAAAGATACGAAAAAGGAGAAAAGGTGACAGACAAAGACAAAAACAGTATGCAGGCACTGCCAGACTGTGCTGAAATATAAGTCGGGGAATACGACTAAAAACTGCAGAACACAGCACACTTGTTAGATTGATGCAGACATTGACTTGTACCGCAAAGAGACCTCTATCTCACTCATGGCTTGTTCTCTCAAGTGGTGGAATGACGATGCACAACGTTACCCACTGTCAACCTTGGCTAAATCATATCTCTCTGTCCCAGAAACCTCAGTCCCAAATGAGAGGGTTTTTTCTATTGCAGGGGACATGCCCAGAGACCCCAGCTTTACCAGATTATAGTTATATGATAATTTTTCTTAAAAAACCCATCTCTATCTAAGTGAGTGAGTGATTAAATGTTGAATGTGATGAGTTTTCAACAATACTAAATTGAAACTTTATTTTTTTTTATATATGGTTTAATAGTTTTTTGTTATTAAAATTGAAAAATTGAAGTTTCAAAACTTACAGATAGATGGCTAATATGTACAGTATGTCATTGATATGTTCAGTGCTAAGGTAAATAAACACTTTTGGCACTGTTTTCGAGTCTTTTCATTAGTTTTGTTTTTCCTGTTAATTATACAATAATTACCGTAACCATGCCATTCATACCAAGGTATTACCGTACCGTGAAATTCTGATACCGTTACATCCCTAATTATTACAAAGAACTTCATTTGCAAAAAATGAATTTAGTTTTCTTTCCATATTTGGATTTCTTTGGTTAACTCAACAGCACCTTTAAAAACATGTTTATTGAGAGAAACGGTGACATGTTCAATACTTATCTCCCCTCACTGTAAGCAGTATTTGTAATATTACAAAATGTCTACAAACACAGTTTAGGACAAAATGTCTAAGCCTGCAAACAGTCCTGTGAAATATTTTCAAAAGTGTTCCAGATAATAAATAACAGAGCAAGGAGAGCTGGAGTATGTGTTTGTGAAAGAGGCTGAAATCTCACTGCGGGACAGAAAGAGCTCTTTTTCAGCATTGTATTTGACCCGGTGTTCTGAGATCAGCTTGCAGCAGCGCACAAACGCCTTGATACACTCTTGAGTGTCACTGATGAACGTGGCTCGTCGCTCACACGTGTAGCCAAGTGTGTTCTCCACCATCCCGTCAACACAGCACTTCTTCAGTTCGTGATCCGAGTACTCGCCAGCTGAGGAGACAATGCAAGGCAAGTTTATTTATACAGCACATTTCATGCACGATAGTAATGCTTTACATAAGTGCTTTACATAAACCTGAAATAAGAAACACAAGAAAACAAAGTACACCTTGTTGGGGGTGTTTCCATCCACTCTGGGTGTGATTTTGTGGTTAATTTGGTCACAATAATTTGGTCTGCGTTTCAGCAAGTGGAATAATTTTTAGTGACAAGTCTTATTTTGATGCATATTTTGGGAAAAGGTTTTGGAATTTTTCTAAAACTCAATACACTCTGGGCAAATGTACTACACTTGCATCATTATGTTGGTGGCTGTTTTTGCCCCATTGACTTCCATTATAAATGATATTTTGCTAATTGCAAAGCCATGACACCATATAATCATGATTTCTTGGTTGTTGTTGGTTTTCCCTGTTGGGAGGAGGTAACATTTGTGATTTTTACTGTCGATTACATTTGAAGCTACTTCTTGGCATGTGCCCATCTCCAAGAAAACTGTAGACTCCACCGTTTCCCCCACATCTTTTTTGTAAACAGGTAGCAAATTAAGAAAATCGGCAGTATGTTCATTTAACTTTCAAGACTCCTAACACAGAATCCCAGCATCAAAAGGCAGGGGGTTGGGTTGATAGGCCGCGCGTGACGTGTCTGAGAGCGTGGAGGCATCAGGGGTGATAAGGGTGTGTGACTTATTTGAGGACCGGGAGGGAGACGCGCGATTTCTGGGAGGTTATCACTCATTTGCGGGCATTTCGAGTCCTGCAAATGCATAGAGACTCCCGGAACTTCTGGATGTCTGAATATCACGTCTAACAACTGTAGTGAGACACAATCCAGTGGTACAACCTTGATAATGACGTGCACTGCTCTCTGTCTCTGGAGAGAAGCGCGTGGCTGTGTGTGTGTGGCTCTGCAGTGAACACCCCTTTTGTTTGTGTGTGGCTGTGTGTGGTCATGTGATGTGCGTTTTCAGAGGGCTGTTCAGAAATGCTAGGTAAAACACGGTGTGGATGTGGATAATTTTCGCTCTAAAATGCAATTTTAACACTAAGATATATTAGCGTAAACAGGGCATAAGTGTGTATTTTTCACGGGCGGGTTTGCGACGGGGGCCGGGCATCGGCGGTGCCGGCTCAGCATCGTGTTGTCTATTGGCCATCTGCGATGGCATCGTCTATCGGCCCAACCCTAGTCCTGAGTTCTCTCCTAAGACTGCTGCCCCCATGACCCGGCCCCAGGTAAGCAGATGAAAATGACATGTAAAACAAAGTTCAGACCACAACTATGAAAATGTAGAGAAACAATATCAATGCGATCACTTTCACGTGAAATTTCCACTCTAGAAACTGAAGATGCGATTGAGGCTAAATTGTTTGTTGAAACACTCCACACATTGAACATCATTTGCACCAATTGGCCTCTTTTTGCATTGTATTTAATTTTTTTTTAAATTTGCATTGGGTGTGATCCCAGCTAAACAAAATAAATAAATAAATATTAAAAAATCGCTTGTTTACCCAGTGTCCTGGTGACCTGATGGATAGTCTCAGCTCTCCTTTTTCTCTTAGGCGCGGCGGGGCACTCTTTTTCTGCAAAAGCATGAAAGTTTGCAAATGTAATGCACAAACTCTAAATGACTTTCATTCCAGCTAAATGGGTTCACTGTATGCACCTGTTCTCGTTTTGGTTCCTCCTGCAGTGTGTGACTCAAACAGGAGTCCAGCATCTCTGAAAACCCCCATACTGTCCTGTCCACTACCAGCGGTGCAGCCGGTGTCGTGCTTTTCAACCACATCCCAGATCTAAAGTACAAATAGACCAGGGGTTCACATTTTTGAGATTGAAGATAAACACAAACAAGTCCTAATCAAATCGCTGTAGCTACATTAAGGTCTCAAGCAAAATTACAGGTTTGTACAAGAAATTAAACATTATTTATAATATTAGCTTTAATTCACAGCCTGGGCAAACAGTTTTGATGCAAGAAGCGTCAGCTTTTGGTTTCTTGATAAAGTATGCATATAAATAATTTCCTACACAGACCAATCGATTTCCTTCTTGAGACCTCAGTGTATCACCGGCAGCCTTAAGGATTGATATGGACTGATATGGCCTGTATGTTTATTTTTAAATCCAAAAAAAAAAAAAAAAGCAGACAGTGACCGCCATTATAAGAATCAGCAATGAACCACATGTTCAGCTAAAGATCTTCTTTAATGTTCAACTGAAGAAGAAAAAAAGTCACCTTTATCTTGGATGGCCTAAGGGTGAAAATAGCGAATGAACTTAAATTTCATGCTCATTTAAAGACTTTAAGATGACCCTTGGGAAAAGTCATACTTCAGCTTAGTCCCTTATTTATCAGGGGTCGCCACAGCGGAATGAACCACCAACTTAGCCAACCAGCTAACCTTATCAACCATCATCTGTTTTATGCAGCGAATGCCCTTCCAACCGCACCTATAGCGCACCGGAGCACCCAGAAGAAACCCACGCCAAAACATTGAGAACAAACAGAAAAACTCCAGACAGAAATGCCAACTGGCCTGGTCGGGACTCGAACCAGCAACCTTCTTGCTCTGGGGCATCAGTGCTAACCACTGAGCCACCATGACAACCTTCTTTGGGGAAACTATCCATGCAGATTCAGGTCTGAACCGATTAAGGTGATGATACACAAGGTGAGTTACTCTACCTTAGTCTGAGTGAGTCTGTGTTTGTCATTGAGGACATATACGCCCTTGTCTACCGCCACCAGGCCAACTTTAGCTCCAGGATCTCCGGTGATCTTCAAGCTGAGCTGATCTCCTGGGCCAAACAGCATCGGGTCCTTCACCTCCACTTTGAGCTGAGATTAAAAACAGGTAAGATCTAATTCATATGATAATGATGATAAAAGCTGTTCAGTTTAGTTCAGTTTATTATTCTCTGTCCTTTTAAAGGTCCCGAAAAGTGCTTTGAAATGTGCTTTTTTTATTTAATGTTTGATGTAATCTCATCCAAAACGTGTAGAGAAGGTGGGACAGAGAGTAGCCCCTCCCCTTTTTTGGTTTTCTCACCACACTGCCAGTGACAGTGGTTGAGCTCAAACACATCAAATGTGAAGCGTCTTGAAGAAGGCAGGAAGAAACTGAAGAGGGATGAGAAACTGAAGTTAAAGGTGGAGTGATTGAAACCATTTATCCATTTAGGCCACAGTTTTCAAACACGGTTCCAAAAGGGCCGCAGCTCTGCACAGTTTAGTTCCAACCCTGATTAAACACACCTGATCAAACTAATTGAGTCCTTCAGGCTTGTTTGAAACCTACAGGTAAGTGTGTTGGAGCAGGGTTGGAACTAAACTGTGCAGGGCTTCGGCCCTCCAGGAATTGAGTTTGACACCCCTGATTTAGGCGGAAGTGACAAACTACTATATGTTTATATCTGTTACACATCTTATAGACGTGGATTTTATCACTGTTTTTGTGCACACTAACTTATAGATATCCTAAGAACTAACAATACTGATACTAACATCCCTACTTAAAAATCCAGCTTAAACCAGCCTAGGCTGGTTGGCTGGTTTTAGCTGGTCGACCAGGCTGGTTTTTGAGGGGTTTTGGCCACTTCCAGGCTGGTTTACAGCCATTTCCAGCCTGGTCTTAGCTGGTCAGGCTGGAAAATGACCAGAGAAATCCAGCTAAAACCAGCTTGAACAGCCTGGTTTAAGCTGGATATAGCTGGTTTTGGCTGGACTCTCAGCTTGGCTAGGCTGGTCAAGCTGGTTTTAACTAGTCATCTCCCAGCCTAACCAGCTAAGACCAGGCTGGAAATGGCTGGAAACCAGCCTGGAAGTGGCCAAAACCCCTCTAAAACCAGCCTGGTCGACCAGCTAAAACCAGCCAACCAGCTTAGGCTGGTTTAAGCTGGATTTTTCAGCAGGGATCTTAACTTTATTTTAATTTCATAGGTCTTTTAAGGGTACTTAACGCTCAGCAGGAATACATAACATCAGAAAAGAACATTAAAAACAGACCAATTTCTTTTTTTTAGCTAAAACTGCAGATAAAAACAGTGAAAACGAGGAACCCACAGTAAATGTAGTAAAAAAAGTTCAAAAATGTTAGATAAACAAACAGTAAATACTAGCTAGTTTGTAACTAACTCATTCACTAAGTCTTTTACATTTCAGTTTAAGCAATAACAGCTTGTGCAACTGTACACTGGTTATTTAAAAAAAATAAAAATAAATAAAAAAAATCAGTATGATTGCCAAACCCACCTTTCCCATGCATGTGTCCTTCACATCGACCCAGACTGAATCAGACACCACCTCAGACGAGCCCACATGGTAATAAGCCACAAAGCGGAAGGACGGCACCATTTCTTTGGTCACAGGTAGAGACAGAGTGACGAGAGCTTGTCCTTGCCTCTTAAACCGGTTTGCTTGAACAATCTGACCCTTACTCATGATCTGTGAGAAAAAAAGACAAATACAGTCAGTTTAAACTGTATTAGGACACGGCTCTCTGGAACACTTGACTCATTTTATTACACATAATTTAATTAGTAAACTAATTAGTTTTGTTTTCTTGGCATATATGGATTTCTTTGGTTGTCACCAGTGGTGTAAAGTAACAAATACTCAAATTACTGTAATTGAGTAGTTTTTCCTCAGGAATTGTAATTCACTGAGTAGTTTTAAAAATGTGTACTTTCCCTTATTCCCTGAATATATTTTTAGTGCTGTATCTGTACTTTCACCACTACTTTCCTTTAACCTGCAGTCACTGCTTTATTTTTTCTTGTCTATGAGGATTACAAAAATCAGTCCTGTGATTCCCGTCCAATCAAATGGCATCATAATGAACCATCAAGACATGTTAACTTTATATTCGCAGCAAACTGTTTGGAAGCATTAAAAGTGTTCAAGAAGATGTCTAAAATCTTTACACACATTGACCCAGAGACGGTTTAGATTCGTAATAAGATGACGGATGTTTACTGTATGATAACCAAAATGGCCTTAAACACCCAGCAGGCACAAGATGTCAACATGACTTCAGATTGACGTTGTAGCCCAATGTCATAGGGACGTTGTATTTAGTTTAGAAATGAAAATCAGGTCAAAGTCAGAACTCAACGTCAGGCCAATGTCCAACGTCTAACCTAAAATCCACCAAATATCAACATCTAATAATGTTACAGCTAGAGGTTGTGTAGACGTTACCACTATGACATCTATCAGGCGTTGGATTTTGGTTGTCATACCTGAAGAATAAATGTCAGTATTTGACGTCAATATGACATTAGTTTAAGATGTTGGCTCGACAGTGGATTTTGGTCACTTTCTAACACAACCTAAAATCAACCAAATATCAGCGTTATTTGACATCATTATTTAACGTCAAACTAACGTTGTCCTTAGACACCGGCAAGACATTGAATTTTGGTCACCTAAATCAACCTAAATCTAACCTAATATTGACATCTTATGACGTTGTGTGCCTGCTGGGCAATAACTGCACTACAGAATGTTACGTTTACACACATCCACAATTTACATGTAAACACATCAGCTTTCTACAGCATAATACTCACTACTCTTGAGTACATTTGAAAAGTCTACTTTTTACTCATACTTTGAGTAATATTCACAACCAATTGCTCTACTTGCACTACATTTTTAGGCGAGTAATGGTACTTTTACTCGAGTATGATTTTTCAGTACTCTGGTTGTTACCAACACCCGGTGAAAATTTCAAGTCAACAGCACCTTGAGAAATATGTTTACTGAGAAAAAATGTCGACAATACTCATGTTTAATACTTATTTTTCCATTTGTACACATTTACACAACCAATTATTGAATAGTAATGCGGTCATCCAATCAGAATCTGCCACATTCTCCTCCAATGGCCTCTGGAGACTTGGGATCGTCACAATACTAACATCTTAAAAAAATTGTTACTTTAATTGCATTTTTAAATTGACCTGGAATATGCGCACTAATGGTGTCAGGCCTGGATTGGCTAATCGGGAGGACGGGGAGAATTCCCGGTGGGCCGGTCTGTTTTTTTGGCCGCGAGGGCCGGTGTCCCCAGCTTCTTGCCCTCTCAGCAGTCACACTTTTTTCATTTATTTATTTATTCGACCATAGCCTCATTCTTTTTATGCATTATTTTGCCGCAGCTCCGCTCTTTATTTATTTTCTTGCAACGCCGTGAGCAAAATGCGCCCTGCAGGTTAATGATGATGTAACTATCATTCGACCGCAAACAGTGACACCTTAGTGAAAATAAAAATTCGAATAATTAATATTAATGAATATTAGGCCTGCTCACTGAAAATCAGATGATTAGAAATCTAAAAAGGGGACACAAGATTAAGCCATTGTGGTCCAGTGGTCAGCATGTTGTGTTACAACGCCACTGACCTGGGTTTGAATCTCACCTAATTTATTTATTGATTTATTTATTTTAATTTTTAGTGTTAAGACATATCATTTGAATTACTTATGTAGGTGTAAATGTTTTATTTAAATTTTTTGTGTGACCACCATTACAAAGGACTGGATATCTGTAAAGAATTTTGCACAGAATATACTGTATATTGAAATATTGCAGGAAAGGACATTGTGATGTTTTAAAGAATAGTGTTGGACATTTAGCTACCCTTTAATGTTCTCTTATTTACGAAAAACGTTCGTTCTAAAGCAGCTGTTTCCTTGAAAAAGACATAAGAGTGTCATTAGAAACTGAATTGGAAATGATGTCTATTCAATAGTCAGTCGTGATAGCGGAGGTGGGCCCGTCTAAGGCTTGAAACTCCAGGGCTGAAAAGGAGTCCCACTCTGGCCCTGAATGGTGTCATGCGTTACTCACCATATATGTGAAATCCTGGTTCACCACTCCAGCACCATTTCCCAGATTCAGGTTGACCTTCATCTGATCCCCGATCTCGAGCTCTGCGGCATCGATGCCGATGTGCAGGTAATTGTTGGCGCCTTTAGGTTTGTAGGCCCGAGCAGTCATCTTCTTCACTGCCTGCTGGTCAGTGCTTAACTGCGGATCTTTGGTATTCGCCTGGAAATGGACATACAGTAATGAGATTTACAATTTGCATCAAGTCACTGAAACTTCAGCCTTATTCAGATTAGTTTTATCTGGAGACCTCTCATACAGGATGGTAAAAATGTAATGTTTGTAAAAAATTAATAATACAAAAAAATAAATGAATAATAAGTATTAAATAAGTACTAATTAGTGGTGTTAGTGACGCCAGCAGGAGGTGTTCAACATGCCGTCGGTCCTAACACCCCAGTATATTGATGAGGACTCTATACTGCACAGTGAGCGGTATCTTTAGGATGAGACGTTAAACTGAGGTCCTGACTCTCTGTGGTCATTAAAAATCCGGGGATGTCCTTCGAAAAAGAGTAAAGGGTTAATCCCGGTGTTCTGGTCAAATTTGCCCACTGGCCTCTGTCCATCATGGCATCCTAACCCTCCCCATATCATATTGGCTTCATCATCTGCTTCCTCTCCACCAATCAGCTGGTGTGTGGTGTACGGTCTGGCGCAATATAGCTGCCGTTGCGTCATCCAGGCTGCACACTGTTAGTGGTTGAGTAGAAAAAAATGTGTAGAGTGCTTTGAGTATCCAGAAAAGCGCTATATAAAATGTAAGGAATTAATTATTATTATTATTATAGGAAAGGCCCCATATTTTATCATACATCTTCAGGTTGCCAAATCTAGAGAATTGCAACCTGTCCCAGCTTGAGGGCAGAAACCATTTCAGCAAACCATTTAAAAAAAAAAAACTTGAAGGTGACATAAGAGATTTCGACTTTCAGAATCACTCTGTCACACCATGTCAAAAAAAGGGAGTTGTTGATGTTAAGCCAATTTAAAGTCTGGTCTGAACATCTAAATAATATATGAAAAAACTTCCACATGAAGAGCCTGAGAATCCAGTCTAATACCCTTCCAGAATTCAGATACAGTTCTAGTCTTACAGTGATCTCCAATGTTGAAGATCCTCCCAATGTGTTGATGGTCACTTTAGTGATGCCGTTGGGTTTTGTCCGACCTTTGACCCCTCCAGGATTGACCTCCACCTCCACATTTTCAGCAGGTGTCCCATCAGGATTTGTTACGTAGACCTAAAGACATAACGAAAAACTAGAGTCATCAAAGCACAGTGGTGGCGATTTTGGGGTCCAGTTTTGTGCGCTTGTGTTTTACCGAGACATCGAAGGACATCCCGGGTTTGAAGAATTGCGGTGTTCGTTTGAAATAGATCGAGTATGGAGACGTCACAATCTGAATGCCTTTCTTTTCCGCATCCACCATTTCACTGCCTGAGACACACAAATCAGTCATTTTATGAGTTAAAGTCAAGTTTTATGTCATATTGCAGGTTTTTAAAGTCTCTTCTGCACTGCTATGATGTAAAAGATCAGCTCATAGAAAACTCCAGATGCTCTCACCAGACTCTGTTAAAACACTGGCTAAAATGTAGATGGATTTCCCAACCAGCTCCTGGATTTCTGGGAAGGTTTGCTTGATCATTTCACTCGTCAGCTCGGCTTCTCCTTCTCCATCATAGATCTACACATACACACACACACAAATAGTAGTAATAGTAGATCAACTAGATCAATTGTTGTTTTTTCTGTTTATGCATGCAAAAATATAGTTTATATATTTAGTATGATATATGAAATGTTTGAATACGTTTTTTAAAATACATCTACATTTTCACTTTCTATTGTATTACAAATAATGCAGTATATTTTTACACATTAACCATTTTCAAAAAAAACTATATATATATATATATATATATATATATATATATATATATATATATATATATATATATATATATATATATATAAATATATATATATTTATATATATGAATAAACAAATTAAAATATTGCAGAGCATACAACATATACACGCACACAGTATCACTATTTTTATAAATAAACTGACCTGAACTCTCTGCAGTGAAGCCGCCATGCTGATCTTCTTCTCACCGTCCACCAATCCAAACACCACAAATGCACTTCCTCGCACCTTATTACCAAACAAATACCTGACAAAAGAAAATATTTGAGGATGTGCAATAGATCTACAATGATAACAGGCACAGAAATTATTTCGTTCTACAGTAGGTAAAAAAAAAAGAAATAAATTAAGAAAGAAGAAACAGATGAAAAAACAACAATATTAAAGAGATAAAAATTGAAGAAAAACAGAAGAATAAACAAAAAAGGAACATACATAAAGTAAAAAAGGAAATAAAAAATAACAAACAAAAAAACTAATGAAAAAACAAGAGATCAACTACTAAGCAAAGATAAAAACAAATGAAAGAATAAAACAAAGAAAAATAAAAAACAAAAAGAGAAAAATAAAACAGATAAGAAACAAAGAACAAACTAACAAAAAAACATACAAACTAAACTAAAATAATTAGTAATAAATGAACAAACTAAAACAAGGAAGGAAAGCATGAATGAAAGAAAGAAAGGACAAAGGAACAAAAGGAAGGATGAACGACAGTAAGAAAGAAAGGACAAAGGAACAAAAGGAAGGAGGGATGAATGAATGAAAGGACGAACGAACAAATGAAAGAAAGAACAAAGGAACAAAAGGAAGGACAAACAAACGAAAGGAAGGACAAACAAAAGCAAGGATGGACAAAAGGAAGGAAGGAACAACGATTGAAAAGGAAGGAAGGACAAAGGAACAAAGGAAGGGATGAACGAAAGTAAGTAAGAAAGAAAGGACAAAGGAACAAAAGGAAGGATGAATGAATGAAAGGACAAACAAGCAAATGAAAGGAAGAACAAAGGAACAAAAGGAAGGACGGACAAAAGGAAGGAAGGAACGACGATTGAAAAGGAAGGAAGGACAAAGGAACAAAAGGAAGGACGAACAAACGAAAGGAAGGACGAACAAACGAAAGGAAGGAAGGACAAAGGAAGAAAGGACAAACAAACGAAAGGAAGGACAAATTAAGAAAATTAAGGACAAACAAGCAAAAAGGACAAACGAACGAAAGGAAGGATGAACTAACTAACAAAAAGGACTAATGAACAAAAGAAAGAACGAACAAAGCAAGGACGGACAAACAAAAGGAAGGTACGATGATTGAAAAGGAAGGAAGGACAAAGGAACGAAAGGAAGAATTTATAAAGGGAAGAAAGGACAAGCGACAGGAAGAAAGGACAAAGGAAGGACAAAAGAATGAAAGGAAGGAAAAAGGAATAAAAAAACAAACAAACAAAAGGACAATTGAAAGGAAGGACTGACAAATGAACGAGAGGAAGGATGAACGGACTGATAGGCTGGTGAATGAAAGGACGGACAAACGAAAAAAAAGGACAAAAGAAAAGCAGTGATGGTGAGTTGTACTTGGCTGATATGTCCACAGTCAGAGATTCTTGGTTCACATAGAAGAAAGGTTTGCTTGGACGCAAGTTGACTTCAAAGCTGGGCAGCACTACAGGAACAAAACAATCCTCTAAATTTAATATTTAATATTTTACAGAGTTTTAACAGAACCAGAAGGCAGAAACGCACCGTACTCCTTAACCTCAAACTCAGTGGTGAAGTTTTTCTGCGGTGTGTTTGTGTATCTGGCAATCAACTTCCAAACCCCAGCACTACAGAATAAACACAACTAGTCAAACACAAAGAGACTTATTTATTTATGATCTTTATCCATACAGAAACCTGATATATGGGCACACATGAACATATACAGTGAGTAAATGAATATTTCCTACAGGACGCTTCACAATAATGATTTGTTGCTTTAGATTCATGTATTTATTACATTTCAACAGTGAACAAACCTGGCGAGTTCAGTCAGGGCGAAGTTTTCGGTCCCGATGCCTCCTCTTGGCATGAATTTATCCCTTTCCAGTGTGATGCCTTGAGGGTTCTTGATGAACAGTGAAAATGCAACAAATTTGAAGATTTCAGATCTTTACCTCACAATATGTTCATCAATGCTTTTAATTTTAGTGCGTATCAGAGTACCATGATATCGACAGAGATCGAAGCTCCATCAAACGGAAGATGATCCGGGGTTAGAGAGAAGATCCTGTAATTCACTGCAAAATACGTCAAGTTAGCTTTGTTTCATGCACAATACAATGCATGTATTTTAAGCGAGTTTAGAGCTTATTACCGTATCAATAGCCATTTCATGGAAAAAATACATATACAATTTACAAAATAACACTTTTCTATAATACACTCTCAAACCACCTGGCTTTCATTGAATTTAATGCAAAAAATTAAAAGTGCAGTAGCTGATCTGCCAAAATGCTAATCGGATAGCATATTAGCTTTGGACAGCAGGGAGGGACTGTGTTTCAAAGCCACGCCTCTTGAAATCACGAGCGCGCCCACCGCGACACAACAGCAGTCAACCCAGTTCATTCGCCAGTTAGAAGTGTATGTAGTGGTTGGCCGGGCGGCGAGCAGGAATTTCACTTATTACTAAGCCACACTGAATATTCAGAGTAGCGGTAAACAATATCAGGAGCGCGTCACAGAAAACTCGTCACTCTTTTGAAAAGTTTGACCAGCTCATACCCGTGCTAGAAGGCGTGTAGATGGGCTTGTCAGTCTGTGCAAACAAATATCCAGACTGGAACGACAGCAAGACCACTTTCTCCAGAGTGTGAGTCGGGAAAATAGCTTGCAGATACACATACTGCTTCTCCAGAGGGTCATCAGAGAAGAAGTTCAGATCATCACGGATCTAAATATCAGAAGATTAATCAATTAGTTACATCTGAAGATAAAAAGACTGGATGTAAAGATGACCTCTCATCACCATATGATATATCATCAATACACTTAGCCAGGGGTTAAGGAGTTCTGACCTTTATATCTGTGAGGATCAGGAAACTGTTTTGCGCGGTCAGTGTCACTGTTTTTGACAGGATGTCCAGGTTCTTCTTTGGATGGTTCTTTACAGAGATCTTTACGTCCAGGCTTTTACCGGTGTAATCCTGCGCCTCCACTAACACTTTTGCAGATGAACCCACTCCCAGTAGATTAGGAGCCGACAGCACATATCTGAGAATGAGACAATTTGAGACACAAAATTATTAGTTCTCCTGTGTTTTTGTTTTCCGCTTTCTCTTTCTAATATTTGCCAAACGATGTTTAACAGATTCAGGATTTTTTCTTCTGGAGAAAGTCTTGTTTTATTTCAGCTAGTATTGACCTTATTCTGAAATGCGGAAGTGCGCCTGTTTTCGCGATTGTCTTAGAACTTCCGATTCAGTCGCCTATGGGAGAAATGACTAGGAATAGTAAACGGCAGAAAACGGTCAAACTTCTTGCTCTACAAACAAATGTTTGCATGACAATACAGACCAAGTAGAAGAATATGATAAGAAAACATCAGTTTGCAACATCAAAAAGGAAAATGAGCAGTTTTTAATGTCTAAAAATGAATGGAAGTGAATGAGACTGGAAGTCAAGCCAAAAAGATTTAGCAAAAAGCTGCGCCTGCTCGTTTGCAAAGAATAAGGTGAATAAAATCAGTTTTTTTTAAACCCATTTAAAAAGTCAATATTATTAGCCCCCTTAACCAATATTTGTTTTGGATAGTCTCCAAAACAAACCACTGCTATACATTAACTTGCCTAATTGCCCTAACTTTACCCTAGCTGAATACTAGTGCCTTGAAGAATATCTAGTCAAATACTATGTGCTAGTGTTTAGTGATTAGATTAGATAAATTAGTGATTAGAAATAAGCTATTAAACTATTATGATTAGAAGTGTATTGGGATAAAATTCTGGTCAACAAATTGGGGAAAAATCTACTAATAACTCAGGCGGACTAATAATTCTGACCAGGGGCGGTTTTATGATTTTAGTTTTAGGGGGGCTCAACTCCTTATAAAACGTAAAAAAAAGAAAAAGATAATTTTTTAAAAAAAACTATTAAATTACTACTTATAAATTGTTACTCCTTATAAAAGGTAAAAAAAATTATATATATATATATATATATATATATATATATATATATATATATATATATATATATATATATATATATATATATATATATGACAATTCATAAGTAGTAATTTAATAGTAATACACTTAATGTTTGTTTAATATGGCTTGTATACTAGTATTCCACTGTGTTACATAGGCACAGGCACTTGAGTTTACTGTAGTAAAAAACACTTTTTATATATTCTAGTGCATTTTTTGATTCCATGGATGAAATAAATAAACTGCCACTCTACTAATTATATATATTTTTAAACGTACAGGTTAATTCACATATTTCACGATCTGAATGATAATGATAAATAGGTATTTTTTTAATACAAGACAACATTTAATGCTTCTATCTCTGTCAGAGACAGTTAAAACGAGTACATTCTCTAAGTGCTACTATGACTATTTAATCCTTTCTGTGTAAGACTGTATGGTATAGTTCAGGGTTGGCCAACCCTGTTCCTGGAGAGCCACCTTCCAGCAGATTTCAGTTGCTACCCACATCAAACACACCTGCCTGTAATTATCACGTGGTGTTCAGGTCCTAATTAATTGGTTCAGGTGTGTTTGATATGGTTAGCAACTAAAATCTGCAGGAAGGTGGCTCTCCAGGAACAGGGTTGGCCACCCCTGGTATAGTTAATGCCGCACAAACAAAAGTGTTTAATGAAATAAAAATAGCGACAGAGTTACATTTTTCGCTGGAGGAAACAGCTGTGCTGATGAGGTGAACACAGAGATAACCCGACTGTTCCTTTATTACATTGAGATACAGGTGACACAAGATTATCTACTGCATATCAAAGAACTGCAAAGAAGCAGATATTATAACAATTAATCAATAAGCACACACCTTGTTCTCTCGCCATCCACTGCTGTAGTTTGCTGATCAAATGAAAAACAAAATACGGGGAGGAGCCGAATCCTGCCGCCATTTACTTATCAAATTTAAAGGGGACTGTGGCGATAATTTAGTGTACAGTTTATGAGCTAATCACAAAAGTTTAAGGGGGGCTGAGTGGAAATATAGGGGGCCCCTAAAATAGGCCTAGCAACGCCCATGATTCTGACACTGTATAGTTGATTGATATTGTGACGTTGCATTTTCGATTACACTTTACAATAAGGTTTCATTAGTTAATGTATTTACTAACATGAACTAATCATGAACAACACATGTACAGCATTTATTAATCATAATTGAACATTTTCTAATGCATTATTAACATCCAAGTCCATGCTTGTTAACATTAGTTAATGCACCATGAGTTAACATGAACTAACAATGAATTACTGTATTTTCATTAACTAACGTTAACTAACATGAACAAATACAATTGTAAATGTATTGCTCATTGTTTGTTCATGTTAGTGAATGCATTAATTAACATTAACTAATTAACCTTATTGTAAAGTGTGACCATTTTCACTGTCACACATGATAAAAACTAATATAATTAGCATTAACAATTTAAATTGCAGTTAAAAGTTAAACATTTTTGTTTTCCATGACCCTAATTATAAAAACTGCTGTTTATTAAAATCTAAAAACTGTCCTGTGGTGCAGCGCTTATAAATAATAATGAACAAATAAATAAAAAAAAAAGATTTATTGTCCTTTGTTGACACCCCTATTTATTGAAAATGTCCAACAAGTCTGACAATGCATGCAGATTTTTATTTATTTATTTATTTATTTTATTTTATTTATTTTTTTACAAAACCCAGTTAACATCTAACCTCAGTGCAAAAAAATAGTGCAACATGCATAAATAATATACACACGCGTAACAATATACAGACAGAGGTAGTGTTATGGATACAAAGAAGGTGTGTTAATAACTACTAAGGTTATACAAGCATGATATTACATTACGCAAGATATCACATTATAATATACAGAAGTAGAACGGTCTCCAGCATCCTCTAGTTATTACGGAGCCGTTTTGACAGGAGCAGTGATGTTCATGACGCGTCCAAGCATTTATATCTCAAGATTAACTTTATTTACTTACAAATACTACAAACAAACACGGTCAAAAAACTGTTTCCCCGCTACTCCTGCCAGCTGATCACCCATCACCTGTGAGCCCTTACGTAAGCAGGTGAGCTGACGTGACATGTAGGTGGAGTATATCTATATCATTAAACCACTCGATTAGTGACACAGAATAATACTTTATAATATTGTTAATCTGGTCCCACTTTATATTAAGTGGTCTTAACTAATATGTACTTACACAGGAACTAATAGTTTGTAATAATGTACTTATTGTGTAAATACATGTATTTACTGTGTACTTATGCTTGATTAAATACCTGTTTGTATTTACATCTGTAATTAACTTTTGTAATTACATTTGTAAATACACTGCTGACCATTCCCTACATCTTAACCCACACTTAAACCTACCCACACCACCAAACCTGTCCATAACCCAACCTCTATCCCAACTCAGAAGCACCACAAGTGTTCTCAAATGCATTATAAACACAATAAGTACATTGTATTTATTTTTTGATGCAAGTACATAGTAGTTAAGGACACTTAATATAAAGTGGGACCGTTAATCTTAATCAATCATGCAACAAATAAACAAATAAAACATAAATATATATAAATATCACAAATGGCTCCAACAAGACGTACTTACTATGGGCAAATTATACAGTTTAAACTAGATAATAGATGCATATACACTATAGCAGAAAAAAACCATAAACATATTTCATAGATGGGTAAGGTATTGATAAATAAACAGTACTATGAAAATAAAAGGTGTCCAACAATAAAGATCAAGATGAATATCAGTATTAGAAGTTGTTTTTAATTTTGCTGTCACACCACAGGACATTTTTACAGTACAATACAGAAAAATCTTTGGTAACACTTCAGGTCACAATTCAGGATATTAACAACCGGTTAATAAGCACTATTAACTTAATAAATGGCTGTTTATTAATAGTTAGTAAGGTATGAGTTGGGTTTATCTTAATCTGAATCCCTAATAAAAGTATAATTAGGGTATAAGATCATACTTTCAGAATAAGATCATACTTTATAACTCCCAATGGACAGTTAATATCTTAATAATAGGCAGGTTATAAGCCAGTAGTTAATAGCATGCATTGTGACCTAAACTTAAGTGTTACCCAAATGTTAACAGTGACAGAATGTATAAAGTTGGTAAAACCCTTCAACATTTACACTTAAAACTACATAAATATACAATTTTTCTTGAAGAAAGACTGTAAAATGTGTGTATGCTGACGCCTATTTGTCGTTTATTCATATATCCTGTATACATCAACATCAAGAAGCACTTCATAAAATTAACACTTAATAAAATGATTGTACTTACAGTGGGTCAGATAATACGAGGCAAGGAAAGCAAAGAATGACTGAAGTCAGTGTCAATACGTCCACATGCATGGTGTTCACATTGATCTGTCCGTGTTCGAGACTAAAATATAATGATAGATTGATCTCTGTTGAAGATACCATCAGTGACCTTAGAGGTGAATGCTGAGTAACTCCAGTGGAGGAACCAAACCGTGATCAAGCAGAAGATCAGTGTGTGTGTGTATGTGTGTGTGTGTGTTTGTTGTGCAACTGTCTCATTGAAATCTTAATTTCTCCACCCAATTTCACAATATGGCTTGTTTGCATCTCGTCTTCAAAGTAATGGCAGGGTATATTGAGGAGAAATCATGGTAGTTAAATTCATTTCACTGTAATAAATGCTCCACACAATTGGTTTGTATTTGGGCAACATGAAGGAAGTTCACTTATTAGCTTTTGACAAATTTAAGTGGATAGAACTTAAAATGATCAAGGCAGGGGTGCAAAAACTTGGTCCTGGAGTGCCGGTGTCCTTTAAAGTTCAGTTCCAACCCCAATCATGAACATGAACATCTTCAAACGTTAATCTGATCTTTTATACACCTCCAATGGTTAGTATTTAGTTTAATTAGTAATTAAAGTAATTTAATGAATTTAAATTAATTTAATTTAATGAAAATAATAAATAAAATAATTGTTTTATTAAAATGTAGTTAATAACTAATACACTTCAGATTTAACTGTAACTGTAATAAATCTGGCCTTTTCTCATTGTTGAGAAACTGCATTTTACTGCATTCGACTTTTAATAACTTTATAAACATTGTAATTTGATTTGTGATAATACTGTATGTGATAAAAGCCTCAGGAATTAATCACAACAAGAGCATTTAATACCGTCACAAGCCTAACTGTCCCATTACAAAACTTCAATTGAGTTTTATCTTATATGCCAAAACCACCATGTAAAACACAAAACGGATTAAAAAGCTGGAAATATAAACGGCCCAAAAAAAACTTTTGATCATGCAGAACATTTATTCATTCATTTATTGATGTACAAAATGGTAAATTTCACAAAACAAAAACTGAAATGAATGCACAATTATTCCAAAAATTAAAAACCAAGAGTTTCAATAATGTGCAAACTTGAATTTGATCATATGTTAATAGCAGGTGGAAATCTTGGCTAAACAAGACGACTTGTGGAAGAGCTAAAAATGTAAAAACTACATCATCTGAAACCATAAGGTCCACTAAAGAGATAATGACATAAAAACTGAAAGTTACTACCATAGTTTCTTTGAAAATTTAAATTCAGTTGTCTCCCCTTAATCTGTTCTGAGATTGTTGATAATGCTGCATATTTTTTCCTCTCAATTTTAAAATATAGTTTTAAAATAAGCTACTTTAATCATTATAAACTTTTTGCACACTTCCTGATTTCTCCACACAGATGTTACAGCATTTCACAAAATTCTTTGTGACTTTCATATGCAAACTCATAGTAAGCCTGAAATTAGATACCGCAATTGCTCAATTAAAAAAAGAGCTCTCTAACATGAACGACGAAAAAAAAAACAAAAAAAAAAAACAGCTTGTTTGGATCATTGCTGCACTAAATAACATTAGAAACATCCATCTATCATCCAGTATTATAAAGAAATATTACATTTATTTTGATCTGCATTTTAATTTTAGCATTTAGATTTAAAAATCGACTCAGGATATGAAATAAAGCTTTGTACTGTATCTGTGAATGTCACATGAGAATTGAAAGCAAGTGTCAGTTTTACTGTATTTAAGGCCATTATATTCAATCTTCTTAAACCCTGGACCGCTGGAACACGAAGATGAACCATTTGATTCGATTTATCATTTAATACTTTGAGCAGTTTTGGTAAATGAAAGAATTTTGAACTGATAATCACATTGTATTGGGTATGAAATACATCAACAACAACAAAAATCCATAATGAAACAGCACTACTTGTTTGAACTACATCGCACAGAACATTTATTTAGTATTTTACCTTTTGATTATTTTATGTATTATTATTTTATAAGATTTTACATTTATAAATGCATCAAGTCGCAGTTTATATGTTCTATCTAGGATTAGGTTTCACAACATTACAGGTTACTAGTATATTTCTGAATCCGCAAATGTATAAAATAAAGTTTTAGTTGATTTGTTCATTTATTTATTGATTTATTTATCATGTGGTCCGTTTAAGTTAACGAAAATAAATGTAGGCCTACATCTAAGTTTAGCACCACGAACAAACACAAAGCTAAGCATTCACAACAGCGAACAACGGTTTATTATTTTGCGCATGCGCTTTAGCAGTAGTTCGTCAGTTTGGTTCACTTGAAAACATTCGTCGTTGAAATTACACGGCCGTAACCAGCAGATGTCCTCATCAAGACAGAATCTAGGAACTGCCATGTAATGTGTAACAGTGTTTTTAACCGTCGTATTCAATGAATTTGGAATAAAAAACAATTTCTCTCACTGGCTGGAACTTCAAATAAGGTAAGACAGAGACATCTGAGGTAACATGCTGCTAAATGTTTGCTAGGATGGGTTGAGTTACTTGAGTATTTCCTTAAAAATGTACTATATAGCCAGTTGTTTCCCTCACCCCCCAAAAACGTATTTAAAGCGTACTTAATAAAGGGATTTAGCTTACCAAAGGACAGCGGAAGGGAGTTTAACTGCATGACATCAGCTGACAAAAAAATAATTCATCCGTTTAATTTAGGATTGAGCTCTGAATTCTGCTGTTGTTTATATGCAGTTATATATATATATATATATATATATATATATATATATATATATATATATATATATATATATATATATATATATATATATAACTGCATATAAACAACAGCAGAATTGTTTGCAATTCTGTTTGCTGGTATATATATATATATATATATATATATATATATATATATATATATATATATATATATATATATATATATATATATATAAAACTAGCATCGTTCCAACATTTTTTTTTACGCTTCGGAAAAACTGTAAGTATAAATATATTGAAAACGATGAATGCTTAAGGAGATCTGGGTTTACTTTAAAAAAAGGATATTATTATAATGATATAAATATTATAAATATTATTGTAATGATATGAAGTTTTAAAATATCACAAAACAAATCATAATTTTAATGTAGAACAACAATATGTTCGGAAAAAACTTTTTTTTCATTAAAGTGAAATAAATCAAGAGAACCATAAATAATAATAACTAATTACAATAACTAATTTTTCAACTAATAATTTAGTTGAAATTACATACTTTGTTTATTTTTTCTTTTTTATCACAACTTCTTTGAATTTAAATGTGTTACCTTTCAGTTCATAAGTATGTTTGGTGACCACACTTATTTTAGGGTGTATAACTGTTCAATAGTTCTTGAATAAAGAGTCAAAAAATAACATTTACCATTTTTATTCAGTCAGTTTATACAAATTACAAAGTATTTTTGAAAAAAACAATATTGAGATTTAACAAAAGTTTGAAAGTGAAAATACTCTCTGTAATCAGTAGACAATTATGTTGCACATCCTTCTTTGGTGAGCATGTTCTCGAGTTCAGTGATGCCGATGTACCGGTCTCTGTGCTCTGCAGATTTACTTTCTTGACTTGTTGGCCAGTATTCAATCCAGGTCTGCTCTCCCAAGATATACTGCAGACTAAAAACAGCAGAAAATGAGAGGATAAAACAGTCAGAATGAACGAGACACGCATTTCCAATATAGTGTTCAATAACAGCACTGCTGGAAAAAACAATAGAAACCAACACAGAAGGATTGTAGGGATTTCCACTTGAAATGACAATAAAACCAGCAAATTCTAACCAGTAAAATCAGTACATTTGTGTGTAAATGTACTTAATTGTGATTTAATGTTTTTCAAATGAGTTGAGAACCAAGCGACAAAACTTAATCGATCTAATTTCTTTCAGAACCATTAAGACCCTTACAAATCCAACTTCATTTTTTTTCAGCAGGAAAAAAAAGTATATCAAAGGTAATAAAAAGGGGAACTCCTAAAAAAACATGATTTATTTTTGTTTCATAAACATTTGAAAAAAAAATCTATTTTTTAGGCCATTTAAGCCAAAAACATCCTTGTTAAATCCATAAATGTGGGTGATGTGATTCATGACACCTACCTTCCTCCAAGTTTTGGCAGATCTGTAGATTTGCCCATGATCAGATAAGATTTTCCTTGAACAAATCCTAGAGACTCTTTGCAACTTGGACGACCCAAAAATGATTTCACTTGTCCCTCAATAACTTGATCAGTTCCTGTAAGACAGAGCAAAAAATTTATAGCAGTGCAGTTTAGTATTTGCTAGGGGTATAATGTGACCCCCAGATTAATAACCAAAATCTGCATAACCAACAACTGCGTTTGACAGAGAAAGAGTCTTTAGTCATTTTAAGTTTTCTGCCTGTTTTATTTCTGAGTTACAAGCTGGCAAACAACACAGAAGTACTGGAATAACAGTTTTTAGTTCAGATATAAACAGTTTAAAATCCCCATTTAATGCAACTTGACGGTCAAAAATTAAAGTTGTGGTAATTATATTGTTTAACCAATAGGTGGCAACAACCAGCCATCAAAAATTTTGTGTTAAATAATTCTTCAAAAATGATATATTTAACATTCATTCATTAATTTTCTTGTCGGCTTAGTCGGCTTTATTAATCCGCCACAGTGGAATGAACCGCCAACTTATCCAGCAACTTTTTACGCTGCGGATGCCCTTCCAGCCGCAACCCATCTCTGGGAAACATCCACCCACACATTCACACACACACACTCATACACTACGGACAATTCAGCTGTACCGCATGTGTTTGGACTGTGAGGAAAAGTGGAGCACCCAGAGGAAACCCACGCGAACGCAGGGAGAACATGCAAACTCCACACAGAAACGCCAACTGAGGCGAGGCTCGAACCAGCGACCTTCTTGCTGTGAGGCGACAGCACTACCTACTGCGCCACTGCTTCCCCACATCTAACATTGACTTATTGAATTATTAATTGAAAATCAGATTAAAAATAAATGTGAAGTTAGACAAGATAATAATGTTAAATGTATACATTTAGCATTATAAGCAAGATAATATTTCCTGATATTAATTATTTATTAAAATGACAAGTTCTGAATTACCAGAAGTTTCTTGCAGTATGCTACCATTGTAATACATAAAAAAGCAATTTGCGTTTGTCTCCTCCCCTTTTTGCTGATCCTTTTTGGTCTTATCCGTGACCGTGACTCAAAAAAATGTAATGTGATCCGTTTCACCATAGTATTCACATAGGTATGTGTTTGAGAGGACATTGCATTTAAAGAGATCACCCAAAAGCTTGCTGTTAAATTACCGTTTGACTACACCCACAGGCCATCCAAGATGTAGATGGGTTTTTTTTCTTCAGTAGAACATTAAAGAAGATTTGAGCTGAATGCTTGTTGATTCATATGATGGCAGTGAATGGTGAAAGGTTTTTTAGATTAAAAATAAACACATACAAACAAGTCTAAACCAATAGGCATGGCTCCTGAAGACACACTGAGCTCTTGTGAAGTGAAACAATCAGTTCATGTAAGAAGCTGAACATTATTTACAATATTATTAGCCTCAATCCACAGCCTGGCTAAATAGATCTTGGAAATAGATCAATAATATTGAATAATGTTCAGTTTCTTACACGGGCCAAAGACCTCCATGGTCACAGTGAGTCATGACTCTTGATTTATTCTTATTTGTGTCTGTTTACTTTTAATTATATGAATCAACAAGGACCACAGATTCAGCTCAAGCTCTTCTCAAGGGTGAGTAAATGAACAGGAAATGTTTGTGTTTGGGTAAACTATCCCTTTAACCAGAATCGGACACAAACGTAATAAACCGTACCTTCTTTCAGCACCTGCTCCACTTCCATTTGGTAGATGTCAGCGTCCGCTGCCAGCTCCATGTCCTTGACTTTCACTTTGTAAACTGTTAAAAATGCAGGTTAGCTTTAGCATTAGCTCGGGTCCAACATTAGGTCAACTAAAGCTAAAAGAACTGTTGGCCTCAGAACAACAAAACGGTCAAACTGACTCCCTCATGTTATGCAGCACAAAAAAACTGTATATTTCCCAAAAATTATACAGCAAAAAGTAAACAAAAACTAAACACTTGCCCTGACTAAATGTTTTCAGTGATTTACATTATCCATCTCAACTCATCATCAACTCATACTCATCCATTTATTGTCCATTGCTACTTTGGCCATGGCATTGCAAACAAAAAGTACATTCACATAAGTAAATAACAAAATAAAACAGTAATAATCTAATAAACAGTTCAATTTGAAACACGCACAAAAATGGTTATGTGTAGTCATGTGGGCTCTTGAGATAAAGGGCTCTATTTTGACGGTCCATGCGCAGAGCGCAAAATGCAGGGTGCAAACGCTTTCAGGGCGTGTCAGGACGCGTTTTTGCTAATTCAAGGACGGGAAATCTGCCTTGCGCCGTGGTCTAAAAGGGTTGAGTTTATTTTCTTAATGAGTTATAGGTGTGTTTTGAGAATAAACCAATTAGAGTCTCATCTCCCATTCCCTTTAAGAGTCAGCTGCGTAGCGCCAAGAGCGCAATCGCTATTTACAGGATGCAAAGTAAATCTAAGTGGAAAAAAATGAGCATTTCACAAGCAAACAGTTCACAGTTGACAGTTTTTTAACAGAAAACTGTTAAACAGAGCATCTACTGCGTGAGAATGAGAGATAATGGATCACTTTCACATTCGCTCTTGGATAGGGAAACCTTTACACGCAGACATCAATTAGCCTATAAATAAAAACTTTTGTTTGTTAAGCGCAAATATTCGTTTTAAAACTATTTCTAAATTCCGTTCTAATTTCCAGCAAACGAATAAATGAATAATAATAACAAAATGTCTTCAAAAACCTGAGTTATATCCTAAAACACATGCTGTGCCCCATATGATCTAAAACCTGACAGGTGGGCAAATCTAAGCTTGTTTTTAATAAAACAAATATAAATATGGATATATTAAATAATACTGCTAATAATAATAACATTATACAAAAGCAAATTGTTATGAATGAACTGAAAAAGCCTCCCGAGATGAAGAAGACAAAAGCAGTGATTTTTCATATTTATGTAGGCCAGAAAATAATATGTTTTGTAATATTTTAATCCTTTATATTTTATATCTATTCTTATTATATCCTAAATATATCCTTAATATTTACATTTTTTTCATATGTAAAGATATTTGCCTATTGCTCTCTTGTGCGTATTAAGCAGTGTGTACGTGAGGCACAACTCTGCGCTGGAGTTTAGACCGGGTTAGTTTTGGTCTAATGAAAAATCTACTATAGTTTTTCAAAATAGCAACGCGTCAGCTGTCTGCCTAAGAACGCCTCCCTTTTTAGACCAGAACGCCTATGGGCGCACAAATGAGCGCTAATGCATTTGCTATTTAAACAGCGTAGCGCAACGCCTCAAATCGACTCTTGCGCCAAGCTGAAGCTACTAAAAGACTATTGCGCCGTGTCTTGCGCCACATTGCGCCGGGTGTATGATAGGGCCCTAAATCTACATTTCAGGAACTATGACATGAATATACACACACAGAACTCATTATATTTACCGTAATCCATGCCAGATTCACAGGCCTTTATATTCCGTTCCTCATCTTTGAAACCCCCTTTCTTCTGTAAACTGCAGTTTTCTGTGTTCAGAGAAGTAGATTATGTTCATACATGCACAATACTTCACATTAAATAATAATCATAACTAGTTAAGTTTTTCCTAAAACTAGATGTAAAAAAGTTTTAGTACATTAAAGCCATGCTGATTTAAGTGCAAAAAATGTGCTTTGATTAAATCTTTGACCTCTTTACTCGACTGCAGTACTGCAGTTTGTGGCAACAATAATAATCATTCATTCATTCGTTTATTGTCCTCTGTCTTAGTCCCTTTTATTAATTTGGGGTCGCCACAGTGGAATGAACAGTCAATTTATCCTGTATATATTTTATACAGCAGATGCCCTTCCAGCTGCAACCCAGTACTGGGAAACAACCATACACACTCATTCCCCCACACACACACACTGAGCCACCATGTCACCATATGGATAATATTTATTAATTATTGACAATAATACCTTCAGCACACTGGCACATGTCTCCTTTACACAGTCTGTATATTACTCCTTCTCTTTCAGGGTGGAAGTACTTTGTGCAGCGTGCATCTGGAAAAGAAAAGAAACACACAATTATTAAAGGGCACCTATGGTGAAAAATCTACTTTTCAAGCTGTTTGGACAGACATGTGTGTATGTATAGTGTATAGACCGTCATATTAGGGTGATATAAACACACCGAGTCCTTTATTATTGCACACAAATATCAATGTCATCTCAGCATTCGTTAGATAGTTGTTTCTGGGTTTTGTTAGTCCTATTGATGTTGTTTTAAAATACAATAAATCCCTTAAAAAACAATTTGCAGCGGTGATTATTCATTTTTGGTGGGTGCTCCTACATTTTTTCTGTTGCTCCTAAATTTTTTTTGGTGCTCCTAAATATTTGAAGTTGAAAAAAAAAAAAAAAAAAAGTTAATTTCGAGCCCTGTGAGGTCGAGGGAGAAGATAAAAGCACTTATTTTCGGTTTATTTGGACACAAGAAATAGAGGAAAAGCTAGTGGAGGTTTGACAGGAGCAACCGTGTCTGTTTGACGTTTCATACGGAAAGAAAGAAAGTTGAGGAGAAAGTGCTAATTCCCTTCAAACCCAGGTGAGCACTACATTTTCTACCCAATTACAGGCTTCTTTCTCGTTATGTAGTTAATAACAAAAGATATTTGACGTGTTTTTGGCTGTCAGATGAAGTTGTCAGCGATTCTTCCTATAGTAAAGTCATGCAGTGTGAAAGCCCCTGTCGCCGATCCATCTTGCAGTGTAAACAAAGCAGTGAAAAAACGCTAGCCCAGATAGTCATGCAGTGTGAAACATCTGTGACACGACTACTTAGAAAATCATGCAGTCTGAACTCGGCATTAGTCTATGCTGACATTATCTTCAGCAGCTCAAACACTCTAATGGCTAATAAACAGACGGCTGCTTCTCACTCAGAGCTGTTTATACTAATGAGGGAGAGATAATACCACTAGTGGGCGCGGCTTTCCTTCTCTGGTGGCATGTACAAAGGGAGAATGTCAATCAAAGTGTTCCTCAGACTGTTTTTATCAAGTGTGATTGTAACAAATATAATTAATTCATGTTGACCATTAGAGGCTGAAGATATTCACACACTGCTGACACACAACTGTGTTTGTACCCCTTATAAAAGTGATTTTGCATACTAGGTTCCCTTTTATAATGAAATTAAATATGCATGTAAATTTAGATTTTTTTTATGTCTCAGATGTGTGTGTGTGTGTGTGTGTGTGTCGTGTAAAATGCGCAGCAGCTTACTGGGTGAGTAATACTCATATATGGTGACTGCAGCAGGTTGAAGCAGCCCAACATTGAGCATCTTGTGCATTCTGAAGGCAATTCGTTCTGATTCTTTATTAGAAACCTAATGAAGAAGAAATCAAAGTGAATTCATGGTTACTCTGGACATGAAGCTGCATTAACATTTGCTCCAGCAACACTTAATAGACTGATTTCACGCGGCCGCCATTTTCAAAAGCGAAATCGAGGCTGCGGTGGGAAGAAAACCGGAAGTATCATTGGGAGTTACATAGGAATGTTGTGTACCTGGCTGTATATCTTATCAGCGAAGATAAAGTGACACAAAATTAGCATTTCTCTGCCTTCCAGGTGACCCGGAGGTCCCTTCTGAATGAATGGTGAATGTAAAAAGGGATATCAGAGCTCATTTTCAGCTAAGTTAAGGGAAATGGCACTAGTTAGCTAACGTTTTCTTTCCCAAACACACGTTTTAGATGCTATTCATCAAACTCGAGTTAATGAACTGATTCTTTCACTATATTAGACTTGTCACGATACTAAATACAAAGAAAAACCGGCAATTTCCTGCTAACATTTAAGGCACTGTTGATGGCTTTCTTAAAACAGCGCTGATTTGCCATTGTGTTCACGTGTTCAACAGAAATGATTGTGATTGGCCGAGAAGGTCATCAGTTCACCAACCGCTGTATACTGAACACAAACACAGACGAGCCGAGCGATCTGCTTGATGACTCGACTGATCTTGACGGCTGCTTCGCGCTCCAGTCCGTGTATCTGTGTTTGCACTGGGTGAAGAGCGGTAAACTGAGAGCAAACCAAACACAGATACACGGAGACGGAAGCGCGAAGCCGTGAAGATCAGTCGTGTCGAGACAGGGCCGGAGTGGGACTCCTTTTCAGCCCTGGAGTTTCAAGCCTCAGACCGGCCCACCTCAGTTCACGACTGACTATATTAAAATAAGCTCATTTCCAATTCAGTTGCTAATTACACTATCACGTCTTTTTTTTTTGAGAAAACAGCTGCTTCAGAACTTCAAATGTTCAACAACCCTAACAGTATTATATATCTTAACAATAAAAATGAAAACAATAAATTACTCTAACGAGGATCGAACCCGGGTCCGCGGAGTCTTAATCGAACGTGCTTACCACTGGACCACAACAGCTGTGAATGTAGTGGAGACACATTTAAGTTTTATTATCATTAAAATAGATAAAAAGAAGAGTTGCGATAACATAATGAACAAAAAGGCTTTGGTCAAGTAAATAAATAAATTTAAAAAGTGTGACTGCTGAGAGCAACAGATTCTGGAGCTAGGGACACCGGCCCTCGCGGCCAAAAAACCGACCGGCCCACCGGGAATTCTCCCGGTCCTCCCGATTAGCCAATCCGGGCCTGTGTCGAGACATCCGCGCTCAGCAGCGCTTCCATGTTAGCGGGAAATAGCCGGGTTTAAAACTTCACTACCGGGACAACACTATGACAGACAACACGAGGGTGTGCTGCAGAGGACTGCAGTGTTTTATCACTCACCGGGCTACATAGACTGAAGCAGGAAAGCGTCCTCACGGTGTTTAACCAATGACTGTAAAAAATATGTGTTTAACATGAGCTGAAACCTAGGAGGACACTTAAGCGTATCACTGAGATAGTGATGTTGTTTGATGCTAAATTGCTTTTAATAGTTTAAAATAAACTTACTAAACAATATTAAAGTGATGGTTACACTATTTTCTGCATTTTGAAATCTCGGCAACAGCTGGAGGTTTATAGTACACGGCATGTTACTGCAATGTTTACAGTGCTCGTCCTATACTTCCAGGTTTCTTCCCACCGCAGCCTCGCTTTGATTCTTTCAAATGGCGGCCGCGTGAAATAAGCATATACATAAACTGCAATTACACTGGCAAGTCAACCAATCAGAATCAAGAATTCAACATTTTATTATAGGAAAATATAGTTGAAGACAAAATTAATAGCCCTCCTGTAAAATTAAACACCCTTTCATATATTTCTCAAGTGCTGTTTAACATTGATAAAAAGGTTTATAATGATTAACATGATTTTTTTTTCAGCACATTTTTTTATACATAATGTAATTTTACTAATTACTTGTTTCTTTTGTCTTTGCCATGATGACATTACATAATATTTTACTAGTTATTTGGCAAGATACTAGTATCCAATGCGATTTAAAGGCTTAACTAGGTTAATTGGGTTAACTATTTAACAGAAATACTATAAGACTTTATCCAGAAGAACATTATAATGTGAAATACTGTGAATAATATTGCTCTGTTAAACATCACTTGGAAAATATTTGTAAAAAGAATAGAGAATTCCCAGAAGGTCTAATAATCTTGTCTTCAACTGTAAATCAACACAGTCTGCTGAAATACCATTTTTAAGTATAAGATGAGGGATCCTCGATCTGAAAGAGCTTTGTCCATCTCAAACTTCTCAAGGTATTTCTCCTTCCCCCGGGTCAACTGTGGAAAACAGAATGAGAGGTTATTTAAAAAAAACAAAAACTGATATTATTGAAATTCTTTATGCCCTGTCTGTATAAGGATGCTTCACGTTTCAAGTCACATTTCTTTAAATAGTGTAGCATCACTAGAAAAGGATCATCATGTAATGCAACATTTGTCAATTATGAAATAAATACAAATTTTGTTATAGAGTAGATCTATATTACCGAGTAGTCTAATGACAATACATTGAGGTTTTATGAATTGAGATGATTGTTCTGTACAAGACACTTAAAGTGGTAAATATTGTTACATTTTTAACACAGGCCACTTAAAGTTTCACTTTATAAAACCTCAATGTATTGTCAGGTATTGATGTGTGTGATTTTTGGACTCTTAAAGTGCCTGTAGCTGCTGACTTGCATTATATTAATTAGTGATGGGAGAAACTACGCTTGTCAAAGCTTCAAAACAATGTTGAACCACAAAATGGTTCGATATTTTCAAGTGTTCAAAAGCAGCACATGCTGGTCAAAACCATGTAAATACAACAAATACCTATGGATTCATTTGGCTTTTTCAAACACACTGCAGACGTTCAGTCAACCAAATGCACTTATCTTACTGTGTTATTAAATAATATTAAATATAGAGTGTCTGCATAATGTGTTCATTTTGTCAGTTTTCCAGGCTTATATATTGTTTATTCTATTGTGGGATCTGCTAAACAAGACAACAAGAGACTTTTAACTGATAATATACCCATTTGTTTTACAAATATCTCATTAAAATGTCTGCAAGCTTATAAAACTGATTTAAGATCAGGTAAAATACTATGAAACCTGTTCGGAGATTTGCCACCAGGGGGGCGAATTGAGTGAACCTGCACGATTCATGATGTTATTTTATCAGCAGGGCTATTCATTTGGCGGCCCGCGGGCCGAACCCAGCACCCATGGCAATTTGTTTTATCACACCTAATCTAAATTCAAGCTTTATGTTAGGTCAGTAGCTATTTAGATTAACTGTTGTTGTCATCTGCATTCATGCATACAAAATCATTTTAATAATAATTCGTCTAACATATATTTTGTTTACATTGCACTAAAAGGCACGCACAACTCTAACTGTGAGATGTTTTCTACTGTGTGCGCCCGTAAAGCCGCAGGCGTGTCGCTCCGCTTGTGCACGCATATTGTCATATATTCTTACATTAGAAATAACAAACTTGCAAGCGGAAAAGACGTGATATGGGAACGGCCGCTGTTGTAGTTAATCCTGTGTGCGTGCGTATTAGCCTCGGTGTACTTCAAACTTAAAACTAGCGCACAGGCAACTTGGCATTTTGCAGCAGTTTCGTTCTGTGCAACAGAAATGCGGCTTAGAGAAGACTTTACGATTAATAAACTGTGACGAATCAAAGCGCAGTTAATAGTGAAATCGGCTAATCGCTGCATCCCTATTAACGATATCAGTGCATTGTACAAATAGCCTTTTCTACAAACATGTTTTCGGCTGCCTGCACCACTCGCTTATGATGACTCTGTGCAGCCTTTAACTGCAGCTCGTGCTGTTATTGAACAGAGATGCACGTGACTTCATAACCATAGCGGCAGTTTGTCGACTGAACTAAATTTATTTTGATATCTTGGTCACACTGTTTGGAGGGCCGGATTCGGCCTGCGGACCGCCAATTGAATAGCTCTGCACTACAGCATTGGCGCCAACAGAAATCACATGATCTTCACAATTATATATGCGCTCCGATCAACTTATTCAAATTATTATTGATTCGTAAAGGCTTCAAAGCTTCATGAAGCATGGTACTGAAAGCAGCAATCACTAATAAGAATCAACAAAGACCATAAAAAAAGTCACCTCCCTGCTGAAAAATCCAGGTTAAACCAGCCTAGGCTGGTTGGCTGATTTTAGCTGGTCTACCAGGCTGGTTTTAGAGGGGTTTTGGCCATTTCTAGCCTGGTCTTAGCTGGTCAGGCTGGAAAATGACCAGCTAAATCCAGCTAAAACCAGCTTGACCAGCCTGGTTTAAGCTGGACATAGCTGGTTTTGGCTGGGCTCTCAGCCTGCCTAGGCTGGTTTAAGCTGGTTTTTTCAGTAGGGCTACATCTTGGATGGCCTAAATTTATCAGAAAAATGTTCATTCACTAATTTTTGGCTGAACTTGCCTGTTAACAGGCTAATATAATGCTAACATTTGCATTACCTGACCAGGGTAAAAAGCTAGAATATTTATTTTGAACAGGCTAAGATATACACGCTATTTCTTTATGAAGTTAAACGATTAAGAAAACAAAGTTAGACAGACCTCAGCACTCAATAAAATATGCAATATTTACTCCTCATTATAACAGTATCACCACATTACCTCCTCAAGATCGTTGTATTCCACAGTAAATCCTGTCGGTATGCCAATGTCCAGAATAGTCATGGTGGCAGGAGATTTAGGGTTCTTGTAGCTGTGTGGATAAACAGATGGAGAGCAGTATTTATCAACATATTCTGTTGGTTTTGCTCCATGTATACAGTTTGCGTTGTAAGCTGAGTGTGTCAGAACGAGTCTACACCCAACATGCTGAATTTGTCAAAAAAGATGCGATTAAATAGCAATTAATTATGGGTAGAGCCAGACGGAATCTGCGGACGTTTTTTGCGATTTCTGCTGAGAATTTTGGTAAAAATCTGCAGATTTCTGTGGAATTATTTTTGGAGTATCCAGCGGAGTATCATAACTTAAACTTTAATATATTAAATAAAAAGTAATAAATTACTGAATAAAAACTGAATAAATTCCGATTTACACATTTACTCAAGTAAATAAGCAGAATTTATAATGGGCTAAAAACTGCGGAATTCTGCGGAAAATCTGTGAAAAAATCTGCGGAATTCTGCACGTGCAGATTCCGTGTTGGCCTGCTTATGGGTCTAAATTCAGCTATATGGCGGCACGGTGGCTCAGTGGTTAGCACTGTCACCACTAAGCAAGGAAGTCACTGGTTCGAGTCACGGCTGGGCCACATTTCTGCGTGGAGTTTGCATGTTCTCTCCGTGTTTTCTTGGGTTTCCTGCTCCGGTTTCCCCCACAGTCCAAACACATGCACTCCAGGGGAATTGAATAAGCTAAATTGGCCGTAGTGTGTGAGTGTGCGTGTGATGTGAGTGTTATGGGTGTTTCCCAGTACTGGTTTGCAGCTGGAAGGGTATCCGCTGCTTAAAACATATGCTGGAATAGTCGGCGGTTCATATAATGATAAATCAGAGACTAAGCTAAAGGACCTTTTTCATGGCTGCTGCATGGAGGGCGCCATAGCGATCAGCGTCTTCAGGTAGAATGCTAAAAACTTCCGTTTACAGCGTGTACAACTGGTAATTTGCGCTCCGAAAATGGGTTTCAACAACGTTTATAATGGATAACAGAGTGTTTTTGTGACACACAACTTAGAAATGTGTCTGTTAAAGCCGTTATAATCTGTCACATGTGGTTCAAGCGCATGAGAAATACGAGAAAAACGGCTCTTTAACACAAGCACACACAGAGAGAGAGAGAGAGAGAGAGCAAACCAGAGTACTGGCATGAAACTTAACAGGTATGAAACTCGTGCAATTTACAAAAATGACCAATAAAAGTCTGTTATTGATCCTTTGCTGGCTGTTTTGCTGTTCATTCTAATCGTGAGCCGTTTGTGTTTTATTTCGTGTGTTGTTTTCACCACGGTTTGTGTTTTTCTGTCATTTCGAAATGACACTAGCCTATATTTTCACTTTGTCACAGTGATTAAATCAGTGTGTCAGTGGCACAGTACAGGCTACGTGTGTGTATCAAACATTTTGGTGAACTACATTAGTTTGGGCTGATTATATATTTGAAATAAAGAGAAAATGTTGACTTTAGCGATGACAAGGCTTCATTTAAACTGCAGAAGATGCCGTCTGACAACGAGGGGAAAACGCCTCACAGCAGCTGTTTTCCATTCTATTAGATCGCATTTCTTTAAATAATCAGTCCAGGAGATGCTGCTGATGGACAACAGTATTAGTTCAAAGAGGATAAAAGCAGGTAAAATAGATTAAAACTATCATTTCAAAGCTGTCCAAATGTGACTGTTTACACGCATCAGCTGCCGACCGGAAGTTCTTCGCATTCTCCTAGCGCATACACGCAAAGCATAATAGGTAATTTTGCATTCCAAAAAAAGGTCTATATCATCCACTCACAACTAGTAGACACAAATATATGCAAATAAACTACAAACACAGTGTGGGTGAAAAGTAGTATTTGCTTTATAGCATGAACAATTGGTTATAAATTCCATATTTGTTATTATACAAATTTATTGAAACAAATTGTACTGTACTATATTACATAAACAGACGGACTAGCGTTGTCAACTACATACTATTTCAACCTCTGCAATTTTCACACCACTGATGCATATGTTGAATGTATGTATGTAGTCATTTCTGTTTGTAGTAAAGTATACAAAAAGTATGTATAATAATAATTTAGTGGTTAGCTTGTGCTCACGGCGACCCGAGTTCAATTCCCGGCTTAGGGTCCTTTGCAGCTCTTTCCACTACTTCTGCTCCCCACACTTTCTGTCTGTAAAATCTCAACTGCCCTATACCAATAAAGGTGAAAAACCTTAAAAAATTAGATTAAAAAAGTGTTTATAAATAGTTTAATTGAAAGTATTACACATTTTTAATGCCTTGTTAATTCTCACCCACACTGTATATGAAAAACAGGACTCCAGCTGACCAAATAAACAAACCAAGAGTGAAAAAAGCCTAAAAGAGCAAATGCTGAATCAAGAATAAATGCAATAGGAAAGATGTTCACATACAAGAAGTCCATGGTGAGCTTGAATGTTTCAATGGCGTCTGCATGTTTTGCTAAAGGACAAAATAAAAGCGAGTTTAATTTGTGAAAAACACACAAAGAGGTTTGTTTTGCATTTTCTTTTATATATCTCCACTCTTACTTTCAGGGTCTTTATCTATTTTAACACTCAGATCAAACAGTGTGCAGTCAGATTTCTTCTCAACGGGTCTGGCGTAGTACAGCGTCAAGACCTGAAAACAGCAGCTCGTTTTAGATTTGATGCTTTTAAGATTTTAATCATATCATATAAACGATCATGAACACTCACGGAGAGGGTGGCTTTTCCAGTTCCTTTCGCAGTCACGTTAAAGTCCTTGTTTATGTCCACCTGTTGAGCGAAAGCAAATTTAATAAAGTCACCAAAATGCAAAGATACCTACAGATTTTAATAAACCACTATTGACAGTCCATTTAAAAATAGTAATCAAACTGATGTGATACCAATCCGTAATAGCAAACGTTGGGTAATTAGCTTTAAAGTGTTATTAAATTGCTCAGTCATCTGTTATTTAGGTGTTATTAGGCAGTGGTTTCCAAAGTGGGGGTCGTGACCCGTTTGGGGGGGTGGGGGGTTTCGCAGGATAATGGGGGAGGGGTCGATTGGTGCTTTTCAAAATTCCAATTCATTTTATAAAACTAATAGAACGAGCATATTTTATCCACAACCCACAGAAGATAAAAATAGTAGTTAATAGTTACATTAAAACAAACAGCATACATCATATTAAAGACCCAGGCTGCATCCGAAACCGCATACTTCCATACTATATTGACCTTATTCTCCGCCGACGAGTGGGCGCTGCCATTTGAATCTTTTTGGCTCGAGACTTCCGGTCTCATTCACTTCCATTCATTTTTTGACGTTAAAAACTGCTCATTACGCTGCTTGATGTTGCAATTTGATATTTTCTTGTTATATTATTCTACTTGGTCTGTATAGTCATGCAAACATTTGTTTGTAGAGCAAGTAGTTTGACCGTTTTCTGCCGTTTATTATTCCTAGTCATTTCTCCCATAGGCGACTGAATCGGAAGTTCTAAGACAATCGCGAAAAAGTAGAAAATTATGATAAGGAAATATCAGTTTGCAACATAAAGCAGCGTAACGAGCAGTTTTTAACGTCTAAAAATGAATGGAAGTAAATGAGACCGGAAGTCTCAAGCCAAAAAGATTCAATTGGCTGCGCCGGCACGTCTGCAAAGAATAAGGTGAATATGTATATGAAATTGAAAAGTGTGATGCTTTGATACATATATTATTTAACTTTTCTTTTTTTTAGATTAATTATATTTGCTTACTAATGAATGTTATGTTTACGTTTAATTTATATTGTCTTTCCATTACGATTTTAATTAGACATTAATAAATGATATGACAAATGTCTTTCACTCGACTTAAAAAGTTCCTTTCACTTATTTTAACAAGTTTATCAGGTTTCAACTACAAGTTATGCGAAGTTTACCTTCATATTTTAGTCAGTTTGATTAATGTAAGTTCAAATGACTAAAAAAAGTTTATTTGATTCAACTAAATAGTGTAATATTGACTCAAGTAATCTCATTCCTATTGAGTTTCTCATTCAGTAATTAAATTACTTTTCAAACATAGTTCTTAACAAGTGATCTGAATACAGTTGTAATGATGCAATTAATTTTACGAAGTAACAAAACCCGCCTGGCATTAGTAAACAGAGCCCCTCCTCACCTTGTCTGATCGTGAAACATGCCGATTATCTCTTTTGATAGTATATCTGCTAGGTTTGCTTCTTCCTTCTACAGCCAGCTCAACTTCCAGGTTGAAGTTTTGGCTGTCCTTCACCTGTGTACGGTACTCCGCCACGGCCTGGAACACCATGATGGTTGCCTAGAAAGCAAGAAAGATTTTAGTGCATTACTAATGAGACTCTAGTGTAAAGTGTTGCATATTGTACAGTACAGTGCTTTTATCATCCTTTTTGCAATTTGTTTAACCACTTAAACTCTGCGGACCCGGTACCGGGTCTGTGACCTCATCGACTTTCGCTTTCAGATTTAAAGGGCTAGCGTTGCACCAGACCCCCGTAAGTGGTGTCGTTTGAAAGTGTAGAATCTATATTTTATGCACATATGCATCACTTTGGTTTTTATTCTACTGCATAAAAGTTATTTACACTTAAATACACAGTTTTTTGGATACCCGAGCTAGGTATTTTACATTGGTTCATTTTCATATTTTTTTATATGACACATGTACAAGTTATAGCTCAAATGAAAGCTCTTGCTGGTGCTCATACAGTTCTAGCAGTCTTTTTACTGAATTATATTCATATGCCAAACAGTTGCCTAATGAATCGCCGTGTTTCCATGGTGCAGAAATGTAAAAAATACATTCATGATCACTAAGCAGCCCCAGATAGCACAGACAGCTGTCATCTCTGACCTTATGCTGTGCCCTTCAGGGCCATTCTCCTCTGTTTTTGAGGTGATGTGCATAAGTAATCCTTTTATATGTCTGACGTGCTCCAAACACAGTGAATTATGTTTGATCAAACAAAAGAATAGTGAAATATGAAAACAATGATCGATCCATGTGGTTTGTACAGCACCTCTCATCAGTTGGAATACAATAACTTTTGCATAGATTATGGTGGAGACCTTTTTCTTTTTTCCTATGATTACAGACATGTGCAGGAACCACCAAAATTAATTACAGCACGCTAGACCACACAGAACCTAAAAGGTGCACTTTCAAATTTGAGTTTCTAAAAAAAAAATACAAAAAGCGCCTCTTTTTTTTAGGTGTTTATTATAACACAGACAGCATATAAAGTTATTTTAAACACTTTCAATAGTGTTTTATGGAAATTCAAAGGGTTTTCTTTCAAATGATACCAAATTTTTGCATTTACACCTCTGCATGTGGATTTGGGAAGCTTTTAAATTTGGGTAGGCAAAATCCAGGCGGAAATCCCCCAATAGCAGCAGAGTTTAACTGGTTAAAACACTTAGAATGAACATGTATATACATTATAGACCATTTTGAGGAGTGTAAACAAAAACATTAGTCCCAACATATTTCCTGTATTACATTTTTAATTTCTCAAGCTTCCGAGAATCCAAAAAGAGCCCCATATTAAATTACGGTATGATAGCTGTTTTAACGTTATGTTAATGTTGAATAACCTCTTGTTACAGTTATGAAATTGTTTGATAACAAGCAGGAAATGTTTATGGCACAATGACATGACCACACTGATATAGTCTATAGCAATGCACAAACTATTTTATGGTTATTATACTCGTTGAAATAATCTGGTAATAATACCATATATTGTGATAAAAAACTTCAACAATTATTCACAACAAATAAACCTGATACTAGAAGCCTGTGTTTGTGTACCTGTGTGGTGCCAGATCCTCCATAGGAATAATGCTGACTGCCCAGCCAGTGTACGGCCTCTCCGGCTGCATTGAAGTCTCTGGCCTTCACGAGCGCCAGCACAGCATAGGATGTGGCCTCCCGTGTGTGATACTGCTGTCCGGGGACATTCCAGTATGTACCGGCTGTTCAGAACACAAAGTTGGAGTTTTACATTTTGGATGGTTGCAATTTGTTCGAAGCTCAACGCTTTTGATGACTTGTTAAACCTGGGACACACCAAGCTAACGTCAAAGGGCTAGTGGCATTAAAGGGATAGTACCTTCTAATTGTTTCAAACCTTGACATTGAACACAAAATTCAACCCTGAGCACAAAAGATTTGTTACAAACTGATTTTTGTTGAATAATATTGAAGATGGATTGTGTGCAAACTGTGATGCATGGTGTCTGTGTCCTCTCTTGACTTTGGTATTGAGCCTGATATTGTCCAATGGCCAAGCGTAGGCTTGGTTTTTCTATGACTTTACTGACCTTCTCCTTTGGTGGAAAATTTCATCAAGACGGCTTTATTGAGTTTGTCTGCACCGGCCATGGCGTAGGACGTCAACGCAACAGCATAAGGATTAGTCAATTTATTAAGTTTGCCCTCCAAGAAAGAAACAGCCTTCCTTATGCTTTCAGGCAGACTCTATAAAACGAAATAATCTAGTTATTTTTTTATGTTTTTTTTTTCCCAAACAAATTGTCAGAAAAGGTGTACTCACGCCAACTATTGCACCACAGAGCTCTCTCCCTTCTTGCATAGCAATCGTGACAAAGGCTGTCAGAGAGGCTTCTGCATCTCTCCCCTGTACATCGCCCTGAAATACAGAACAATCAGTCAATTTAACAAATCAATGAATATTAAAATTCATGCTGGACTAAAATGTCTTTTGCATCGTCTTGCAAGTCCCACATGAACCTTTTTATAAATTTGCAAAACTATTCCCATTGCCAGAAGAAACTTTGAGTACAGAACTCCAGATGCGATAGTTTTGCAAGAGAATGCAGTGCTTAAAACGTTTTGCAAGTTACTGAGTGTGCAAACAATTTTCTCCATCCCAATGAAAGAAACTTTTTTCCAAATAACTACTTCTAGAGGAAGCAGTTTCCTCTCATCAGGTTTGCAGCAGAGCCTTGAGCATTGCTTGGATCAACTCAAACATCTTTTCAGGCAAGTTAAAAAAAATATTACTTGATTTATTTTTGTTATTATTTACAGTATTTAATTTGACTGTGGTTTTATTCATGTCCTGTATGAACAGATGTTTCCAGAAGCTAAGGCAAGGCACATTTCATACACAGTGGCAATTCAAAGTGCTTAACATAGACAAGAATAAAAGAAACAAGTAAAATAAAAATAAAAACAAATGCTAAAAATGAGTAAAAAAAAGCATAAAAACAGGTAAAATGTGATATAAAAGAATGAAGAAGAAGAGAAAAACATAATAGTGAGATCTGTCGGACGCAGCACAGTGCTCATTCAGTAAAGGCACAGCTAAACAGATGTGTTTTCAGTCTTGATTTGAATGTGCCTTATGTTGGAGCACATCTGATCATTTCTGGAAGCTGATTCCAGCAGCGGGGGGCGCTGTTAGTGGCTGAAAGCCGATTCACCCTGCTTTGACTGAACTCTTGGAACTTCTAGTTTATATGATCCTAAAGATCTGAGTGATCTGTTGGGTTTGTATTCAGTGAGCATATCTGTAATGTATTGAGGTCCTAGGTCATTTAGTGATTTATAGACAAGTGATAATACTTTAAAGTCTATTCTGAATGTAACTGGCAGCCAGTGTAAAGACCTGAGGACAGGTGTGATGTGCTCTGATTTTCTGGTTCTGGTCAGAATTCTGGCCGCAGCGTTCTGGATGAGCTGCAACTGTCTGACTGTCTTTTTAGGAAGGCCAGTGAGGAGTCCATTACAGTAATCCACCCTGCTGCTGATAAAAGCATGAACAAGTTTCTTTAAATCTTCACTAGAAACAAAGCATCTGATTCTTGCTATGTTTTTGAGATGATAGTATGCTGATTTAATGACTGCTTTGACATGACTACTGAAACTCAGATCTGACTCCAGAGTCACACCAAGATTCTTGACCTTAATTTTTGTTGTTTGACCCTAAAAGCCAAGGTACGCATTCACCTTGAGAACCTCATCTCTGTTCCCAAACGCAATGACTTCAGTTTTCTCTTTGTTTAACTGAAGAAAGTTTTTGCACATCCTAAATGTACTATTCAGATGTGGCAAGTCTTTAAACCTTTATTCCTGTTTTCCTCCACAGATTAGTATTATTAGATCAGCCATAGTGACAACTTACCACCATCTCTCCATGCACAACAGCTGCTTTCTCCTCAAAAGAGCCATCGGGCAGTTGTCTGTTGAGAACCAGCCACTTGAGGGCGCTGCAGAGCACTTGTTCCTCTATAGTGATAAGGTCATTGGCCATGGCGAAGATTTTGGCTACATATGCCGTCAGCCTTTAACAAACAGAAACAAACGAAAATTAGTAACAAGTAATAACTTACTACTAATAATCATAGGAATACAAAATACTAAAATATGACAGTAGTGACTCAGAATAACAATGAATAAATAAAGAGGAAAATATTCCACCATGTACTGCTCGGTCTGTCTATCCAGGCGGCGTAGGATCCATCTGGTTTGCGGTAGGCCTGCTGCCGGTTATAACCTTAATACAATCAAGTATTAAAAAAAGGCTCTGCATTTTGTTCTAGTTCTTATGTTATGCCAGTAGCCTGTATATATATTGTATCCTGCTGACCTGTTTTAATGTGGCCAATGGCTTCATCACGGCGCTTCATGCCTATTGCCTCCCACTGATTGGTGCTGTCCAGATAATGAGTGGCGATGACTGGTAAAGTCATGAAGATCATGTTCTGCTCTCCACATCCGTGAGGCTGGACAATAAGTTGACCCATGAAGCTTCCACTGATGGCCTGCTCCACAGTCTGGCTGATCTCTTCACCTGGAGAAAAGGAATCTGTTATGTTGGGGATAAAGAACATCCAGGAGGTTGTTATCACAGAATAAAGCCCAACAGGTTTATCGGCAGCCCAATATGCGAAGCAGATCACTGTTGTATAATACTGAAGGGCTTTATTCTGCAATAACAACCATCTTGGAATTGCTTTATACCACTTATAAGATCACAAAACATACAAACTAGACACAAAACATTGTTCTGAATCGTATTAGTGAATTAATTTTGTAATTAAATGCCATGCTGACAGAATTGAATCCAGCTGGTGCACCATACAATAACCTGTGCAGTTTTCTGTTACTAGATGGCATCAAACAGTCAGAAACCACAGTGTGGCGGGGGCGGGGCTATGGTGCTGGGGCGATCGGTAAGTGAAGAGCTGGAGGGTTGAGGGGGCGGCAGGCCAGAGTCACATGGCAGGCCAGATTGACTGTCAGGACACTGGGAAATGTCCCGGTGCTACCTATGGCCAGTTCGTCTCAGGATGTAAGTATAAGGATGTGGGCGTATTTATTGACGGTCAAGGTGATTGAAAGTTCCTGGATGAGTCTGTGTTATTTAGCGGTTGTTAACTGGCAAAAACCAATACCTTGGAATGTCGAAATTGACCAATCAGAATCGAGTATTCCAGACAGCCCTTTCTTGATCTCTGTAACACTGTGAGGGTTTTGAACTTTCAGTTCAAGCTGTACATGGGGGCCAAGCCCCCATTTGCTATCATTCCGAGAAGATCAGAAGTATTGAAGAAACACGTGATTAAATGTATACATCCATGTCACGTCAGACTTTTTGTCATTACAGCAATATAGGACAAGCGACATGTTTATTTATTTCATTATTTCATTCATTTTTTAATGAACCGCCAACTTATCCAGCACATTTTTTACGCAGTGGAAGCCCTTTCAGCTGCAACCCATTTCTGGGAAACATTAGCTGCGTCCCAAATGGCACACTATACACTATGCACTCATGCACTATGTACTTATGCACTTACACACTCAACAGGATAGTATATGTATGTAGTGTTGTCCCAAATGGAGCATTAATGTTTTTTTTACTAAGCAGAAATTCAAACCGTTTCCCTGATGACGTTTGACGGTTGCCAAATCAGTGAAATAAACAACCGAATTATCAGATAATACCTGCCGTGAGTATTGCCGCATTCACCATCGGGAGGCGCTATAATCACTCTCGTAGGAGAATTTTGCTTTCACCATCCAAAATAAATAAAGTTATCCAACATGTGCACTCGATAGCTCCACCCCTTCCGCTACGTAAGCAAACCTGCGGTCGTTGAGTGCGTGAAGTGTCCATCATTACACACTTCGTTTTAGCAGCTGAATGAGTGCATCATCCGGGTAATTAAAGTGCACTAATTATTTTTAGAGTTTTCAGTGTGAACACACTACTTACACTATTCATACTACAAAATGACGTAGAATAGTGCACAAGTATGCGATTTGGGACGCAGCTATTCACACACACACTCATACACTACGGACAATTTAGCCTACCCAATTCACCTGCACCGCATGTCTTTGGACTGTGGGGGAAACCGGAGCACCCGGAGGAAACCCACGCGAATGCAGGGAGAACATGCAAACTCCACACAGAAAGGATCGACCCAGCGACCTTCTTGCTGTGAGGCGACAGCACTACCTACTGCGCCACTGCCTCGCCTGTTTATTTATTACTATTATTTTGTGATAATTTTCGGTTTCTGCAATATCTGGGTTAGGAAAACGTGATGCAGTTCCATCAAAGGCAGTGCAGCACGTGACAGACAGCATTCACACAATATCTAGATTATGAACATATACTTTAAATATTGAAGTGAAATGAGCCTTGTCAAGTATGGATTAACCCATGGTCAAAATTGGTCCTCTGCTTTTGACCCATCCAAATGCATACACACATTTGAGTGAGGAGTGAGAACTACCGGAGTGAGCATACACCTGCAACTAATGCTATATATAGAATACAGTCAAAATAATCACTACACATTCACAAAACATATATTCCAATTACTTACCAGTAATCGAAATGTGTGTGTGAGCAGGAGTGCCTGGAACCCGGTCAGCTGGGATATCAGCTCTAACAATTATAGGACTATCCCCTGTTCAGTTTTCAAATGAAAACCAGAAAAGATGGAGAAAGAGTTATAAATCATGTCTCTGGACGCTGTTGTATTGTATTGAACAAGAAAGTGGTAGCCATTGTGCTCTCTTCGCTAGCTATGTTTCCATCCAAAAATGCGAATGAACTTTATGCGCAAAACTGGATGATCACATTAAAGATGTGCGAATAAAGCAGCGTTTCCATCCAATGAGTCGAAGCTAACAAAATTGTCACTTCCTGATAAACTGCTACCAAATATCAACAGTAAAAACGAAATTAATGTAATAGTATCGATTGTTATTGAGTAATTGTTACGGAGATTATTGAAGTAGTAGTTCATTTAGTAGTAGATGTCATTGGTATAGTAGTAGCAGAAGTAGTAATGGTGCGGTTGTTACAGTAGTAGTAGTAGTCGTTGGTGTAGTAATATCAGTAGTGGATGTTGTTGATGTAGATGTAGTAGAAGTGATTGTGGTGGTAGTAGTAGCAGTAGACGTTGTTGTATTAGTTGTAGCAAACGCTATAGTAGTATCAGTAGTGGTAGTCGTTGTAGTAGTGTCAGTATTAGTAGACATTGTAGTAGTAGTAGTCGTGGTTGTGGCTGTAGTAGAAGCAGTAGTAGTAGTTGTAATATAAGTAACTTTCTGTAGTAGTAGTTGGTGTAGCACTTGTGATTTATTATTATTGTTGTCAGTTATTACTGTTGTCCTTTCTTTCTTTTTACTCTCATTTTTACTATCATACATTAATAAGCATTGTTGTTACTCCCTACCTCTGACTGGTTTCTTTCTATACAGTATGTTTTATCTATAAGCCCCTTTCACACAGTGATACCGGTGAATATCCGGAAAATTTCCGGAACGACTTTACCGGTATATTCAAAAAAGCGCTGTTCACACAGGCAAGGACGTTACAGAAATTTTCCGGAGAAGAGCATTCTCACATCCATTCCAAAATACCGATAAATTCTGACATCATTCACCACAAATGAGCTTTAAACGGCTGCGCTTGTATTTGTAAACATTTGACTAAATTACAAACTCTGTGGATGATCAATATTGTGAGCAACTTTCGCAGGATCACTTTCGCATGTCGAGATGTTCATAATATGTGCGTGTGCAGGCGCTCACAGGCTGTTTCACAGGCACACGCAAAGCTTGAAGGTAAACAAACAACGGCTTATCATAAGCATCTCATCGATGATTATTTACACAGTTGGCATTAAGAAGAACATATAAACGTGATCTGACTAACTTCTAGCAGCTAAATGTGTCTGGAAAAATATTCAAAGGCTTTTATTCTCATAGACCGCGCGGACGTAAATGCGTCTGACTGTTGTGATTGGCTAAAGCAGACATCTCACGTCAGCACGTTCTAGACGTGCACGCGCTTATTACGGGAATCTTCCTTCTGCATTCACACAGCGCAGCATTCCAGCAAATTGCCGGTAATGTTACAACTTCTCTTTCCGGAAAATAGCCAGAACGAATTTACCGGTATTTTCAAAAAGGACCTGTTCACACATACAACCTTTCCGGAAAATTGCCGGTAATTTTCCGGAAAGGTCTGTATGTGTGAAAGGGGCTTATATCTGTGACTCTTGCTTCATTTATTGACTGTTATTGTTCCTTATGTATGTACTCTGACCGGTCCACCAAGTTACCTTTACATGCATAAACACACTCACACGTGCACACTCACGCACATACCAGTACCTGACTATATTGTTGTTGTTTTTGTTTTGTTTTTGTTTCGTTGCTTTGTATTTGTTATTTGTTGATGTTTTCTTGTATTTGTATGATTTTTGCATATTCTAATAAATAAAAAATAAAATAAAATAAAAAAACAGTAAAAACGAAATTTGCTGCGATAACAGAAGCTGCGTCAATTTTTTTTTCATCTAATAAATAACTTGCACCTCAAAAAGCAATCCTGACATGCAGTGAATGCGCGGTGGCGTTTGAAGGTGTCAGACGCGGAGCACAGGCGCTCTTGATTCTGGAGGTCATTAATAATATAATAACACTAATACTGAAACGGTAAGGCGTTTTATAATGACCAAAACAACATTACTGATGTTTTACAGTGTGCTCAGCCTGCTGGTTTGTCCATTCACACACATTTTTATCATTACATGATCTCTTTTATCAAAATCACATGACCTTTTTTAAATGCACATGCTAGAGTTTGTGCGGTAAAAGTGTTTCCATCGTAGTTTATGCGCATCTTTCCTTATCAAACTAAAAGTTTATCCTACTCAGTTATGCGCACAAGTTTTTTTAATGCGCATTTTCAAAATTTATGCGCATCATGATGTTTTCATAAACCATTTTTTTTAATGCGCATATGCAAAATGTGCATAAAAATAGGTGAATGGAAACATAGCTACTGACTGGAACTACAGTGTTTCAGAGATGTTTCTGACATAAATAGCAGAGAAGAAAAATTATAATAATCCATCTTCGTTTCCATGGTTGACATTAAATCTCACCGTTTTTAACAGGATTGAGCTCTACATTTGGCCTCTGCAGTGGAAACAGCACACCCTCAGACTGAAAGAGAGAGACAGAGCGTGAGTGAGCCTCTACCATGAGAACTAAAAGTTGTGCTCTAGTTCAGGGGTTCCCAAACTTATTAGCTTGCGACCCCCAAAATAACAATGCTAGTGACTCGCGACCCCCAATATCCTCTGAGGTGGTTATATATACAGAAACCTTGCATGCAATAGCGCACACACACCAATAGACCCAAGTTTATTCTTAGTTTAATCTTTTTTTAATGTAAATCAGAGCTGTAAATGTGCCAGAAAGTTTAACCTGATGTTATAAAATCAATCTGCTGCATCTGACGCCATTGGTGTGTCTTTGAAATGATGTAATTACACCAGGGGTCGCAATCCAATAGAACTAGTAACTATAAGCTACTGTAGTAACTATATATTATATATTAAATATAAACAACAATTTTTCTCTTCAGTAGTTTGATAAAATATGGTAATTCTTATGGTTTAATATAAATAACTAGATTTTTGGAAATCACCCTTCATTGTCCCGCGACCCCTTGGGGGGTCCCGACCCCCACTTTGAGAACCACTGCTCTAGTTTATCTGTGACAAACGTCTTGTGATTATTATGCGAGTGACCGAATGAAATGAAAAGTGACGTACCACCACCTTCAGGCCCTTTCTCACTCCATCAGTGTACACAGCATCATACGCCGCAGCTTTCACCTCAATCATGTGATTGCCCAGTGTCATAGGAATGATCACATATGGAACCGATAAACTGGATTCTTTTGGGATAGTGACTGTTGTTCTGTATTTTCCTTTCTTACTGGCAAGACTGCAAACATCCGCTGACTCCATGAACTCCACACGCACCTGGAGAAAATGAAAAAAAAACTTCAACATCTAGAGGAATCATCCTCCAAAATGAAAGCATGCTAACTGAACATGAAATGTGTGATGATGGAGGGCGTTGGTGTTTTCGTTTATTGGACAGTATCTTACACTAATCTTTATTTTGAGTCACAAGCAACTCTGAAACCCTTAATAACTATTTTTCATGCTTCCACAAAGTATGCAAAGTGAACATCATTGACATTTTTTGGCCCCATACGAATTTTCAACATGAGTTTTTTTGCATGGAAGTCACAATTGACTGCTGCTTTATATATGACTTGACCGCAAGTTTACTTGGGTGCATGCAACAAATATGAAGACATTGAATTTGCTTTGAGTGCGTGCAACCTCTTATCAGCTGGAGGTGTGGACAGGCTTTTTTTGTAACTTCTAAAGATGCATGACTTGAAGTTGAATCTGGCTGACCTATATGAATTTGCATGTGCAGCATCTTTAGAAATCCTAAATAACTGCCCAATGTGAAGTCCTTACATTTTTTTAAGCTTTGAGGAACAACAATGCATATTTTTTGAGCACAGGTTCTCCAAGGCTTTTTAAGTAAATAGTATTTTTAGAAGGTTTTGCATTGACCTTGGATATTCAAAATGTAGCCTAAATTACTCATTTAACTGCACTAAAAGCACATTTTCATAAGTGTCTTCCACAATGATCCACAGCCTTTTCATTTTATATACACTCACTGGCCACTTTATCAGGTACACCTTAATAGTACCGGGTTGGACCCCTTTCGCCTTCAGAACTGCCTTAATCCTTCGACGCCTAGAGTCAACAAGGTACTGGAAATACTCCTCAGAGATTTTGCTCCATATTGACATGATAGCATCACGCAGTTGCTGCAGATTTGTCGGCAGCACATCCATGATGCCAATGTCCCGCTCCACCACATCCCAAATGTGCTCTACTGGATTGAGATCTGGTGACTGTGGAGGCCGTTTGAGTACAGTGAACTCATTGTCATTTTCAAGAAACCAGTCTGAAATGATTCTTGTTTTATGACAAGGCTCATTGTCCTGCTGGAAGTAGCCCTCAGAAGATAGGTGCACTGTGGTCATGAAGGGATGGACATGGTCAGCAGCAATACTCAGGTAGGCTGTGGTGTTGACTTGATGCTCAGTTGGAACTAATGGGCCCAAAGTGTGCCAAAGAAAATATCCCCCACACCATTACACCACCAGCCTGAACCGCTGATACGAGGCAGGATGGATCCATGCATTCATGTTGTTGACGCCAAATTGTGACCCGACCATCCGAATGTCTCAGCAGAAATGGAGACTCATCAGAGCAGGCAATGTTTCTCCAATCTTCTATTGTCCAGTTTTGGTGAGTCTGTGTGAATTGTAGCCTCAGTTTCCTGTTCTTAGCTGACAGGAGCGGCACCCGGTGTGCTCTTCTGCTGCTGTAGCCCATCCGCCTCAAGGTTGGACGTGTTGTGTGTTCAGAGATGCTCTTCTGCAGACCTCGGTTGTAACGAGTGCTTATTTGAGTTACTGTTGCCTTTCTATCAGCTGGAACCAGTTTGGCCATTCTCCTCTGACCTTTCATCAACAAGGCATTTGCACCCACAGAACTGCCGCTCACTGGATATTTCCTCTTATTCAGACTATTCTACATTTACATTTACATTTAGTCATTTAGCAGACGCTTTTATCCAAAGCGACTTACAAATGAAGTCGTAAACCCTAAAGATGGTTGTGTCTGAAAATCTCAGTAGATCAGCAGTTTCTGAAATACTCAGACCAGCCCGTCTGGTACTAACAACCATGCCACGTTTAAAATCTCTTAAATCCCCTTTCTTCTCCATTCTGATGCTCGCTTTGAACTGCAGCAGATCATCTTGACCATGTCTACTTGCCTAAATGCATTGAGTTGCTGCCGTGTGATTGGCTGATTGGAAATTTGCATTATCGAGCAGTTGGACAGGTGTACCTAATAAAGTTTATCATGATCGAGTTTATCACCCCTGGTTCATGTTTTAGTGACAAAATCAGATTTACCTTTCGCTTGTCTGGAGTGTAGTTGTGAATAATGGCCTTGATTTCCAGTTGTTCGCCTCGTACAGCCGAGTAAGGCATCTTGAGGTCAATGAAAAGACTCTTAAAAACAACGATCTCCTCAGGTTCTGCCACACAGATGCCTTTAAGGAGTAATACAGGCATTCAGAATGTTTTAAAGCAGACTTGCAACAATGAAGTTTTTATGTAACAACAGACCAACAGTAACTGTGGTTTACAGCTTCACCGTACCCAGTGTTGGTGACATACTGACAGCCAAGACTTGCCAGGTGGTTATAGAGTCTTTCAGGTACATGGCTTTCTCCATGGCTGAGGCTGGACTGAATTCAGAGAAAATAGCATGTCATTTCAGAATCAGAAATGTCATTTCTAGCAGCTAATAATAATCATTCCAATGGGGATCAGTGAGATCAAAAATCTGCAACTCACCAGTTATCGCACAGATCAATCTCCTCCCACAGCCAGCTTTCTGGGAACTGTGTACGTGACACGATCTCTTCAGAGTCTGTATAATAGTCGTCATCATCATCACCTGTTGTGGCAGATAAGAAGCACACCAGTTCATCAAATCAAGTAAATATTGACCTTATTTTAAAATGCGGAAGTGCGCCTGTTTTTCGCGATTGTCTTAAAACTTCTGATTCAGTCGCCTCTGGGAGAAATGACTAGGAATAATAAACAGCAGAAAATGGTCAAACTACTTGCTCTACAAACAAATGTTTGCATGACTATACAGACAAAGTAGAAAAAATATAATAAGAAAATATCAAATTGCAACATCAAGCAGCATAATAAGCAGTTTTAACCGGAAGTCTCGAGCCAAAAAGATTCAAATGCCAGCGTCCGCTCGTCGGCAGGGAATAAGGCGAATAATCAGTATTCTTTCCTATGAATATTCACTTTCATTGTCCCAATGTACAATTCTTTTGAGCATTTGACCTTTTAACCCCAAAAAACATCCCAATTTAGAATTGACTATTTTCTGAGCAGTTTTTGACTCCTATCGCCAGAACGATTGAATGAGTGTGGCTGATTGTAGACTCAATATTAAGTGAAGTTTATTCATAAACTAATTTCGAGAGGATCACGTGCTTATGATTTATCACGGCCAGTCTCGCATTTGCTAATCACTAATCTTCCAATCATATGAGCCCTAAGCCACTATAAATAGCCACAGTTTTCAGTTCACTTTATCTTCGTTTGGAAGAAACCCCCCTCCTCCCCTATTCTCCTCCTTTACCTGTGATTGGGCGGCACGGCGGCCCAGTGGTTAGCACTGCGAGCCACACAGCAAGAATACTGCCGGCCCTAGTTCCATAGGACCGGTGGGTGTTTCTGTGAGGAGTTTGTATGTCCTCCCCGTGTCCGCGTGGGTTTTCCCCGGGTTCTCCTGTTTCCTCCCACCATCCAAAGACATTCAACATGCATAACAATCAAGCTTGTCTAATCCCTTACGTTCCCTTAGCTACAGCAGCAGGGGAGTTCTGAGATCCACCGAGCTCGGGCTCCCTTCTTGCTCTGCCAACGGGAGGAAGCCCCGGGCTCGAGGAGCCCTTGAGCTCGGGGCTCTCTCCCGGGACAGCATGCCAAATAAGCTTTGTAAATCATCAGCTAAGTGTGAACTCTTGAAACACCCGCAGCTGTGATTGGCTGAAAGATTTGCATATTACCAGAGCTAAACAGACAGTGAAGTAAAAGTGGAGCTTCTTTGGAGGCGGGGCTTATCTACCTTATTACATCATCACCAGAAGCTGTGGTTGAGTCAGACTGCCTTAAATATAAGCTGATTTTAGAGGGAACACAAACTTGCAGGGTGTTTTTATAGCCATATAAGCTCTTATATGACAAAAGAGCAGAATAGCTTGGCTTTCTCAGTTCATGACCCCTTTAATAAATTCAGGAAAACACTGTGTCAAAGGTCAAAACAGCATTATGTATTGCTTAAACTTTGCCTAAACATTAAATAATTACAATTATACAGTTAAAATAATAATATGTTTATTTTTACAGGGATATCTTCTGACATTGCTCAAGGACAAAGAAATCGAATGTACTCACTGCGAGCCAGAATCATCTCCTCCTCTTCGGTCTTTATGTTTTTGCGCTTTTTCATCTCATCGCAGCAGTGCAGGAAGGCCTTGACACACTCTGGTCCATCTCCAATATACGTGGCTCTGCGTTCACATGTGTAGCCCAGCTTATTATCCTTCATCCCATCAATGCAGCACTGTCTCTGTCCATCAGCGTACTGACCAGCTGAAAAGACAATGAGGTAAGTACAAGAACACGCTGAACAACTGATAAGATCAAAATTCCTCTAAAATCTTAAGAAATCCAAAAAGGTTATTTCAGAATTTGAATTAAATGCCAGTAGTCCAGCTTCTCACCCAGTGTTGCCGTGATTGTGCGAAGATTCTCAGATTCTCTTCTTCTTCTTCTTCTCTTTGGAGGGTCAGGACACTCGGGGTCTAGAGGACAAGTCATCAAAGACACTTAGGGAATTGCATAATTACATTGCTGCTCAGTAAATAAAACCAAGATCGCTTTGAGGCAAGTCGTTAGGACACCATCTTTGAAATTTGGTTCCTGTTTTTGAATGAAGATTTCCCAAGCTTATGATTAAATATCATATTCAGAATCACCAATGAAATTTAAAGCATTTGTATCTTAAGTGAAGTTTATCTCTAAACTAATTTCGAGAGGATCTCGTGCTTATGATTGCTTGTGGCTGCCCCCGCATTATCCAATTTATCATTCACCAATCAGACAACTCCTAAGCCACTATAAATGCCCTAGGTTTCATACCACAGTCATCTTCGTTTTGAAAAATCCCCCCTTTCACCCCTTCTCCTCCTCCTTCCCTAGATGGGTGGCACGATAGCCCAGTGGTTAGCACTGCTGCCTCACAGCAAGAACGTCTCTAGTTCTGGTCATTACCAAGCCAGCCGACGCTTCTGTGCTCAGTTTGCACGTTCTCCCCGTGCTCACGTGGGTTTCCCCCGGTTTCATCCCACCATCCAAAAACATGCAACTTAAGTTAATTGACTAATCTAAATCAAGACCATAGACATGCGCTTAGTAAATATTTATCTGTTCATTAGCTACTACAGCAGGGGAGTTCTCGAGATCTACCTGAGCTCAAACTCCCCTCTCGCCTTGCAACGTGAGGGAGCCCCGGGCTTGAGGATCTTTTTAGCTCAGGGCTCTCTCCCAGGACAGCATGCCAAACAAGCTTTAAAATAGTGAGATCAGACGGAAAAGATTGTATACAGATTAAAAATCCAGTGAACATTTGTTTTCAAGTGTGGTTGGTTGGTTTAAAAGTAAAGCTTTTGGTCGGCGCCAGTGGTGTAGTGGTTAGTGCGTCAACACCAAGCGGCAACCTCCCGCTCTCTCTCAGGAAGCCAATACGGAAGTAACTAAAACTGCAATTCATCCGAAATTCCGCTAGTCCTGGCCGCTCCTGGCTCCAAAACAGAGCAAATTTCAATTGAGCCCACTGTTAGAATGGCCAACTTTACAGCAGAAAAAAAGGTGTTTACAGCCTGGTACAAAAAAAGATTTAGGTTAATACAGCTAATATTACCCTTCATGACAACTGTGAGGGGGTGAATTTTTTTAGAACTCATCCGTTTCCTTTATATTAAGTTATATTAAGTTTGCATAATTAAGGGCGTGGCCACTTGAGTGACAGCTAGGTCTCGTTGGTCGGCGTCACGTCACCTCAGCTAAATCCTGCAGATTAGCCACTGAACTCGGCATATTTATCGCATTTCTGTGTTGTTTTATGTGGCTTTACACAGTCAACTGCCTTTTGGACTTGTTTCCTACACTTATTTGATGGAATGTCATGCTGAGTGAACTTAATTGTGCTCACAAAACATTCACGTGTCCTCCGTTTCCCATGTGAGTAAAGTTATATACTTATATACCATCTCTATACATGTATTTGTTTTATTTAAGATCATTTATCGTTTATATTTATATTTAGAGCTGTAATGCACTCCAGAATCTGTCAGATTGATTAGCTGTGGGCTCTAGAACAGTCATCTGAAGTGTTGTCATACAGTGTTATGCTGGATTTCATCAATAGTCTTACATTAACTAATACAGACTATATCTGAAGTGTTTGGAAGTCATTCGCATTTTCCTCCTGTTGAAAAACGTCATAAGAACAATGTTTAGTGGCTCAATGTATTACAGCAGTGTTTTTAAAAGACTAAACACTTTATTGATATAGTGTACAACCAAGCGACAAGTGGGTCAGAATACAAACGAGTCACAGGTGATAAAGTATTAAGCGTTCTCCCAAAGTAAAGTGTGTCTGAACCAGGTCCAAGCAAACTGTCAGCAGGTGTCTGTAGCTCCGCCCACTCTCCGCCTCTTTGCCCATGTTTGGTATCCCGCCGTGGGTGTGATGACGCGCGAACAAAATGGCGATGGTTGGCCGCGCCTACTTGTGGCTTCTTTTGCGCTCTTTAGAAACCTATGGGTGACATCACGGATACTACGTCCATATATTTTACAGTCTATGGTCAACACATGCACTCCGGTGCTCGCGGCAACCTGAGTTAGATTCCGCCTCGCGGTCCTATGCCGATCCTTCCCCTCTCTCTGCTCCCCATGCTTTCCTTTCAATTCTCTACTGACCTATCAAATAAAGGTGAAAACCCCTAAAAAATAATTATAAAAAAAGCAAAGCTTTTGCTGTCGCCAATAGCCTAGTGGTTAGAGTGCTGACACACTGAGGTGTTCACATCGACCCAAGCTCGATTCCTGGCTCTTCCCCTCTCTCTGCTCCACACACTTTCCTGTCTGTAATCTCCACTATCCTGTCCAATAAAGTTGAAGACCCCGAAAAAATAATTTAAAAAAGTAAAGCTTTCAAGCTTTATGTTGATATATGTTGCCTGTTTGTGAAGCAGGTATTCTGTGAGATTCCAGCACATTTGCCGACCTCAGAGTGTTCATAACAACGATATACTTTAATAACATTGAGCCTCTCCCCAGAGAATTGTCAGTCTATAGGGATTGATGATTGGCTCCTTTACTAGAATTATCCTTTTGCACTATTTAAAACTACACAAGTTATGTGTATTCTGTAGTCTTTAATACAACTCTAGAATAATAATTCAAAACTTACTTAATCTGGTGTCGGTTCCTCCTGCAGTGTTCGACTCAAACATCAGCCCTGCATCGCTGAAAACCCCCATAACATCTCTTCCACCTCCTGCTGTACAACCGGTGTCATGCTTCTCAATGACATCCCAGATCTAGAGGCAAATATTGACAGCAGTTAAGCTTGTTTTCTGTTTGACCTGATTGTCTGATTACGTTCATGAAGACTTTTCACCTTTGTCTGAGTGAGTCTGTTCTTGTTAAGGACGTGCACAGCCTTGTCAACCACCACCAGACCAACTCTGGCTCCAGGATCTCCGCTTATTTGCAGCTTGACCTCCTCTCCCGTGTTATAGTTATTCTGCTTGTTCTTCACCTGAAGCTTGAGCTGTCATTAAAAGGAGAGAAAATGTGTCAGAAAAAAAGGTTTGGCACATCAAACATTTCTTGTGATGGTTGATCCACCTTTCCCATGCACGTGTCCTTCACATCGACCCAGACTGAATCAGACACCACCTCATTGGCTCCCACATGGTAATAAGCCACAAAGCGGAAGGACGGCACCATTTCTTTAGTCACAGGTTGGGACAGAGTGATAAGAGCTTGTCCTTGTCTCTTGAACCTGTCTATTTTTACAATCTGACCTTTACTCAAGATCTGGAAATGAAGCAGATGAAAAAGGTTAAGGCCCGTTAACATCAAACCCAATGGTCTCTATTTTGACGGTCCATGCGCAGAGCACAAAACGCAGGGCGCAAATGTTTTCAGGGCATGTCAGAAAACGTTTTTGCAAATTTAAGGACGGGAAATCTGCCTTGCGCCGTGGCGCATGGTCTAGAAGGGTTGAGTTTATTTTCTTAATGAGTTATAGGTGTGTTTTGAGAATAAACCAATTAGAGTCTCATCTCCCATTCCCTTTAAGACCCAGCTGCGACGCGCCAAGAGCGCAATCGCTATTTACAGGACGCAAAGTAAGTCTAAGTGGAAAAAACTGAGCATTTCACAAGCAAACAGTTCACAGTTTTTTAACAGAAAACTGTTAAACAGAGCATCTACTGCGTGAGAATGAGAGATAAATGATCTAATTTCACTTTCACTCTTGGATAGGGAAACCTTTACGCACAGACATCAATTAGCCTATAAATAATTAATTTTGTTTGTTAAGCGCAAAGATTTGTTTCAAAACTATTTCTAAATTCAGTTCTAATTTCCAGCAAACGAATAAATAAACAATAATGACCAAGTGTGGTCAAAATAATGAGTTATTTCCAAATACACCTGCCATGCCCCATATGGTCTAAAACCTGACAGGTGGGCAAATCTAAGCTTGTTTTTAATAAAACAAATATAAATATGGATATATTAAATAATACTGCTAATAATAATAACATTATACAAAAGCAAATTGTTATGAATGAACTGAAAAAGCCTCCCAAGATGAAGAAGACATAAAAGCAGTGATTTTTCATATTTATATAGGGTAGAAAATAATATGTTTTGTAATATTTTAATCCTTTATATTTATATTCTATATCTATTCTTATTATATCCTATATATATCCTTAATATTTACATTTGTTTCATATGTAAAGATATTTGCCTATTGCTCTCTTGTGTGTATTAAGCAGTGTGTAAGCGAGGCGCAACTCTGCGCTGGAGTTTAGACCGGGTTTGTTTTGGTCTAATGAAAAATCTATTATAGTCTCTCAAAATAGCAACGCGCCAGCTGTCTGCCTCAGAACGCCGTCCATTTTAGACCAGAACGCCTATGGGACGCACATATGAGCGCTAATGCATTTGCTATTTAAACAGCGTAGCGCAACGCCTCAAATCGACTCTTGCGCCAAGCTGAAACTACCAAAAGACTATTGCGCCGCGTCTTGCACCCCACTGGGGCGGGTGTATGATAGGGCCCAATAACTATAATGATAACGATCAAGATACTGTTCTAATATACTTTCTGATTGTTAAACAACAACAGAGTTCAGACCACAGCTATAAAGATACAGATGTAGAGTAACAATGTCATTGGGTTCACTTTCAGAATTTGTTAATAAACAATAAGGGCCCTATCATACACCCGGTGCAAGGCGCGACGCAATTGTTGTTTGCTAGTTTCAGCTCAGTGCAGGAGCCGTTTTGACGTTTTGCACCACTCTGTTTAAATAGCAAATGCATTTGCACTCATATCTGCTCCCATAGGCGCATGGTGTAAAAAAGGAGGTGTGTTGAGGCGCATTGCTATTTTAAGGAACATAAATAGTCTGTTCAGTAGATCAGATCAAATCAGGTCCATTGTCCAGCGCAGAGCGTGTTAGTTGTGCGCCTTGCTTACACATTGGTTAATACACACAGGATGTACAGCAATACACAAATATCTTTACAAATTAAAAATTAATAAATATTACACAACATATTATTTTCTAGCCTACATAAATATAAAAACCACCGCCTTCATGTCTTCTTCATTTCGGGGGGCTTTTTCAGTTTACTCATGACAATTTGCTTTTATATAATGTTATTATTAGTAGTAGTAGTATTTATTATATGCACATTTATATATATATATATTTTAAATAAGCTTAGATTTGTCACCTGTCAGGTTTTGGACCATATAGGATGTGTATTTGGATATAACTATATATATTTTTTGATTATTGTTTATTTATTCATTTGCTGGAAATTAGAACTGAATTTAGAAATAGTTTTGAAACAAATCTTTGCGCTTAACAGACTAAATTAATTATGTAAGCTAATGGATGTCTGTGCGTACAACACGTTTCCCTATCCACGAAAGTGCGCATGGATTGTCAAAATAGAGCCCTAAAACACTGACAGCCAGTCAGAGTCCATTGAAATCTAAAGGGCTCATGCATTTTAAAGCTACAGATGAGGTTGCGAAGAAGCTCTGGCTGATGTTTAATCCTCTTTTCAAAAATTATTTAATTATTAACCAAGTAAATCTTGGTTAAACCATTGGAAATAATGATAAAAATACATTGACATCATGCAAGCAAAACTGGAAAACTTTAGTATATAAATATAAATAAAAATAAATATAATAAAAAATAACAAATATAAATATAATAAATATAAAATAAAAGCACCTCAGGTAGACAGTATAGTTTCAGCATCTTTTTGTTTCCTCTATTGAAAATGCAGAGGAGAATAATCTGTGTTGTTTTAATTCCGCTTTACTGCAATTGCTTAATTAATTCTAGATTGCATGAGCTGGATTCACTGGTTCGCTGCGCTAGAAATGCAACACACTGAGGACATCTGCTGGTTACAAGGAGCTAATGAAAAAAAAAAACATAAACTAAAAATAAACTGATAGCTGGGCTGCATCCGAAACCGCCTACTACTCAGTAGGTACAGCATTTGAATTTAAACGTACTACTCGGCCGTTAGGAAAGTGCGTTCTATATAGTATGAATGTGAAAAGTATGAATGGAATACGGATTTACTACATTCGCCATTTTGTCATGGTCACGTGACTTACCTGCGTCAGTTGCGTCGCTTCACTTCTATTCATGAATTCTCTCATGGGGCATTATGGGATAGCGCAGCATGCATGGGATGCGCACTCCAGAATCTCGCCGGAAGTAGTAAATCATCCGGGTACATCTCGCATACTGATTTTCGAATTCTATGAATTCGGACATACAACTCGGCTCGCATACTGATTTTAGTGTACTATATAGTATATAAGTATGCAGTTTCGGACGCAGCCCTGATGTTCATGAGTGTGGATGCATATACATTTATTGTTATAGTTCTTGGTGTAATTGGACCTTTAAGCTTTTTGCACATTTCCAAACACAAGCTGTGGTAGAAATAAATGACTGGTGTAAATGGTACATTGGTGGTGTAGCTGAATATCAAACGATCATTACCATAAATGTGTAATCTTGATCTTTGACTCCTGGACTTTGCCCAGTGTTCAGATTGACTTTCATTTGATCACCGATCTCAAGCTCCGCAGCATCAATGCCGATGTGCAGGTAGTTTTTGGAGCCACCTTTGGGAACGTAAGCATGAGCCGTCATCTTCTTCACTGCTTGCTCTTCGTCTGTTATGTCTGGATCTTTGGTTTGTGCCTGTAATAAATATAGAAATATCACTGGGTTTTTACCCAGACGACAGATAATCGCAGCTTGTTCCACATCATTTAAGTGATGTCTTACAGTGATCTCTTGTGTTAAAACGTTTCCTTGAGTGTTGACCGTCACTTTAGCAATGCCATTGGCTTTTGTTTGACCTCTGACTCCTCCAGGATTGACCTCCACTATCACATTTTGAGCAGGCGTCTCATCAGGATTCGTTACGTAGATCTTTTATTAAAGCAGACGGAAATAACAACCTCAGTGATCTCTGTTTGTGTTTTGATCAACGTGTTCTTCAGCTTATGTTTGTAACTTTATAGTGAACAAATTCATACCGAGACATCGAAGGGCATTCCAGGTTTGAAGAATTGAGCTGTTTTCTTGAAGTTGATAGTGTATGGAGACGTCACAATACGAATTCCTCTCCTTTCTGCTTCCACCATTTCACTGCCTGAGACACACAAATACTCTCCATTAGCCGTTCGCACACACATGCACAATCACATACAGCATCTGTTGAGTCTTACCACTTTCGGTTAAAAGACTGACTGAAACATAGATTGATTGTCCAACCAGCTTGTCAATACTTTTATAGGTCTCGATCATTTGCTTGGTCAGTTCTGCAGTTCCTACTCCTTTCAAAATCTAATCAAATTGGTGAAACATAGCAACATCAGTCTACAGGACAGTAAAAACTCTTACATTTTTAAAATCAACCTCGTGTTGTTGAAGAACATTGAGGTTGATGAAAACATCTCTTACCTGAATTTTTTGCAGAGAGCCAGTAATGCCTGTTTTCGTCTCCCCGTCCATCACACCAAACATCACAAACGCATTTCCTTCCACCTGCTTTCCAAACAGGTACCTATAAAAGCACATCCGACTTTGATTCAAATATGATGATTGAAAATGGTTGAGATGACAAACAACTGCCAGTTTGAAGGATTGAAATGTATTTTAATAAATGTGGAAAATTTCTGTGACCCACAATGTTCGCATAACGTAACGAGGCAAAATAATATCGGCATAATAATATCGGCAAAATAATATATATGAAATGGACACCCCTCCCCTTCTTTATTTTGTGTGTGTGTTTTGGTTTATTTACCAATTACCATAATTTACATTTTTGTGCATATAAACGTATGACGTTATTATTTCTCTTTTAATGTTTAATGTTAATAATTGTTCTGAACAATTTTCAAACAAGAACATAAATAAAAAGTCTGTGCTGAAATTGATCAAAAACGCAATAGCAGCATTTCCCGCTTGCATTCGAAGCACGGCTGAGTGGATTATTGACCTCTGCTGATTGGCCATTGTGTTCACAAGTTCATCAGATATGACTGTGATTGGCTGCAATGGTCACCGGTTTACAACAGCGCTCACACAGACATTGGAGTGTTTGAAAGCCTCATTTATCAGTGGATCCGTCAGCATTATGGTAACTAATGCCTAGTTCAGACTGCTTGATTTTAGCCCCGATTTTGGCTCGCCGACAGGTTTTGAGAAATCGCGGACAAATGCCTGAAATCACAGGCAAATCGGTGCTCGTGCACGTGAGTGACAATCACACAGTATGAACTTTCAAAGACGCGATCTGAGAGAATCGCCGATGAGTCGCCGATGCCTGCGAGATATTTGGCGTGCTAAATATCTGGAGCTGTCGGCGATTCAAATCATGCCAGTTTGAAGGATTGAAATGTTTTTTAATAAATGTGGAAAATTTCTGTGACCCACAATGTTCGCATAACGTAACGAGGCAAAATAATAGCGGCAAAATAATAACGGCAAAATAATATATATGAAATGGACACCCCTCCCCTTCTTTATTTTGTGTGTGTGTTTTGGTTTATTTACCAATTACCATAATTTACATTTTTGTGCATATAAACGTATGACGTTATTATTTCTCTTTTAATGTTTAATGTTAATAATTGTTCTGAACTATTTTAAAACAAGAACATAAATAAAAAGTCTGTACTGAAATTGATCAAAAATGCAATAGCAGCATTTCCCGCTTGCATTCGAAGCACGGCTGAGTAGATTACTGAACTCTGCTGATTGGCCATTGTGTTCACAAGTTCATCAGATATGACTGTGATTGGCTGCAATGGTCACCGGTTTACAACAGCGCTCACACAGACATTGGAGTGTTTGAAAGCCTCATTTATCAGTGGATCCGTCAGCATTATGGTAACTAATGCCTAGTTCAGACTGCTTGATTTTAGCCTCGATTTTGGCTCGCCGACAGGTTTTGAGAAATCGCGGACAAATGCCTGAAATCACAGGCAAATCGGTGTTCGTGCACGTGAGTGACAATCACACAGTATGAACTTTCAAAGACGTGATTTGAGAGAATCGCCGATGAGTCGCCGATTGCCTGTGAGATATTTGGCATGCTGAATATCTGGAGCTGTCGGCGATTCAAATCATTCCGTGTGAATTGAGTTTTGACTGAAAATAACATCAGCGATCGCCTACAGCCAATGAGAGAGCAGCTTTCACTAGCGTGTGTGCGTGTGTATACCTGCTGCAGGCCAGCGGGAGGCTGGGGGAGAAGTTAAAAGCGCTCTTTTTCGGTTTATTTGGACCCACGAAATGGAGGAAAAACTAGTGGAGGTTTGACAGGACTCAGGAGCAACCGTGTCTGTTTGACGTTTCATACAGAAAGAAATTAGTTTATTATCAATGTTGAGGAGAAATGGCGAATTCCCTTTAAACCCAGGTGAGCAAACATGTACATGTCCCATTAAAGGCTTCTTTCTCATCATGTAGTCAACAACAAAAGATATACGACGTGTTTTTGGCTGTGAGACGTAGTTTGGACGAAGTTGTCGGCGATTCTTTCTATAGTAAAGTCATGCAATGTGAATGTCCCTGTCGCCGATCCATCTTGCAGTGTAAACAAAACAGCGACGAAACGCAAGCCCAGATAGTCATGCAGTGTGAAAACATCTGTGACACGACTACTTTGAAAATCATGCAGTCTGAACTCGGCATAAAATACAGCGAAAACACAAACTGTGGACAACTCTTAATGTTGTTTCTTAGTCTTTTAGATGATCTCAGTTGAAATAATAGTCATACCACAAGGAAAACAGAGAATTTCCACAACTTTTTAAACTCATTTTATCTTACTTGGCTTCGATGTCGACTGTCAGACTTTCATCGCCCACATAGTAGAATAATTTACTGGGTTGTAATTTCACCTCAAATGTTGGAAGCACTGAAACCAAATCCAACCAAACACACAAATAAGCAAACACACTCTTATCAGACTATTACACAACATGGTGTTGACACTCATCTCACCGTATTCTTTGACCTCAAACTCTGCAGTAAACGTCTTCTGGGGAGTGTTTGCGAATCGTGTGACGACCTTCCAGATGCCCAGACTGAAACATGCAGAACACATCCATAAACACACACTTGTCTGATCTCACAACATTAAAACTGATTGTAACAGGCACGGAACATGAATATTGTCCTAAAGTAGACACTATAAACCAACTGACTGCCATTAAGGGCCAAAGTCTTTCAATAATACACAGAAAATATCCACCATCCCCCACCGTAAAGAATTTGCATTCGTTATTATTTTAACTAATAATATTTCACTTGTCTTTTAGTGAACTTCAGGCTAAGAGAAGTTGCTGTATTATCATCACAGAACTGTGCTTTAGCATTAAACCTCGTCATAGATCTAAAAATATGAAGCTTCTTTGAATCACGAGCTTCATTCCAAACAAAAATATAAATACCTGGCAACCTCAGGGATGGCATACTTTCCAGACTTCATTCCTTTCACTGGATATACCTTGTCTGATGAAACTGTGATGTTTTGTGGATTCTGGAGAACAGAAAACAATGCGTTAATCACATTTTATTGACATTGACAAAAAAAAAATACACACACTAGACCATCACGGACTTCCTAGGTTGTCTTGTAAAAGCCTGTAGAACGTAAAGGTCCAGGGAAATTTTTGTGTCATGCAAAGAATAAACAGTTCTGTAAAATCTATAATCTCAAGCAATAAATGGCTGTAATTCACTTAAAGGGCATGTGAAGTGCTTTGAAATGTCCATTTTTTTATTCGATGTTTGACGTAATCTCAACTGAAACATGACGAGAGGGTGGGACATAGAGTAGCTCCTCCCCTTTTTAAATAAACAGCCAGTAGCGTTTTGTTTTTATCACAGCTCTGCCAATGAGAAGCATCTTGAAGGGGGCGGGGGACATGTCAGATACTAGAGAGCATTTGATTGGTCAGAATGTTTGATAAGAAACTGCCCAGCAGACACACAACGTCATAAGATTAGGTTAGATTTAGGTCACCAGCATATAAGGACAATGATCAGTTGACATCCAATAACAACATGAAATGTTGATCTGTTCATTTTCTTGTCGGCTTAGTCCCTTTATTAATCCAGGTTTGCCACCGCAGAATGAACCGCCAACTTATTCAGCAAGTTTTTTTACGCAGCGGATGCCCTTCCAGCCACAACCCATCTCTGGGAAACATCCACACACACACTCATCCACTATGGACAATTTAGCCTACCCAATTCACCTGTACCGCATGTCTTTGGACTGTGGGGGAAACCGGAGCACCCGGAGGAAACCCACGCAAACGCAGGGAGAACATGCAAACTCCACACAGAAACGCCAACTGAGCCAAGGCTCGAACCAGCGACCTTCTTGCTGTGAGGCGACAGCACTACCTGCTGCGCCACTGCTTCGTCCTGAAATGTTGATACTTTGTTGATTTTAGGTTGTGTTGGAACGTGTCCAAAATCCACCGTCAAGCCAACATCCTAAACCAACATCATATTGACGTCAAATACTGACATTTATGACATTTAGGCATAATAACCGAAATCCAAGACTGAATCTGATAGACGTCATATTGCTACCGTCCACACAACATCAAGCTGTAACATCATAAGATGTTAATATTTTGTTGTTTTAAGGTTGCGTGGAAAAGAATCCAAATCACAACATCTGTCCGAAGTTGGACATTGACGTCGGCCTGACGTTGGGTTCTGACATCAAACTGATTTTCATTTCCAAAAAAAGGCAATGTCCCCATGACGTAGAGGTACAACATCAATCTGACGTCCTGTTCCTGCTGGGTGAAGTATGACGTGAAGTGAAATCCATTCAGGCGGAAGTGTCAAGCTGCAAACTTTAGGTGTTTATATCAGTTACATCTTCTAAACGTGAACTTGTCAGCGTATAGTTCTTCAAACCTAACATACTGAAGCTAACATCTAAAAAACTGTATATTAGTTTTAGGACCTTTAATGGCCACCAGTTGCTAATAACATGTGTTTCTGTATTACATATAAAGCCACTTTAACACTGTCTGATGCTCACAAATGCTTAATATCACGAATAAATCAGTGAGTTTGTGTGTAAACTAACTGATATTTCTTACCATGATTTCCACAGTGATTCCAGTCTGACTGAGTGGTTTCAAGTTGGGCGTCAGAGACAAAGTCCTGTACTGAACTGAAGAAGAGATCAAAACAAAAGGTAAAATGCATGTCAATGAAATGATTTGTTTAGTTTTATATGTTGTGTATCAGATTACAAAAGCTTTTACCATCAATTATAGCGACAAAACATATAGGGACTATATTTAATTGCTAGTTTTTGTGCACATGCCATCTTTATGATGTCTGGGACATTATTTATGAATGCAACAATTCAAAATAATAAATGCATTATATATTGTTCATGGTAACACTTTACAATAACAGTACATGAATAATGATGTATTAAAATGTAAACTAAACATTACTTTATTATGAATTAATGATGAGTTAAGGTATGCACTAATTATGAATTAACTTTAACTACAACATGATTCACATGAGTTCATGTGTAAATAACGACTACCTTAATTACTTGTTAGTTCATGTTGTTAATTAATGTATTAATTACCACATTAGTTTATGCTTAATTTAACCATGATGAACTCATGATATGTTAATGTATAATTATGTTGTGACTTTACTTGGAGGGGCACATCATCATTAACCGATTCTTAACTACTCATGAACTCCTTATACACGTCCAACTAGAGAGTTTACACTGAATAACAATAGAGAAGTGTTCTGTCAACATCAACATGAAGAGGAGTTCATGAGTAGTTAAGCATGAGTTAATAGTGATGTGCCCCTCCAAGTAAAGTCATGACATAACTATACATTAACAGCTCATGAGTTCATGTTGGTTACATTTAGCCTAAACTTAAATGTTAATTAATACATTAATTAACAACATGTACTAACAAGTAATTAAGGTAGTCGTCATTTACACATGAACTCATGTGACTCATGTTGAACTTAAAGTTAATTCATATTTAGTGCATACCTTAACTCATCATTAATTCATAATAAAGTAATGTTTAGTTTACATATTAATACATCATTATTCATGTACTGTTATTGTAAAGTGTTACCTTGTTCATTTTTGCAAGTGTACCTGTGCTAGAAGGCGTGTAGATGGGCTTGTCAGTCTGTACAAATATATATCCAGACTGGAACGACAGCAAGACCACTTTCTCCAGAGTGTGATCCGGGAAAATAGCTTGCAGATACACATACTGCTTCTCCAGAGGATCATCGGAGAACAAGTTCTGATCATCAGGGATCTAAATATCAGAAGATTCATGTATTAGCTACATCCAAAATGAAATGCAAAGATGGCATCACTGCATTGTGATTTAGGAGCGCTCACCTTTATATCTGTGAGGATCTGGAAATTGTTTTGTGCATTCAGATTCACTGATTTGGTCAGGATCTGCTTGTCTTTCTTCGGGTGGTTTTTTACTGTGATTTTCACTTCAAAAGCATTTTTAGAGTAATCCTGCGCCTCCACAAACACGTTCTCTGATGAACCCACTCTCAGCAGATTAGGAGCCGACAGCACATATCTGAGGAGATCAAATCAGAGCGCTTGAAAACTTGCGTATTTAATAATAATAGGAAGAAGAAGAAATTAAACAGTACCAGCTAGTACTAAAACTGCAGCAGTGTCTCATTTAATATGGCAAATGTCTCATTTTGCCAGACAAAATGCTGAAATTTGAGGAAGTTGAATGTTTTTTAGCTGTTAAATTATTGTTGTTGGGTTAGGTGGCTTTATTTGTCTATATTTGAAACTTTTAATTTAGTATTCAATTTAAACTTTTATATTCATAAGTCATTTAAAGGGAACCTATTATGCAAAAATCACTTTTATTAGGGGTTAAGCATAGATGTGTGGCAACAATCAGTGAATATAGTCAGCTGCTAATGGTAACGATAAATTAATTATATTTGTTATAATCACACATGATATGAAACAGTCTGCAGAAACACTTTGATTGACATTGTCCCTTTGTACGTGTCATCCAAGGGGGAAAGCCCCGCCCACTACTAACCATTTCTCCCTTATTAGGCAAAGGATGTTAGTCTCGTTGTTTAATCCACTATGCTGACACACAGGCACTTGCAGCTCCGTCATTTTAAGACTTAATTGTTTTCATTTCAAAAGGAAATGAAAAAAAAAGCCACAATTACAAAAATTATTACTTTATTAAAAACGCTGGGTTGTCCTTGTCCATATTTGGTCCAACATTTTGTTAATACAAAGCATTTATATATATATATATATATATATATATATATATATATATATATATATATATATATATATATATATATATATATATATAATATAATATAATATAATATATACATTCATTCATTTTCTTTTGGCTTACTCCCTTTATTAATCTGGGGTCGCCACAGCAGAATGAACCACCAACTTATCTAGCATATGCATTGGATACCCTTCCAGCTACAACCAAAACACCAAAAAACACCCATACACTCTTAAGGCGACATGGCGCAGCCAACGTGTTGATGCATAGCCCTACGCCATGGCCGTCGGCGTCGCTAATGCGCTCCTCTCAAATAATGTTACTACATGTCGCAATGACGCCTAGCGCAAGCTCTGTGATTGGTCGACTTGGTAGCGCTAGGCGGGAACGAGAGCCACGCGAGCCCGATGGAGCGATTGTTTACAAGTGTGGAGTCTCCTGAAGGAGCTCCAGATGGAAAGTTTTGTTTAGTGTTTACCTCATGGTTTAAGTTGTTGCACATCTGCCGGTTCCTGCCTCAAAATGAGCGAGTTTGAGCCACTTGTACAATAAGGAAGCATTCAGAAAAAACAAAACACCAGCGAAGAAACTCGACACTTAGGAACAGAAACACCTCACTGCCAACTAGTGTTTCTGAAGTGTTAATGCAGACCAACAGAAACTTCAGGAAATGCCAACTAACCCAGCCGGGGCTCGAACTAGCGACCTTCTTGTTGTGAGGTGATTGTGCTACCCACTGTGCCACCGTAATGCCATATATATGTTTCTTTTGAGACTTTTTTTTAGTTACATTTAAATGACCAAATGGTTGGGTCTGTCCGTATATGACCCAGTGTTGAGTTAAAACAACCCAGCGTTTTTCAGAAAGACAAATGCCAGCCGCACAGTATGTTGCTCATGTAGCCTTGGTGCAGATACTAAAATTGCTAAAAACTGCACTGTATTGACCAATGACTGTAAAAAATATGGACGACGCGACAGCCCCTTTTCCCATTGAACGACTTGAGGGCAAAACGCCTGCTTGACGGGCACAAACTGTCACAAAAGACTGCTGAAATTGGAGCCTTGACATGCGCAGAAGGACTGTCTGATGGAGCCAGAGGAGGAGCCGCGAAAATGAGCGGAGTCGAGCTTCCAACCAAACGCTTTATGTAAAATCAACCACGCCCCCCGAACTTCTCAGCATGCGTTTGCTGTCATATCAACACAGATGGATGTAATAACGTTAACAAATATGAGGGTTTTATATATTCAATCGCGCCAGCTCCGGGCCGCAGCGCATAACCTACTCGCGGCATCGCGGGCTGATTCCGGCTCGCATGCGGCAGCGCCGGCTCGCACGGCCGCCGCATCTGGCTCGATTGACTCGGGCTGGAATCGGGTAGTGAGTCCAGGCATCCGGAGTAGGTCCAGCAGAGGTAGTCAGTCTGAGCTCTGAGGGGTAAGTCTCCAGCAGGCGAGAATCTAGCCGAACTGGTCCGAGTGTATTTTGCCATCTGGGTGGCTAGGCGTGTATCAGCAAACTAATAAAGCCCGAAAAAAGCCCTGACCTTAGCGAATAAACAGTGTTCCACCAGGATCATGTATGTCAGAAACTATAGTTTACAGCTGAACTCATTTTGTCATGGTAAAATAACACAGAAATCGAAAAATAACACTTCAGTCTCCTGCCGAAGCTCAGACGCGCTGCTTTGAGAAACTGTCAATCACAGCTGTCAATCACGATGACACGCCCAGCATTAAATTACTGCTAAAAACAAACTGTTTACAAAAATGAAGATCTGCACCTATTTCAGCACAATAACCAGTGCCGTAATCCACCAGAACTATCTTTCGGGACATTTTATTGCAAGTGTAATCCTTTTTTTTATTTGGGCTCAAGTCTCCTTCATTAACACGGAGGAGGCGGGCTTTATGACTTGTACTGCAGCCAGCCCCCAGGGGGCGATCTAACGGCCGAGACCTTCACTCAAACACAGGCTTGCGGCACACTTGGTATTGACCCATAGGCATTTGTAGCTCCGCCCTCCTTTGAAAAGAGCAAAATCTCATTTGAATTTAAAGCGACAGTCACCAAAACAGCACAATTACTATCAAAACCTAAAAGGGTGAGTTTCAGAGAGTTATGAAACATAAATTTTGCAGTATTTTAAGCGGAACATTAACAAATACACACTCTATGGACATCAGAGACTTATTTTACATTTCGTAAAAAGAGGCAGGAAAGATCGCCTTTAAAAGTCTCTGTATTCTATTTAAAAGGCACCTATACAGTTTTAAAAGTATTGCTTTGGCATCGCTGTTAATAAGAAACAACGCAAACAATACCCAAGTGTATTGAGAAGCGCTGGTTTAGTGGATGTGTGAAGAAAGAGTGTGTAATACTCACAGCGGGTCACACAGTGTGAGGAGAGCTGAGGAGAGAAGAACAGCAGAGAGAAACAGCAGCTTCACCATCCTGACTGTGTTTCTGTAAACCTGCAGACGCTCACATTTATACCAGCAGCGCTCACAGTCCAAACTACACTCTCTCTCTCTGTGTCTCTCTATCTCTCCCTATCTCTCATAGACTCCCCTCTTCTCATCATGCTGATTAGGCAACACATTTGGGAAAGGGAGGATCTGGGGTAATGTTTTGGACTGAATTTCCCAAATTACGCAAAATGTCCACAACAAATGACAATTGTGTTTATTAGTACACTGTTGAAATAAAAGGCTGGCTCAGCTTAAAACTGTATGGCTATTGCTATTTTTGAGTTGACTCAACTTTTAACCCAAGTACTGCTCTTGACTCAAGTCTTGATTTCAAGTCAAGTCAACTATAAAAGCTCTGCAGCAAGTTGCCTTACAATTTTTAGATGACTCAACCTCTTTTTTTTTTTTTACGGTGTCATGATGAATGCAAAAAGCTTAATAATGATCATGTACATGTCTTATTCTGTACTTTATTTTATTCCTCATGTGTTCATTCACTCTAAAAAATATACTGGGTTGTTGTAGGTAACCTAATGTTGGGTCAAATTTGGAAACCCAAAATTGGGATAATTTCATTCATTCATTCACTTTTTGGCTCAGTCCTTTTATTAATCAGGGGTTGCCTAAGTGGAATGAACCACCAATTTATCCAGCATATGTTTTACGCAGCAGATGCCCTTCCAGCTGCAACCCATCACCGGGAAACATCCATACACACACATACACGACGGACAATTTTAGCCTGACCAATTCACCTACACCATGTCTTTAGACTTGTGAGGGAGCACATGGGGGAAACCCACGCCAATACGAGGAGAACATGCAAACTCCACACAGAAGTGCCAACTGGCCCAGCCGGGGCTTGAACCAGCGACCTTCTTATAAATTCAATTAAACCCAGATATCATGGCCAAATATTGCTGTTTGCATTAGAAAAGCCTTACAAAAATGTTTACCCTCTACAAAAAATGCTGTTGTTCTAACCCATTTTTAGATTTATCCATATTTGACCCAACATTGGTTTATTACAAATCATATATTTTTTAGAGATTAATAATTTGTTTTAAGGCGGCACGGTGGCACAGTGTGTAACGCTGTCTCCTCACAGCACAATTTGGTTTGTAATAATCCAATGTTGGGTCAAATATGGACAAATCTAAAAACACAGTGTTTGTCTGGGTTGTTTTTGTCCATACTTGCCACAACATTGTGTTATTACAAAGCATGATTTTTAAAGATGTTAATATTTTTTTCACCTGGTGCTTGTGAGACTATTTCTTTCAGTTGGGTTTAAATGGCACTTTTTATCCTAAAGCTTGCTTCTGTCCATATACAGTTTAACCCAGTGTTGAGTTTAAACAACCCAGCATTTTTATAGTGTTGACAAATGGCAAGTGCCCAGTATGTTGTTCATGTAACATTGGTGCAATTATAAAAATGCCAAAAAACTGTCTTAACAGAATTGTGAGTTAAATAAAGACTAATAAAGAGTTAAGAGGAGTTAATGCCAGTGCAGTTCACATTTCCCGTAAATCATTCTGCTTGTTGGGTAAATACAACCTTTGGTAAATTGGCTGCTGCACTATTGATATTTCAAGGGGTCAAGAGGACTATTGAACGGTAAATTTTCATGAAAATGTGCTAAAGATGTGAGCTGCACTGGTACAAACACATTTATTTGTTAACACTTTAATTGAACTAACAATATTGTATTTCCATCAGAATACGAACACAGATTATCTTTAGCACTGCTGGTTAAACATAAAATACATTTCATTTTCTTCTCGGCTTAGTGCCTTTATTAATCCGGGGTCGCCACAGCGGAATGAACCGCCATCTTATCCAACTTATCCACCCACAACCCATCTCTGTGAAACATCCACACACACTCATACACTAAGGACAAACTAGTTGCTCTACAAACAAGTGTGTTCATGACTAACCTACTGAAAATAACAGCTTAAACCAGCCTAGGCTGGTTGGCTGGTTTTAGAGGGGTTTTGGCCACTTCCAGGCTAGCCAAGCTGGGAGTCCAGCCAAAGCCAGCTATGTCCAGCTTAAAACAGGCTGGTCAAGCTGGTTTTAGCTGGATTTAGCTGGTCATTTTTCAGCCAGACCAGCTAAAACCAGGCTGGAAATGGCTGGAAACCAGCCTGGAAGTGGCCAAACCCCCTCTAAAACCAGGCTGGTCAACCAGCTAAAACCAGCCAACCAGCCTAGGCTGGTTTAAGCTGTTTTTTTCAGCATAAAAAGTACAATTATATAGCAATACATCATCAGTTTGCAACATCAAGCAGCACATCAAGCTGTTTTTAACGTCTAAAAATCAGTGCAAGCGAATAAAACCAAAAGTATCAAGCTAAAAAATTCCAATGGACGTGCCCACCCGTATGTAAGGAATAAGCTCATATATTTTATCCAGAAATAACACTCATCACATCAGGCATTTTAAGCATGTGTTCAGTGTTTAAAGGCAAAAGGGCAACACAATCTCACGGCAATTCGTAACTATTTGATTTAGTGGCTAATTCGTATGAATTCGTACGATTTAATTCATACAATTTAGTACGATTTGCTCATCCCCAATGATGGTGGGGTTTAGGGGTGGGGTTCGGTGATACGCCTCCTTTTTAAAATCATACAACTTCGTACAGCTGAATTTGTACGAAATACAAGCTAATGTATGTCTTCAGGGAATAATAAATGGCAGACAATAGTCAAACAACTTGTTCTCCCTGCTGAAAAATCCAGCTTAAACCAGCCTAGGCTGGTTGGCTGTTTTTAGCTGGTCGACCAGGCTGGTTTTTGAGGGGTTTTGGCCACTTCCAGGCTGATTTCCAGCCTGGTCTTAGCTGGTCAGGCTGGAAAATGACCAGCCAAATCCAGCTTAAACCAGCTTGAACAGCCTGGTTTAAGCTGGATATAGCTGGTTTTGGCTGGACTCTCAGCTTGGCTAGGCTGGTCAAGCTGGTTTTAACTAGTCATCTCCCAGCCTAACCAGCTAAGACCAGGCTGGAAATGGCTGGAAACCAGCCTGGAAGTGGCCAAAACCCCTCTAAAACCAGCCTGGTCGACCAGCTAAAACCAGCCAACCAGCTTAGGCTGGTTTAAGCTGGATTTTTCAGCAGGGTTCAATCAAGTGTGTTCATTGCTACCCATAAAAGTACAATTATATAATAAGAAAAGTTTGCAACATCAAGCAGCACAACAAGCTGTTTTTAACATCTAAAAACCAATGCTAGTGAATGAGTCTCGAGCTAACACATGTAATGGACGCGCCCGCTCCACGTGAAGAATAAGGTTTCAGTTTATCCAGAAATAACACTCATCACATCAGGCATATTAAGGATGTGTTGAGTGTTTAAAGGGAAAAGGGGGCGTTGAAATTCCTGAGCTTCAGTTTCGGGAGTCGAACAGGTACAGCGGGTTTTTGCGCGCTTCCGGTCGCAGGTGACAGGAGTTCCGTCATGAACGCGCAAATCAAACCAGAGCCGTCGCGCTCCTCTGCCGGACGCTTTACGAGCTCCTGATAATGTGGGATTCATGATAAAAACACCAATGAGATTTCCTTTAAGGATGTTCAAGCTCTTCCCAGGTGAGTTTTTCTTTCAGTAAGATGATTTCTTTCCTCTCAGGCAGTTCTGAGAACAGCTCGTCCAACCGGCTGCACCGCCGACATTCCGTGAGGAGTGCTGAGGTAAAAATAGTAATATATTAGCCTACACTGTTAAACATATCGTAATCTTTCAAAAATATATGAATAAAAGCAAATATAACAACACTTTCACATTAGTGTTTAGTCACGTTAAAGTACAGTAACCTGTACGTGTGTGTTGTTAATTTTTCGATTATCATTAAGATTATTATGTTGTTACTGCTTGATAAAATGAGCTAAAGTTGGTTTAATATTCCCACATTCGTTCAGTGACAACTAGTGACTCAGTCCCTATATGGTTTACCACAATTTTGAAAGTAAAATTATGATTTTAAAACAACATTAGCACTATTTAATTCACTGAATAATGTTGTACTTTGTTAGTCATTGACTACTAATATTATTTCCCATTTATAATTAGCAAATAATACTGAAATAATAGGTATCATTAAGATTATGTCTGTTCAACAACGTTTGATAAAATGAGGTAAACTTTGTTTAATATTCCTACATTCATTCAGTGACAGCTATTGACTAGATTCCTATATTGTTTACTGCTATTTTGAGAAAATTCAGTCTGAAATTGCATGTGCAGTAGGCTAAGTATGATTTTAAAACAGCATTAGCACTATTTAATTGACTTAATACTGTTGTACTTTAATATTCATTGGCTACTAATATAATTTCCCTATTTACAATTAGCAAATAACACTGAAATAATAGCTATAAATTAAGGAAAAAGTCCGAATGTGCAAATATAAAATCAACTTTACCTCAAATCACTGTAGTGATGTAAAAGTACAGTAGTTTATGTGTGCTGTTAATTTTTCAATTGTTATTTTTATTAAGATTATTATTGCTCTCAGTTCAACACCGCTCAATAAAATGAGGAAAACTTGGTTTAATATTCCTACATTAATTCAATGACAACTAGTGACTCGATCCATATATTGTTTACTGCTATTTTGAGAAAATTCAGTCTGAAATTGCATGTACAGTAGGCTAAGTAGGGTCTTAAAACAACATTAGAATTACTTAATTGACTGAATGATGTTGTACTTTGATAGTCATTGCCTGCTAATGGATTCCCTATTTAGAATTTGCAAATAAAACTAAAATTATAGCTATTATTAGGGAGGTAGTCCAAATGTGCGAATATAAAAAATCAACTTTATCTCAAATCACATTAGCAATGTGAAAGTACACTAGCTTATTAGTAAGATTATTATGTTATCAGTTCAACCCCACTTAATAAATAGTCTACATAATCTCCAGAAAACATACAGTATACACTCGATTTAACAAGTCTAAGAATTCCTCAACAGTGAACGAAACTCTTTTACAGTTGTAAAAGTATCATGTGTCAGATGACAGTGTGGTATTTTGATACGATTCATGCGGGTAAATGATGTAAAGTGACTGTGAGGCACACTTATGTGTAAATCTACACTGTAGATGTAAAGACTCGAGATAAAATGTTTGACGTTCGTTTTGTACAGGACTCGCTTCATGAGCTCTTTAATAATAAGTCTGATAGGCTACAGATATTGGAGGAAATAAAGAGACTAGAAGAAAATTATGTTTCTTTGAATGTGTTTATTGGGTATAGATTTGAGTAAAATATTGTAATTTGTTGGAATTTTATATCTAAATATGTTTTTTTTCTCTGAAAATAATATAATTATCCACTGAATTTTTGTTTCCTTGCTATTTTTAAAGATATTTGGATTATTTTGCCTAATTTAAATAAGCATAAGTTTTGTAATTTCATGTAGACAATGCTCTAAATTAAATTAACATTTTAAGTTATATTCAAGACCGTTATAAGTAGTTTTTATTTCTTCTTGATTTATTTTGGTATGGGTTTAAATGAAATATTAGAGATTTTATTTATTTTTCAGAAAAAGTAAATATAAATTGTTGTGATTAAAAATGATTATTCTTTTAATCAGATATTTGTTTAATTTTCTAAAGATAAAATAGGATTAAAATTGATATAGGTTGTTTAAAAATGTAAATAAGCATTCTTATTTTACGTGAATAATTCTCTAAATGGCGTTTTTATTGTTTAATTTTAAGAATATTAGCTGTTTTCAAACACATAACTCTAAATCAAAAACACAGAAGAATATTTCAAGTGAAAACCAATAATTTAATTGTGTAACTGTATTTCCGTCATTGTTAATTCATAGTCTTGATGCTCTAAAATGTGTATTAGAGAATTTCTCAACACTTTTGTTAACTTTGACTGGACGCATGTTAAACATGAGTAAATATTAGATTTGTTATAGCAAACACAATGGTTTATTTACCCAAAATGTGTTTAACCAAAAGCCTTACTCCTCCTACTCATGTCATTTCCAAAGCCGTATGACTGACTTTCTTCAGAAATTAACACCGTGGAGAAGCTATTTAAATATTTGTACTGATTAAACTGACTGGGCTTTAAAAAGCCATCATTTACACACGTTTGACTTTCTTTCCTCCGTAAACAAAAGAAGATATTTAGAAGAATGTTGACAAGCTGCAGCCAATGACATCCATAGTATTTTTTTATCAGCATTCTTCAAGTTATTATCTGAGAAAAACGTTTTTGACAGTGAGTATTCATTTTAAGAGGATCTATAGGTTAAAATCCACATTAAACTTTTATTTCAGTATGACGATGTTCATTTTCTACTAAAACTGACTATTGATTAGGGGGCGGGGTTTATTTTTAAACTCTTCCTCTGATCTTTCTCTAACAGCGAACTAATTGTTTGATGGGTGTGGCTAAACAGATTTCGCCCAATCAGAGAAGGACTTCCATTCAAGAGTAGAAGATGTTCAGATCTTGATTAAAGATTACCAAAACCTATTTCCTATTTAAATGCATTAACATGCACAGATTAATTATTCACCCTAAGACTAACAAAATAAACCTAGAAACTGTTGATTTCCTTCAGACTTTTCCTTCAAAAGTAAAGCTGAGTGAATGATTGGTTTTAATGGACGTCCTTGTTGCTGTAGGCTGTGGAGGACTAATAATTAACTCCACCAGCCGAACAGTAGAGCCATTATCATCATCTTGTTTGAGCTTTGCAGGAATGCCTAATTACCATCTCGCTCTTCCTCTAGGTTAAAGTCCACTCTTCCAAAAAAAAAAAAATGTGAAGGGATGACAGTGGTGTAGTCTCTCCGGCTCTAAAAAACCAACACGGATGCTCTCGTCTGGTGTCGTCTTAACGGGACACGCCTTTGAAACACGGATGTTTTCAGATTGTTTGTTTGCCGTGAGCATCATGAGTTCGGGGAGCGTGTCGGACCTGTATATGCCAGCGTTGTTCCTGCTGGTTTTGGCGTTGGCTCTGTTTTCTTGCGTGCTTCGCAAGAAGCGTCAGATGGAGGGATCGTATCAACCCAGCGCCGAAGAGCGCAAGCAAGTCAAAAACCGAGGAGTGGAGAAACCCGGTCTCGCTCTGCCATTGCCAAAAGAGGAAAGACTGATATAAAGGGGAAATCCCATTGCCAAAAGAGGAAAGACTGATTTAAAGGGGAAAAAGCACACCATTCTTTGAGTTAATGAGGTCAACCTAAACTAAACTTGTTTTATAAAGCTGTATATATTGAGTTTACACGTCATGGTGGACACACAGAAATCACTAGAAAAGGTGGTGGGTATTTATTGGTCATTTTTGACTGGGATACAAGAAGTCTTTGCACCGTTACAGCTGAATAATGAACTTAAACACACTTGGGAGATATTTGAAGACACATGCGAATGCATTCAGTGAAGAAATGTGAAGTTTACACGCACAACCAAACCAGTTTTGTTTCCTTTATCAGTGCTTTCGGTTTACCTAGTCCAAAGTCTTTCTTAAAGAGACGGTTCCCCCTAAAATTAACATTTAATTACAATTCACTCTTCCTGAAAGACTTGATGAGTTTGTTTTTTTTTTCTGTTGAGAACAAAAGGAGATATCTTACATTGACTTCCATAGTAGGAAAAACAAATACTGCGGAATCGACAACTTTCTTGATCTTTCTTTCATGTTCAGCAGAAGAAAGTGAAACAGGTTTGGAAAAAGTGGAGTAAATGATGACAGAGTTTTCATTTTAGGGTGAACTGTCTCTTTAAGGAGACACATGGCAGCTTTACCTCCAAAATATTGTACCATTACACTACTGAAAACATAAATGTCTAAATTATGAACACATCTGGAGAGGAAAGATTATATTTGTACTTTGCCAGGTACTGTTTTTGTACTGTATATAACACTTTAATATCTGTATCTACTGAGTAAAAGGCATCTTTGAGTAAATAACCTTGTCCTTAGTTTTGCGTGCCGCTCGCAGTGTGTAATTTGAGAGTTTTTGGTTTCGACTGAGTCAATATTTGCTCGGAGTCAGCACAGTGATAAGCCTTTTATAAATGATTACAGATGTTTTGGATAAACAGGGTTGGACAGAGGTGGTCAGAATTGGTGCATTGATCAATTCATGTGGATGACATTGATTTAAAAATGAAAGGTAAAATAAATCCACCTGATCTACTCAAGATTATTGGTCTTCTTGTGAATGATTCATGTGTATGTGTGTAAGGGGGAAAAATTACCTTGCGTTTTCTTTGAATTACTTTCGATTCTGATTGGCTGATGAACATTCTTAGGTGTGCTGTTATTTTTTGAAAGTAGTTCCGGTAGCTTTTGAGCACATTACAGCTCCATATCACTCCACTGAATGATTTATTTCACAGCAAATCTCATCAAAACACAACAGAAAGCTTTTGAGGAGATGTGTGACAAACTAATGCTACACACAGGACATGTTTGAGGACAGGAACCTGACAAATATCTCAAATACAAAGGGGATAACCAAAGTATAAGCTTAATAATTGACCTTTTAAATCAGTGGCCTTTAGTTTTTTTTGGCACTCAGTGGGCGGAGCCACACACACTCCAGCTGACATCACATGCATAACATCTATTATTTGACTCCAGTGTTTCTCAATCCTGGCCCTCACGCTGCACATTTCCTATGTTTCTCTTTTCACATCTTACTTTTGTTCTAATTCGACAAGTGCCCTGCAAAGTGGACATCACAGGATATTCTGCCATGATTTCTGGAAGCATATGTTTTATTTAAATGGCATTTATAGTGTGTAATATGCAAATTTACATTGTATTCATATATGGAGGAATATTATGTCACGCTTGACGCTTCTCTAGTAAGACATTGCAGCCGATGTCATTGTGTAAAATCCATGAATGAACGCTCTGAAGTGAAATAAAGGCTGCTCATGCTTAGTCAGAGAGAATAATGAAGGAGAGGGGACTAGGGAACAATGCACACTATGTAGGGATGTGTCCAACACAGGCTCATTGTGAAAACGTACCCCTGTATACATTTCTGGAGAGCAAGAATTATGTAGCCAGAACTACGTATGACTGCATTTGCTCTTTAAAACAAAAGCTAAGGGTGCTATAACACCACTGACGGCTTCTGTTTCTTTTCATACTACCAGCTGATCGCTTACCTCCATGTGGACGGCTTTTCCGCTGTTATCAGTTTGCCCAGTAGCTCGCCATGTATGTCGGTGGGCTTGAGACAGAGAGTTGACTGTAATGACAGGGTTCACGTCCGGCGAAGGACAGTTGCAGAAAGCAGGTAAAACAAAAAGGCAAAAAATACAACAAAACAAGTAAATACCAGAGTGAAAATGTGGTAAAATCTGAAAACGTGGTAAAAAACAGGCGGCCGCAATGGGTTTTCCTTGTCTGGATTGCTCTTGAAAACACTGTTGGGTTGGGTTAATTTTTTGAAAGGGGGTCGGAGGGTCAATCGGTGCTTTTGAAAACACTATCCGCTTGTTAAGTCGTGACTACCAGTGACGTATGAATTACTGTTTCCGGGTCCAAGCTGTAGTTATTTGAATTGAGTAAATGTTCATTTATGACCACCTTTTAGCCATATCACACATTAAAGTGAATTTTACATAAAATCATAGTGTACACACAAATTGTAACCATTTATAACAATCAACTACTGGCCATCGGATATAAGGCATGGTGCGAATATATATATATATATATATATATATATATATATATATATATATATATATATTCGATATATATATTCGATATATATATATATATATATATATATATTCGATATATATTAGAGCTGCACAATTAATAGTTAAAAAATCGCGATCTCGATTCGAGCCCCTACATGATCTTAATCCAGTTTTTCTACGATTCTGTCAATCATATTTTTAAGTTCAGGAGAGAAGAAAAGGCGGCTGCACGAGTCTTTTCATTGTTTCACACACGTTGCTCAGTGATATTGACACCTCCAAATGATGTTGAATGAGTCACATACTGTATTTATAAGGTATAATTTAACTAAAAATGTCATTATTGTCGTAACATAATGATGTTTTCGCGATCGGGAAATCACACGTGACATGAGCAGCTGACCGTGAGCTGTGATCACAGAGAGGGCGCGCTAGCGCTCTACTTAATGATAGTTAATGATAGACGCACGCGCGTCTACTTTAGTGAACAGAACCTGCATATGTTGCGAGTAACAGGTAATACAGTTGTAAATAATATTCAGTTTGTGGCACAGAGTGATCGTTTGGGAGCCGCGCGCAAAGTATGAACAAGCACTTAGCAGTCAGAATGAAACTGAAAGTGTGCACTTCATTCAAATGATCGTATCGCATTTTAGAGTTATGATTACGACAAGCATTTGATATGTTTGTTCTTTCATAGCGAACCCACAGTTGTGCATGAAAATAAATGTTTACAGTGTCAGTATAACTACCCTAGCCTATATATTGTAGAATATAATCTGATAATGGCAAATGTCTGATTTTACCAGTGAATAAAATTGTCTAATATGACAGATTGCAAGCATATATCTCAAACATAATAATTCAACATCAGAATTATTATAAGTAGAATAGAATTATTTATAGAAACCAGTTCACACAATACACATAATATTATTATCGATGTTGTGCTATATGTTTGTTTTTACCATACCTTTATATTACATCCACAGAATCGTGAGAAAATCGTGATCTTTATTTTAAGCAAGAAAAATAGCGATTCTCATTTTAGCCAGAATCAAGCAGCTCTAATATATATATATATATATATATATATATATATATATATATATATCGATAGTGATTTTCGAACATATTACATCGCTTTGTAAACGTTTATTATTACCATTTGATGAATCTCCTCATAAAGTTTGAGTTTGTTGTCACACTTAACAAGCGGATTGATTGGGTTTAGGCAAGGTGGTATCGGTTGGTCAGTTAGTCGCCAGCGGCCTCTGGTGGTTTTACGCGAGAACAGCAGGTGCAAATGGCACTCGTGAGAAAAATTTGAGATCTGAAAAAGTATACACAGCAGCCTCTGGTGGATTCATGAAAACAAAAACTGCAAAAAAAAACAGCTCCTGGAAGATATTTCGTGATCTCTAGAAATGTATATAGGGGTACATATCAATAATGAGCTTGTGTTGGATGTGTCAGTGAGAACACAGTTCATGCATCTAAATTGGCTCTGTTTAAAAGACATGCAAAATATTCAGATTGAGTATATTATATATGTGCAGATTGAGAAATGCTTTTATACCAAAATATACGTAATGTTTGATGCTCTAATGTTCGAATCTCTTCTTCAGCTCTGAGACTTTAACAGGAGCCTGTTCTTGCTCCTCTGCGTTTGATGTAACTGGTGATTTTGTGCATTCTTCTTCACTCTGCATTGCCTTTGCTGAGCCCACATTGATTTTCAAGCTTCTTAGAGGGGATTTGGGAGAGTTTTCCTTCCCTCTGCAAACTGGAGAGTCCACCAACACCTTGGACTGGAACAGAGCTACGGTAGATGAGACTTTAGGCAATTGAGCTTCAGCACTTTTCTCCTCAGGCTCTTCTCTTTGGTCTATCTTTACTTTGAGAGAGATGCTTTCTTCATGCGTGTGTCCATTTGATGCATCAGGTGTCTCGTTTTGAAGCTCTTCCTCTTCTTTGTCAGTTTGCGTCTCAGTCCTTTCTTCAGCTATTGTTTCCGTATCCAGGCTTTCCTCCATTGTACCGTTCATTTGTGTGTAATCTTGTGTGTTTTCTTGCACTTCTTGAGAGCTCTCCACAGAAGCGTCTTCTAGATCTTGTAGATCAGAGCGCAGTGTTTCCCCCAACTCTGTCAAGTCCTTCTCTAACTCATTAAGCTCATTTTCTGATCCGTCAATCATTATGATAGACTCCTCCTCCTCATTGAAAGTCCCCTTCTCCTCATTGACAGTCCCCTCCTCCTCACCACCACCAGGCCCCTCCCCCTCACCATCAGGCCCCTCCTCTAACTCCTCCTCCCAACTCATCAGGCTTCCGCTGTTTGCAAAAGACGGACTCAGGCTCTCCTGGCTTGGGTTTGCTAATCCCTTCTGGAAGAGAAATGAAATTAAATGGTAAGAGAGTTTGGATCAGCAGTGAACAGCTCTGTTTGATCATTACAAATCAGGTAAGATCAACAAAAACTCACTTTTTTTGTTACTTTTATACTGCAGAGCTACTTTAGCTGATTGCCTTAAATGTGTATAAAGTTAATACAGTGCATTTACATTTTTGACTCTAATGTGATGTTTTTCAACTTTTAGGAAAAACTAGACACCATGTGAAATAAAAGGCCAGTCTGCAAAGGAACCAGTAATGTGCTGTTTTTTTAAAGCAACAACATCGGTAACTACTGATTTGTCCTGGGTCTTCCCCGATGCCTCCTCTCAGTGGGACATGCCTGGAACACATCCCTAGGTAGGCGTGGGGGGGGGGTTTAAAAATAATAATAATAATTAAAAAAATTTTAATTATTAAAAAAAAACTCTGAATTGTGGAAAATATATGTATATATACCTTAAATAATTGTCTAAGTAGAAAGAAAACCACATTTATCATTTAAAATGCATTTAGATACAGTTGAGTTCCCCCTCCCCTTCCTCAAAGTGGTTCGGTCCACTGTGTGCTTTTTTTTCCCCCTCGTCTCACCTACTCCCACACAGGCACACGTCAGGTGTGCGGCTGCGGCTGAGTAAATGTAGAATTTCAGTAAGTACGTAGGGGATTTTATTCACCTTAAATAAAGCGATTCTCTTCAGTGTAGTTTATACAGACTCGTTCATAAATTAGTTGTGGCAAAAATTCTCCATGAATCTGCTGTATTAGCGATTAAAATTACTTATCTAGTTAACGTTAGCTTAGTTTGTTGCCAACGCTAAAGCCGTTTCCCATGCAGTTTAATTTCAGTTCCTTCTTCACCATAACGGACCGGTACATTGACCCCATTACTGCTGCCGCTGCACCAATCCGCCTGTCAAGAGCCAGATTCTGTGCCTGACGATTGGGTTGTTGTGGTCCCACCACCCAATCCACAAAGCACCGTTTTTAAACCTGTCACCTAAGACCTTTTTGCCTTGAGAGACCCTACCAGCGGCGTGAGCCCCCAACAACATAGCTCTCGGGATCACTCAGCTCTCAAACCCCTCCACCAAGATAAGGTGGCGATTCATAATTTTAATTCAGTTCAATTAATCTTTATTTCTATAGCGCTTTTACAATGTAGATTGTGTCAAAGCAGCTTAACATAGAAGATTTTAGATTTATATATAAGTTTTAGGGGCGAAGCAGTGGTGCAGTAGGTAGTGCTGTCGCCTAACAGCGAAAAGGTCGCTGGTTCGAGCCTCGGCTCAGTTGGCGTTTCTGTGTGGAGTTTGCATGTTCTCCCCAATAGCATCTGGACGCAGCCTTTATGATGCAAGCTGAGACTGCATCTCTCAGCGATGCAATGTCAGACTCAATGGAGTGAGTGACGTCACTGTGACGGGTGGGGTTAGGTGAGCGCATTAAAAAGCATTGGATGCAGCTCAGATTGCACTGCACCGAGTCTGCAGCCAGACCCCTCTCGTTCTCCCTGCGTTGGCGTCGGTTTCCTCCGGGTGCTCTGATTTCCCCCACAGTCCAAAGACATGCGGTACAGGTGAATTGGGTAGGCTAAATTGTCCAACGTGTATGAGTGTGTGTGTGAATGTGTGTGTGTGGATGTTTCCCAGAGATGGGTTGCGGCTGGAAGGGCATCCGCTGCGTAAAACTTGCTGGATAAGCTGGCGGTTCATTCCGCTGTGGCGACCCCGGATTAATTAAGGGACTAAGCTGACAGGAAATTGAATGAATGATTATAAGTTTTACTAAGGTATTTTCAGTGAGGAGAAATATTTCTAGGCTTTTATTAGTGTTTTGATTAATTATTAATTTTATTTGTTAATAATGGGACTAAGCCAAAAAGAAAATTAATGAGTGAATGAATTTATGATGTAATTTCATTTATCTAAAAAAAGATAAGGCGGCATGGTGGCTTAGTGGTTAGCGCGATTCTTACATGCGAGATGAATTCGCTGCTGTCGGAGCGGAAGAGGTCGAGGCTGCGTGTGCCGTACAGTAAACCCGGCTCTCTGGAGCTCTGAGCGCTCAGGGTGTCGAAGATCTCGCCCAGCAGGTCCATCTCCTCCGCATCGGCCAGCAGAGAGAAATCCTCCTCCTCCTCCTCCTGTACGTCACTGCTGCCAGAACACTGATCTACAGCATCTGCTGCGCTGCAGGCCGAGACACAGGTGGAGAGGTTGAGGGATGGATGGAAGGATGTATAAATGAATGTATAGATGGATGGATGGATGGATGGATGGATGGATGATATGTGGGTTGATGGATGGTTGCATGAGTGTATGGGTGGATGTATGGTTGTATGAATGGATGATGTATGGTAGGATGGATGGATGAATGCATGTATAGATGTATGGTTTTGTGGTTGGATGGATGGATGGATGTATGAATGGATGATTTATGGGTGGTTGATGGATGAATGCATGAATAGATGTATGGTTCTGTGGATGAATGGATGGATGGTTGTATTAATGGATGATTTATGGGTGGATGGATGGATGAATGCATGTATAGATGTATGGTTCGATGGATGGATGAATGTATAGATGTATGGGTGGGTGATGGATGGTTGTATAGATGAATGGGTGATCTATGGGTTGGTGGACTTATAGATGTATGGGTGGATGGATGGATGGATAATGTATGCGTGGGTGGGTGGATGGATGATGCATGGGTGTATTTATATGCTTAATCTATGGGTGGATGGATGAATGAATGTATGGGTAGATGAATAGATGATCTATGGCTGGGTGGATGGATGATGTATGGGTGGATGAATGAATGAGTGTATAGATGTATGGGTGTATTTATATGGTTAATCTATGGGTGGATGAATGAATGAATGTATAGTGGTATGGATGGATGAATAAATGTATGGGTAGATAAATAGATGATCTATGGGTGGGTGGGTGTATAGATGAATAAATTTTATATAGGTGGGTGGATTGATGAATGGTTGTATGGATGAATGATGTGTAGGTAGGTGAATTTATAGCTGGATGGATGAATAAATGAACCGCTGGAAAGATGAATGGATGGACATATATATATATATATATTATAGATGAGTGGAGGTGTAGATGTATGATAATTGAATGTATAGATGGATGTATGGATGAAAGGGAATGGATGGACTGATAAAAATATTAGTGGGTGGGTAGACAGATAGACAGATATATAGATGGATGGATGGATCTTCTCACCTGTCCTCATAGGTGGTGTTGTTAACTGGTGTCTTTTGCTCTTTTTGCCGATGGTGTTTCTGTGCAGGCCGTCGAGGACGAGACTGGAAGAAAAGCAGGAGTCCAGCACAGTGTGTTTATTTGCTGAACACTACGCTAGGAAGTGTTCACACACGCTTCCTGTTTAAGTTTCATTCAGGTTTTAAATCTATTATTTTGATCTGTTAACTGTTATTAAATCCCTCCACATATTTCAAGCTTTGACAGTATGCTGTTTTTACAGTCATGACGATGAGCAATTTCGAATTTTATTTAAGATTTGAGAGAGAAAAGTCAAAGTGCTGTGCTTTTCCTCACCACTAGAAGGCGCCAAACTGCAGGACTTACTCATGAAGCGTTATAATTTAGTCACTGACTATGAAGCAGATCTGAGGGCAGTTTTTGGGTAGTTTGCCAGGCGTCACTCACCTTGCCAAAGTGCTGTGTGATTGGCAGACGGTTCTGAAGGCAGTCTGATTGGATGAGGCGGTACGTGTGCGGTTCACACACAGACCCGCCCCTCTGCAGCGTACAGGCCTCTGGCTGATCCTGAGAGGAAAATACAATTTCAATTCATTTTGTATTTCTTTAGCGCTCTTTATAATGCAGATTTTGTCAAAGCAGATGAACATAGATGAAGAAAAGAGAGTTCAAAAGATAATATTTCAGACTGTAGAACATTCCAGCAATTCAGGCAGGGATGAGATTAATACTACTAATAATAATTATTCCTTACATTTATATAGCACTTTACACAAAGGGGGGGGGGGGGGGGGTTGGGGGATCTCCTCATCCACCACCAGTGTGCAGCATCCACCTATATTATGATATGCTGGATGGTTAGGAGGCCATGATGGACAGAGGCCAGTGGGCAGATTTGGCCAGGATGCCGGGGTTAAACCCCTACTCTTTTTTAAAGGACATCCTGGGATTTTTAACGACCACAGAGAGTCAGGACCTCGATTTAATGTCTCATTCAAAAGACGGCACTCACTGAGCAGTATAGAGTCCCCGTCACTATACTGGGGCATTAGGACCCACACAGACCACAGGTTGAGCGCTCCCTGCTGGCCTCATTAACACCACTTCCGGCAGCAACCCAGCTGTCCCATGTGGTCTCCCATCCAGGTACTGGCCAGGATCAGCCCTGCTTTGCTTCAGAGGGCGACCAAGAGAGTTGCAGAGAGCTAGCTGCCGGCAATTAGTGTATAATGCTGCTGTAGTTTTAGTTAAATTGAAACAACTTTAATTTAGTAATTAATTAAATTAAAACACTTTATCAGCAACCTACAAAGGCTTTAAGAATCTTGTCTTCAGACAGAGGCTCACAAACAACACTACAAATACAATAAATACAAATATACCAGCGCAAACACATTCAGAAATACACATTTATTTAAAAAAACTACACAATAAGATGTCATTTTCCTCCTATGTGTAAAGCATTTATTGGTCATACATGTTCAACATTTACTAACGCATTATTAAAATCCAATTTCATGCTTGGTGACTAGTTAAAGAATCATGAGTTAACATAAACTAACAATGAACGACTGTATATCATTAAGTAACGTTTACTAACATAAACAAATTCTGTAATAAATGTATAGTTTACTGTTTGATCATGTTAGTGATCACGTAATAGGCATTAACCTATTACCTATTAAAAAAAACAATAGCAGTGGGAATAAATGTCTTTTTGTATTAGGCCTTTTTCTCTAAGAGTACTTTATATCTTTATATATGTACTTTATATCGTCTGTCAGATGGAATTAACTGCAAAGAACCACGAAGAGTCTTTCTCAATAACGGAGGCTTTTCTTTTCATCGCAGCAGTAAATGAATCAGTGTGAGGTGTGTAATGTTCATCTCCTCAGATATACACATTTGCAGACACACAGGTTAATCCTGCGCTCCTCTTTATTTCCGTTTTCCCATTCTCCACACATCTCCTCTTCCTGTCCTCTAGCTCCCTCTGCTGGTCACTACACTACAAGGTGTTTTTCTCTCACCAATCATTTTACTTTGAATGAATTAACTAAGTGTATTTTTTCTCTTAACAGTGAGGGAGTTACACCAGGCCACAATATTAAACGTATAATAGCAGTTTAGATCTGTTAATTCAGATCAGTGTAATGCAAATGAACACAAACGCTGAACACAAACTCACAAAGAGGAAACGGTTATAATATAATGACTCACCTTTGAGGACAGCAGGTTTTTCAGCCCAAATTTGCTGTGATATTTAGTCTGAATGAGATATGAACAGAGTTATGTCATGCAGGATCTATCCATCCTTCCATCCATCAGTCTATCTAACTATCCGTCCGTCTGTTTGTCCATCCATCCATCCATCCATCCACTAGTCTGTCTGTCTGTCTATCTATCTATCTATCTCTCTGTCTGTCCCTCCATCCATCTGTCAGTCTGTCTATCTGTACATCCATCCGTCCGTCCGTCTGTCTATCTGTCTGTCTGTCTGTCTGTCTGTCCCTCCATCCATCTAACTGTCAGTCTGTCTATCTATCTGTACATCCATCCATCCATCTATCCATCTATCTATCTATCCATCCATCCATCCATCTATCTATTTGTCTGTTTATCTATTTGTCTGTCTGTCTGTCTGTCCGTATGTCCATCCATCCATCCGTCCGTCCGTCCGTCCGTCTATCTATCCGTCTATCTATCCGTCTATCTATCTATCTATCTATCTATCTATCTATCTATCTATCTATCTATCTATCTATCTATCTATCTATCTATCTATCTATCTATCTATCTATCTATCTATCTATCTATCTCTGTCTCTCTGTCTGTCTGTCCATCCGTCCGTCTATCTGTCTGTCTGTCCATCCCTCCATCCATTCATCTAACTGTCCGTCTGTCTATCTATCTGTATATTTATCCATCCGTCCATCCATCCATCCATCTGTCTGTCTGTCTATCTCTATCTGTCAGTCCATCCATCCATCCATCTATTTCTCTTCATTATTTTAGAATCATGTGAATCAATACCGGAGTAATGATACTGAAAGTTCAGTTCTACATAACAGGATTAAATTACATTTGACAACAAGTTTACTTGGAAACCAGATACTGTAAATGGTAAAAATATTTACAATTTTACACTGCATTGTGATCAGATAAATACAGCCTTAAAAACCCCGAAAATGAATGTACAAATACTCACTGCTTTGTTAGCTGTAGACTTCCAGGTCACAATCAGAGCTCCTCCGCCTTTCTGTGGTTAAAAATAAAATAAAAAAGAAACCATTAAAAAATGCATCTTAAAGCCAGCATTGTGTTAAAACACCAGTCAATCAAACCACAGAGTATGCTCTAATTTTATATACATAAGGGACACTGCAAATGAGTCGAAATATCTTCAAATTCCTAAATCAAGAAGCATTAACATATGGTCTCATTTTTAGATATAATATGTCAAAATAAGTTAATAATAATCCAATATTTGTTTTTCCTATTATGCAATTTAATGGTTACAGCTATTGAACATTTTTTAAATATTTTCTTTAGTGTTAAACAGAAGAAAGAAACTCTTATAGATTTGGAAACACTTGATAAATAATCAGCAAATTTTCATTTTTGGGTGAACTGTCCCCTTAAATGTCGTAAAAATGATAAAAATCTCTCTATTAAACATCACTTGGGAAATATTTGACTAAAATATTAAATATTTCACAGGAGGATTTTAATAATAGTGTCTTCAACTGTACACACGCTGCAGATTTACTCACGCATCTTGATTACAGTACAAACATACCTTTAAATTTCCCACCCACTGCCGACACAGTTTAGCTCCACCTGAGAGAAACACAAGCAGATGAGAGGTTAAACTGAATGAAAGTGCAAAAGATAAAAGAAATGTGAATGTAAATGTGCACCTGATGAAGCTCCGCACTGAAGCAGCTCTTCCTCAAACACGTCGCTCGGCTCTTTGCCCTCGTTCAGCATTTCCAGACGCCCGTCGATAAACTGAAGGACATTCAAGTACATTTATAAACGTCTCTCATAGGCGTGGGGTGATAAGCACAAACAATTCACTAATAAACTAACAGCCAAGCACCCTAAACAGTGCAGTGGATTACTTTATATCCGCAGAAAAGTAATATCCAAATAGGTTGTGATTTTGAAACTAATAAAGGCAGCAGAATTTGTGTTTACTTCTACAAAATATTATAAATATTCTAATCTCTCCCCCATCACTGTAACACTTTGCTTAAAGGGGTGTTTATAAGACTGTCATGAAACCTTTATAATCATGACCTGACACATCTCGCATGTGGATGTTTTATGCATGCTTATGTAACGGAGGCCAGCTAGTGTGTGCTGTGCAGGTAAACCTCACTCCTCTGACCTCTAAAGGTGCTCTAGCGACAGCCGCTAGAAGCTATGGTCTTTAGCCTCCTTGTTAGAGCAACCGACTCCCATGCGGAAGGTCACCGGATCGATCCCAGCTCGGAGCGGGTTGGGTGGCGCAGGATCGGCGGGGTTACATTGGTGCCATGACCCGGATGGGAGTGAGGTTTAGGGGGTTGAGTGTAATGGAGGCCAGCTAGTAAGTGCTGTGCAGGTAAACCCCACTCCTCTGACCTCTAAAGGTGCTCTAGCGACAGTCGCTAGAAGCCATGGTCTTTAGCCTCCTTGTTAGAGCAACCGACTCCCATGCGGAAGGTCGCCAGATCGATCCCAGCTCGGAGCGGGTTGGGTGGCGTAGGATCGGCGGGGTTACACTTATAACAACTGTCATACTGTCAGTTAGACGTGTTAAATGCAAAGATGACATTGTTTGTTATGACAACTTGACATAAACAAATACTTCACAACCTGCTTTTGTCCTTTTCATGACAACTCGACATCACCAAGACAACAGAACTCATCATAAATCTGTCACAATAGTGAGTGATGTTGTGTTTTACCTCTTTGAAACACTGCAGATGGACGGCGCTCTCCAGAAACTCCCGCATGCTTGGAGATTTATGATTGAGAAACAGCTCAGTACAGAACACCACGGGCCCATCCTTTAGACAGAGGGAACTGCTTTAGCTGTGTGTTCATCTGTGTGTGTAATTGTGTATCACTCAGTGTGTGTATTTACAGCAGGAGCCTGTAAAGCATCTCTGTATCCTCCGAACAGCAGCGCCTGCGCTCTGAGAAATGCATGAGCGACTCCTGATCCTGCCGCCGCTGCCTGCCGCTTCAGACGGACTTTCAGACCCGCCACCTGCAACAGTAAACAGTGTCAATTCTGAGAAATAAACTCATCATTACACAACTGCAAATGTAAAACTTGAAGTTGTGAGATACAAATTCGCAACCTTGGGGAAAAGGTGATATTATTATTGTGTTATTGTGTGTGTCAGGAACAGGCTCTAGTGCATAGGTGTCAAACTGGACTCCTGCCGCAGCTCTGCACAGTTTTGCTCCAACCCTAATCAAACACAGCTGGTCCAACTAATCAAGGTGTTCAAGACTAATAAAGACTAAGCAAGTCTGAGTTGGAGGTGGTTGGAACTAAACCATGCAGAGCTGCGGCCCTCCAGGAATTGAGTTTGAAACCATTGCCATAGTGCAGGGGTGTCCAAACTACGGCCCGCGGGCCATCTGCAGCCCGCAATCAGTTTTGTGGCGGCCCACGAGGCTTTTTATAAATATCAATAGAATCTGGCCCACTGTAAAAAAATGAATGTAATTCAATAAATAACCACCGGGTGTCACTATTACATGCATTAAATTAAGCAGCAGTTCTTGTTATGATCTATCTATCTATCTATCTATCTATCTATCTATCTATATACACACAGTTGAAGTCTGAATTATTAGCCCATCTTTGATTTATTTCTTCTTTTTCAAATATTTCCTAAATGATGTTTAACAGAGCAAGGACATTTTCACAGTATGTCTGATAATATTTTTTCTTCTGGAGAAAGTTTTATTTGTTTTATTTCGGCTAGAATAAAAGCAGTTTTTAATTTTTTATGAACCATTTTAAGGTCAATATTATTAGCCCCTTAAGTCTTCAGAACAAACCATTGTTGCCTAATTAACTTGCCTAATTACCTTAACTAGACTAGTTAACTTAACTAACCTAGTTAAGCCTTTAAATGTCACTTTAAGCAGTATAGAAGTGTCTTGAAAAATATCTAGTCAAATATTATTTACTGTCATCATGGCAAAGATAAAATAAATCAGTTATTAGAAATGAGTTACTAAAACTATTATGTTTAGAAATGTATACATATATAAACTATTATGTTTATATATGTATA